GCCCTCCACGCACTGGGAACGATGCGGACAGCCGAACGGTGCACGAAAAAGCGACCGATCATGCCGTTTCTTCTGATACTGCTGATATTTCTGCTCTTCAAACGTACAGGGCTGGATCTCACGGCAGCGACACCACCTTGCGCAGGGTATGCATCCATCTTCATAGCACCACCTCAGGAATTCCATCTGTTTGTCGCTCAGCATTATGTAGTCCCTGCGACCTATAACGATGGTTTGCGTCTGGTTTGAGCGGATCCTTGCGAGACTATTGAATAATTCAAGACATGCACTTAAATCCTCCGCAGCTTCTGCTGTATCAAGCGACTCCAAAACAAGTCCCACTTCAAAACCTTCCCTCCATTTGCATAATTGTGCGCGCTCGAAAGAAGTCTCCTCATCTCGGGCGTCACAGTATTGCAAACCCTCCTCACAAAGCTCGATGCCCACTTGCCACTGCTTCCCGTCGCGAGATCGTTGGAGCAGCCACTCCAGGTTCTCCGCGATCGCATCTTGTATTTCTTCGATGTACGAAAGCTTATTCTTCGGGTCATACCAGATGCTAGTATATTTGGAGTGCAACTCTCTGACCCTCGAAAAGTCTTGGAGCTTTCTCGCGTCCATTAGCTCTCTTGCCAGATGTTCCAGTTCGAGAGCATGATACAACGCGGGGAAACTCTCAGGGGACCTTAGGTCAGGGTCCGAGATTCCGTCAAGGATAGAACGAGCGCGATCGAAATCCCCAGTTAATACAGCATCGACCTGAGCATGGAGTTGATCGACCCAAGACTGCCCCTCGTGGCATTTCTGGCGAATGGTTTTGATCTGTTCGACTACGTCGAAGCAATCGCGTAAGTATTCGCTTTTCTCAAGCATCTTTTCTATGCAATCCAAATGCTTCAAGCAAGACCTGTATTGAGTTTCAGCCATCGCCTGCCTGGCTAGCATCCAGATCTCGAGGAAATTCTCCACCTCAGCCACCATCTCTGCACAAGTAATATTTTTTATGTGCTTTCTGACGAGTCTGATCATCTCTTCCCGAGAGAGACCTGGTAAATAACCACCGCTGCCTTGCTCTGCGGCAATCTTATCCGATTGATAATTGCCAACAAAAGAAAGCAGAGGAGTTATGTCAGCCATCGCGGATATCAACTCCTTTTGTGCTCGTATGCCGTCTCTTAGACGTTTGCCTTCTGATGATGGAAAGGTGCTTAGTAAAAACTGAAACTGAGCTCGAAGATGATCGATCTCCTTGTTCACCCTGTCGAAATCTGGGAGCGGATTCTCACAGCCGGCAGTCTTCCAGATGCGATGGATAGCCAATAGATGCTGACCAGCCTCGTCGTAGGAAAAGTTGGCTATTGCACCCTCTAAGAGCGATCTATGATAGTGAACTGAGTCGAGCCAGTCACCTGTATCGTTTGCTTCTTCTAGGTTTTGGAGAAACATGAAAAGAGCATCATCTTTTTCAGGCACGTCCAACTCGAGATCGACGAGCGAGAAGCTAGAGGATTGTTCAAGCTCGGTATCTGCGTATCTATCCAGTATTCCCGCAAAAATTGCCTGCCAACGAGGCATGCCGATATTTTCCTCTGGTGGTGAGCTAGATTTGGAACTTTTGATGTCTTCGATGGTGCGGATGATCATGTCGAGTCCTTGTCTCAGGTCTTCCTCCGGTAGATCCTTGGTCTGTCGATATACGGTAATCTCGTTAAGGATGACTTCAGCCTTTGAAGTGGAATCGATAGTGCTGATATCAGGGTCAAAGGCGCTTTGATATTGAAACAGAATCACGAATAAGATTGCCTTGTCTAGCACAGTCTGCAGACTTGGATCTTTTTCATGATATTCGTCCAGAATCTTCATGATATCCAAAAGAAGATGCGTGATCTCTTGGCACCGCCCACGAAGCCAGAAACATAATTGGGGATTTTGGTAGATATGAGAGATCATCAGAACGCAAAATTCTGGCGTGGGCCACTTATCTCCAGAAATATGGCACGGCTCTATACATAATTTTAGGAAATCTAGAAAGCTATCAGCCAGATTTATTGGCAACCGGTGGTCAGAGAGATAGATATAAAGAGCGTGTGTTGGCCATTCAAATGCTGGTATTATGTGCGAGAGCTCGAGACATAGCCTGATAGATGTAAGAAGGTTTGCCTCATCGTTCAATGTTGCTCTTTCTGCGAATGATTCATTTGAGCTATCAGCAAACCCCTGCTCTTCAAGTTGTTTTAGCTGGATCGACTTCAGAATGAGCTCTCGCATCCAGGGATGCTTTAAATGCGGGTTCATATGAGGCACCAAGGTACGGGCATAAATAGTGAACAGTGGGTGAACTTGAAAGGACGTAGCGTGGGAGCCTGAGTCACTATAAATGTATCCTCTATGGAAAGCAAATGACAGTATGGGTACGACCCATGCTGTAAAGTCTTCCGGTTCAGGCGATATCCGATCCTCGTCCTTAGTTTCCTCTCTGGTAGCAGCCATGAAAAGTCGCCAAAGGCAATGTACTGACGCACTTTCACCCCAGTAGCTGCCCAGGAGTGATAATAGCACAAACACATGGCGCGGAAATGTCTCACAGATAAGAACAATCTCCTTGAGGACGGCGTAGGACTCCGATTCAATAAATGCCAAAGCTCCTAGTGAAGGCGATAACTCACCATGCAATTCTGAGTAGAACTCTCGCCATGGAATAGAAAGCTTTTGTTGAATGGGCAAAATTTCCTTGATGGCGAGAGGAATGCCCTGCAGAAGGCCAATGCATGCCACAAGCCAATCAAAATCTTGGTAATCCCATTTCGAGACATCTTCACCTGCATCACTTAGAACCTTTTGAGACAACTCCATGCTGTCTGCCAGATCTAACCCTTGCAGTTTTAAGCAACGGGGCTCGCTTGTGGGCCCTAACGCATGTCTTATCCATTCGACATTTGGATGCCGAGCAGCCACGATCAACCAACTGCCTCTCTCAGTGCTACACAAGGTAGGAGGTATTATAATCGATTTAATCAACTCAAAAATATCGAGGTATCCAGAGTCAAAGCAGGAAGTATCAGCTATGGCTTGAGAAGGAGATGAAAGTATATTGAGACCATCCACGATGAAGACAACTTTACAGGTACTGATGATCTCACGAAGTATATCCTTGACTGCTTCCAGATCGTGAGATTGCATTCGTAGGGAAGGTATTATCCATAGTCCTGATCTTGCCGCTGAATCATATACCTGGAGAAGCTGATTCAAAGCGGCATTTGCGAAGTCAGCTGCAGAAGATATCTTTTCTGCGCTGAAATCGATTGTGACTACCGCATCTGCCCAATGCGTGTGCTGCCATAGGGTGGATGCATATTGTAGAAGAGAAGTTTTGCCAACTCCTGTTGGTCCGTGTAAGTAGATTACTGAATCTTGACAGAGGGCTTTCTCTAATCTTAGTAGGTCGAAATCCCGACCCACAATATTTGACGGTAAATGGAGTGTTGGAGAAACGGAGCGATATGGAACGTCATATTGTAGACAGCTTTCCCCTAATGACTCATCCTCGGCGAGAGCACAAATATCCCCGGGGCCGTAAAGAACAGGGACGAAGGCGTCAAGTAGCTCTCGTTCTAATCCGAACCTCGCTGGGCGGAGGGTATTTAACCGCAGAGACCGCCGTGCCTCTCTTGAGGAGGCAGACAGCGTTAGCCGACCAACAAGAAAGAAAAAGTAGAATCTGGTCAGGAAAAGTTCCGCTGTTGCACTGGAAATCCTAAATGACATAGCGAGGACGTTGCGGACACCTCCTTTCTTCTGCAATACACCAGCGATATTGGCATCTTCGCCGGAATATGCCGTTGCTGAGTTGCAAGCATTCAGTATGACCAATGGAATATTATACTGTCTGAGAACAGCGGCTACTTTTAACGCGAGGACCGGCCGAGTTTTGTTCGATTCTCCACATGTGAAGTAGAGGATGCCAGCTTTTGTTTTCTTTCCATCCTTTCGACTCCATGTTTTCACCGCCCCATGCAGATCAAAGTGTACAATTTGAAAGTATCCAGGCCCATGTTGTTCCTTTGTGCGCCGCAGATGGCCTTCAAATGAAGCAAAGGTACCGGGGCGAGCCACCTCGAGATGAATTTGCAGGGGGCTTCCACTTGAATTGAGACTTTTCTGGACTTGGCTGACTGCTTTGAAAGCCAACAGTGGGCTCACATCATCGTACTTCTTCGAGTTTCTGGTCGTATCCCTTCCAATAACCAGGAGCATGTTGATCCTCTTCGTATTTCTCATTTGTTCTCTTAGAGGAAATCCACATCTTTCTATTGGAAGAAATTGTCGCTCGATAGTGAACTTCCATCCAGATGCGGCACCTTCATCGATATACTCCAAAGTCTCCCAAAAGAGCTGGTGAATGGTATTTCCAGAATCTTTTGATACATTCTCGCTTTCAGTGACACGAATTGTGCAAAGTCTCGGGCTTTCCTGGTGTGTGTTATCAAACAATGAAAGCACCTTCGTAAGACAGAGATCCCGCCAGAGTCGTTTTGGATACTCTTCTAACAGTTTTCGGGCCTGTTTCTCAATGTCGGCTGAATAAGGAGATGTTTGCAGGTACTTCTCGAGATACCAACGACAAGCTCCATGTTGCCCTCGAGTAAGAGGGTCCTTCAGTGAAACATCACGTCTGACTTGTTTTCCCGCTACATGAATGTGCACCGCCCATTCTGTTCGCTGGGGGGTTGTGCTGTTGCGTGATTCTGTCGGCGTCGACAGCACCGATCGAGCTTGGATCTCAACCAACATCGCTACGTCAGAGTTTCAGAGTGAGCATGTAGGCAAAGAGTCAAAAATTCCCCATTAAACGAAAAGGGGGCGGGGTCGGAAAGCCTCACATCCCTGTCCTTCGTAGTACTGCACTGCCGTAAGCGGCTTAGATAGTAACTACTAGCAGTAGGTAGGCTATAAATACCCCACCCAACCGCCAAATTTCTCACTTTCCTCCACCCATCATAATGGCCCAGCGGCGATACTTTCTTCTTGATGAGCGGGTGCCCAAAAGCGAGATTGATAGTTTTATTTGTCGGGTTGTAGAGACGTTCTCGCTGCCCCAGACCAGATTCGCGCCATCGCCTTCTCGTACCCCCGGTCAGCCATCGCATAACACGAATGATATCATCCCTGATATCCTTCCAGAGCCCGTTTTGACGACCAACCGAAAGGATCTGATCCAAGTTGCTCGTAAAAAGGGCATACGCGCCCAATTATCCATACTGTTACATATTGATGTCACACGCGGCTCGATAGAAAAACGCCAACTTGACAGCAACATTGTGAAGCAGTACGCGCTGCCCAATCCTGAACACTGCTTCAAAGTTCTCATGCAGAATGAACACTATGCTCAAGATGTTCAAGAGCTCTTGGAACGCACAAAAACTCACCGTGCGTACCTGGTCACTGGCTTTCTCACTGCTGTTGGAACAACCTGGACGATTGAGAGCACATCTAGCACGGAAAATGGCTTTGGTGTCAACGTTCCGGTGTCGAGTTTTCTCAGCGTACCTGCTGGAGACGTATTGAATTTCACTCTCCAGCCTCAGATATGTTCCGAGACACTAAACAGTCGTGAATTATTCTCTGAGGAGGAAGAGATCTTTGCGGTATCATACTCTGTCGTCGATTTGAAACGCCACGGCTGCCTGTTGCCGGGCTTCGGCATCAAAACTCCAGTTTTGGGGCTCCAGAAAAGGGCAAAGGCCTATCACCTGGCTCTTGGCGACAGTGATGATAGTAGCGAAGAGTTCGAGTTCGATTCGGATAATGAGTTTGTTGATACACATACCAAACTCTCGGACGAGGTAATCCTCAATGTTGATCACAACATAGAGATCGGGGGGCAGATATATTTCGAGGTTGAGTCCATTTTGAACCCCGAGTGAAACCCCATAGAAATTATTCGATCATTATTCTATGAGCCTGATACAGACTTAGTAGTTTTGTTAAGTTAGGAAGATTGAATCAGAGGTGGTCGAGGGCAAAGGCAATCTCCAGATGCAGATTTACTAAATTGAATGGGAGTCATTGAGCGAACAAACTGTGTAGATGCACTATATTCAAAGCCTTTTCCTTGTTTGGAAACCGTCGGTTCTTAATGTACGCTCGGACCTTGCACCGCCCAACACCTACTTGGGGTCCCCAATAGACTGCAAAATATTCACTATCCAGTAAGCGAAGATATGGGGTCATAGAATGAGCGAACTACGAGCGCACCTTGGGCCCTTCATTCTAGTTTGCCCAACTCCATTAACGATCCATATCTGTGAGACAGGGAGGAAGGCTGTAGGTCGCGTAGGTCGCGTAGGTAGGCCTTAATGCACCTACAACAAGCCAAACCAATTCAATTTGACTATCCACGCTAGGCCTACCTCGGAAGGCAATAAACAAAGATACGCGGTGTTGGCAGTACTGGAGGGGCGGCTTTGGTTCCAAACGGAGGCCCATGTATGGTGACTCGGTCTGGGGCGGGATTCTCCCCAGTCTGCCCTGCACCCCCCGAGCCAGGGTACTGGCGTGCCATCTTTGGTAGACCTGCCATGCTCCACCTTTAGTGTATCAGAGCTGCTGCGGCCCGTGTCTCTAAAGTCGGTTAGTACCTGTGCATCTATCTTCTGGCCTCAATCATTCGTTTATCGCGCTCATAGGGGTTCTATAACGACCAGACAGTGGTCATTGCCACAACATATCTGATACAGCGTCAGCAAGTTTTTTAAATACTATATAGACCTGGTTGTACCCAAAAAAAAATAGCAACGGTGAGGAAAGGGGCAGGTATTGCATTGGCAAAGGAACATAGCAGGTTCAGCCGAGGGACCACGTCACTCAAGCAAGGGCTGAGTGGCAAGGCGGCAAGGGCACTAAGCAACAAGTCAAAAAAAATATGGGTAGCAAAAACATACAACAGGAGGGATTCGCTGGTGGTCACCCACCCAACTACTAACCTCCCGGCGTGTGGCTTAAGTACGGCTGAGCGGACGGGAAGCCCTGTTCTCCACACCCTGTGGTCGTATGTACTGGCTCTTCGATTGAAGAGGATTATACCTGTTGTTTATCTCCCGGGGGAAACACCAGGCTCTGCTGCGCTAGAGACGCCTGCCGCACACGTGAGTTCTTCCATCCAATTCCAGGAAGACGCAAACAAACAAGGCGTTGTTTGAATTAACAATCTCAACTCAGGAGATTCCTTTGGCAATAGAAGTATCTATTCTGAGGTCATTCCCAAGACATTCTACTTTGTTAGGCCACGTAAGAGAATCAGAGGTCCTGTAAATTGTCACTCCATGTTGTGGTGTGCTTGTATGGATATTGGAGGTTTTTATATATATTCGCAGGCTCACATTCATAACCTACGGTCAGAGGATGTTGCCCATGTTTTTGACTCGCAATTCGTACATCTCCAGTCCTTTCACCTTTATAAATCTGGTTCCACCACAATGAAAGAAGGACAAAAAAAAACAAAAAAAAAAAACAAAAATCTTTCAAAAAAGGCAAAGGCAAAGACAAAAGGGCATCGATTAGACGGCTCCTTGCCACCGCCTTCCTGAGTCGGTACTTTACTGGCAGAATTCGACTTGTGCCATCAAACAATTCCCGATTGACGCGACTCAAATACTCAATATCAATCCACATCAATGCCAGTCTTGCGATGACCATATATCTGGCCAATCGGATCCTTGAATAAAAAAAATAAATAAAATAAACACTAGAGATTCCGAACACCTCGGCTGTACGAGTCGTACAAGTCACTGGCTCGTAGGATTTCCATCCGGCCGAGTTTCCGATCGAGATCCACCGGGGAAGAGTTGTGGTATAGTATGTCTTTAGTGCTTGGGGATAGTGATCAAAGGCAGATTCGATATGATCCTGGTCAATATAATGGTACAAGCTTGATAGATCGGTGACACAGTACTTTGATCATGAGAGCGGTTAGCCTGCGAGCATACATTAGCATCACCATGTCAGTTCCGGCCGGTTCATGCAAGTGGCGGCCTCTAATTGTGAACAGAATCGCTCTTCGTCAGCCAACTTCTCAGTCCAGCTTTCAGGTTGTTTCGGAAGGGCAGGCCATATTTCGTGTCCGCCTTGTTGCTCTTCCTTCTTTCGGTGCTCCACGAGCATCTCCTTCACACTCTTCTGGAAATAGATCGGGCCCTAACCTCGCCGGTCAGAGAGAAATCTCCTGGTATAAGACTGGACGGCGTACCTGTTCCTTGTCCGGGTGAAGCTCGCCGTTGACAAAGACTCCCCCATCCAGATTGCCCTGTGCGCCCTCGCACAACTCCTTATCCTCGTCAAGCACCTGTCGATAAAAGGCGTTGATGTCATCGAATTCCTTGTCTGTCGCATCTTGATGACGATATACTTCGTTCTCAATCTTACTCTTGGTTGCAGAGATCGGGATCATGCGTTGGATATAGAAGAATTTGTCACTTCCTGGTCAGCGATATACGTCCAAGGCCGGTACGCGTTGTTTTGTTACTTACGTGACGGTGACTGAGGTGGTTGGGAAGAAATAAGTAATGGCCCGTTTAAACTGGGCATCGATCTGTTCCTTGTTGAAGATGTGATGCTCCATGTATCCCGCCGTGGGCTCCACGCGATAGCGAGGCAGATCCGACACCCCACTGATGAGCGGATGAGAAGTGGCACAATGATAACACTCGTTGTAGTTCTCAATCACTCCCTTCCAGTTTGCATCCAAGTCCATTTCCCAGTAGTGGTCGAATGTGTATTCCCCGGCAAAATCGAAATCCTGCATCCGTGGCTGCTCGTCGATGTTCCGGAACTCGTCCTCCCATCTGACATCCGGTGAGCCCGCCTGGAGATTCACCCAAACGAAGCCGGCCTTGTCGATATGAACATGGACGGGAAGCAACCCGTGCTGGCTTTTGTCGAATTCTGGCACCGTTTCGAAGCGCGGTGCCTTGGCGAGGTTTCCCTTGAGCCCGTAGGACCACCCATGATACTTGCAGCTCAGAATGGAGGTCGACCCCGAACGACTTTGAACGACGGGGAATGCGCGGTGCCGACAGATGTTGTGGAACCCATTGATGTGACCGTCACGGTCTCGGACCAGGAAGAAGGAGAAGTTTGCCACGGTGAAGGAGAGGAAGTCGCCTTGTTGGTTGAACCGGCTTGAATGGGTGAGGAGCAGCCAGCGCTTGGAGAAGATAGCTCGGCGTTCCAGCTGATACATCTCCTCAGAGCGATACCATGATGCAGGAATTCCCCGTGGAGGCTCTTTCTCCGGTTGCTTGGGTGAGAAGCCCAAGAATTGCCACATCTTTAGGAGAGACCTGGGTATTAGCGTGTTCTAGGAGCAAGAATAATTACAGATTGCCATCGCCGCGAAGATCCTTGGGACAGCTATATACGGCATAGACCGAGCGGGGAATTACTTGAATTACTGGAATGGAGAGGGTCTCAAGAATGGGGAGGCTGATAAACTATCCTATATCAAAGATGGGGGCAGTGGGGGCCCGCTCGACATGCATGAGACAGACTCTTTAGCCACACTTTGACCCCAACAATCCAATTTACACATGGTCGCTATAGTCGAGACTCCACCCGGTCATTCTCTTGTCGGACACCCCAATTGCGATCCACCTGGTTATTGTTAGTTGTGCTCGTAGAACACCACCCGGAGAACTCACATCCGCAATATGATCATATCCCAATAGTTTCGGCGCCAAGCCTGGATCTCTCCAAGCCAAAGCCTCGCCTTCAGCGTGGGTGTCATCTGCATCTTGCGGTCCCGTTCCTGCTGTTCGGCCCCGTCGTGCAGGTGGTAGAGATATTGTTGGATGTTTCCTCGATCTACGACCATCGATGTACGCTCCTTGCGACACCGTTGGAAAACGGACAGGGCGTGCCTTTTGGCATCGAGGAACTCGGGCGACGTCTTCGCGATATCGGGACGGTCGGGGAGGCGAGATAAACATTCCCCGAGAACGGCACCGTCTTCAAAGGCCATCCCGGCCCTAAGAGATTCTCGTTAACTCCAAAGTAGACACAGGAACCGTCAGATCATACCCTGAAGCTAGATACGGCAAGGTCGCATGCACAGCATCGCCCAGCATGATCCAGGAACCGGAGGGATGAGACCAATCGAACTCCCCAAAGCGAATGCAAAGCCTCCATTTTTGCACCGACTGGCAGAGCCTGAGTAGCTTTTGGATACTATTGTTCTTAGTTGCTGCAGGGGCAGTAAAGGACCTGTCGCAGTCACCTACCGGGGGTCCCAGCCTTGAAACAAGGCGCACATCTCCTCCACATTGCCTTCGATCGTCGATGCGAGGGAATCCTCGGGGATATCATCTGGCACAAGCAAGACCATGTTGAATAGATCGCCGCCCCGAAGTACGTAATTCACTGCTATAGTTAGCTTGATTAAACAGAATCATCGAAAGGCAACAAACCAGCATGAGCATCTGGGCCCAGCCAATAATTGACCTGTGGACGGTTCACAAACGGTGCCAGTTCTGGGTCTTTTCGCATCTCCTCCGTGGACAACAACAGACGATATGCGAGATCTCCCGTTTTGACTGGCGGATCGCTGCGCCCAAGCAGCTCCTCCGTCAGCTTTCCAAACACGCCGTCGGCTCCGATCACTAAATCTCCTTCCCACTGCCTACCATCCGCTGCCACCACTGCCGCTGTGGCCCCGTCGTCGCTTACATGAACGGTTCCGATGCGTGCATTGCAGGTCATCCGTACCCCAAGCTCCAGAGCTCGGTCAACCAGACACCGCTGGAGATCAGCACGGTGAAAATCCCGATACCATGTCCCGGGATAATTGCTCTCGGATTCGTGAAAGTCCAAGTGGGAGATTTTGTTTCCCTTCCATCCAAGAAAATTACACACACTGGGAACCGTCATATGCGGGGTCAACGCCTTCTCCAGACCCCAATGCTGGAGAACGCGCGAGCTATTCGGAAGAACCTGAATACCGGCGCCAACTTCTTTTATTTCCTGGGCAGCTTCCAGAATATGAACGGAGTGTCCGGCGAGAGCACAACTAATGGCGGAGCCAAGTCCTGCCAGGCCAGCCCCGACAATCAGAATGTCCAGTCGGCATGATTGGGAACGGGTCTGTTGTTGCTTGATGTGAATGCGAGGAGCCATGGTGAACGAAAGTGGACCAGATGACAGCCGTGTGGGGTATGTTTTGGATCCTATCCCGAGATGCACTCGTGTATGGGGGGTATTTATGATAGCTTCTTTGCGCTTGAGAGTCCGTGGATCAAAGATGGGGGTTATCGCCGGCCACCCAACCGCCGAGATCCGATACTGCAAGGGGCACAGCTATATCTGAGGGGCTAAAAGCCATGAACTGGTGCATTGTGGAACATGGAAGAGCATTGACGCTCCGGTTCAGGTTTCAAAATTTGCCATGATGTCAAAAGTAGGTGGTTCCTTTGGGCTATCCACGCGTAACGCTGACCGGTCAGTTTTCGCTCCAGGGTCGAACTGCGCTCGTGACGGGGGGCGCCCGAGGCTGTGGACTCGCTTTTGCGCGTGGACTGGCCGAAGCAGGGGCGAATATAGCCGTCTTTGATCTGGTAGATCCGGACACGGCTTTCTATACCATTGAGAAGGACTATAATGTTCGCACAGCGTATTACAGGTTGGCGATCCCCATCTCATACATGCTAAGTGGCTGACCCCAAATAGAGTCGATGTGTCGTCGCAGGAATCGCTGGAGGGTGGATTCACGCAGTTCCAGAAGGACTTCGAGAATGCTCTCGATATTTGTGTCCCATGCGCTGGGATCAACCGCCATCTCCCTTTTCTGGAATTTACCTACAAAGACCACCACGATCTGGTCTCGATTAATGTGCTTGGACTATACTTTACTGCTCAGCTGGCCGCAAAACAAATGATTGCGAACGGAACAAAGCACGGGAGCATCATTCTTGTAGCTAGCATGGCTAGCCACATTGCGGTGCGAAGCCAGCTATGCAGCGCATACTGTGGAACCAAAGGAGCTGTTCGATCTATGTGCCCTGCCATCGCAAAAGAGCTGGCAGAATACGTGAGTGTTGGACACCGTGCCTTCCAAACGCCAACTGACCATGACAGGGCATCCGAGTGAACTCCATTTCTCCCGGATATGTGCGAACAGAGATGACTGCCGCTGTAGGGTTCCCAGAAGACTCAACTGCGGTGCTGTCCCACGCTGACTTCATTGACAGTTCCCCCATCTTGCGCAAGGTTGGGAGTCGGAAGCCATGAATGGCCGTATTGCTGAGCCCGAGGATATCATGGGGGCGTGTACTTTCTTAGCGAGCGATGCCAGTGCGTACATGACGGGGCAGGATATCATCGTGGATGGGGGAGTCACTCGATGGTAGCGGCGATAGGGCAAGAGTGGGGGTCGGCTCTTACTCCGCATTTAATCTCTCATATTCTATAATATATGAGGTCCATCTTGATGCGGACTTGTTGAGCCGGCTGTATTTCGCTGAAAACAAAGAGTCGCAAAACATGGCACCCAGCGTAGACAACGAAGGATATAGTTCTAGAGGCCCCGTTGATGCTTCGGTTACGGTCGTGGTGGTCGGCGCAGGGCCGTCCGGGTTGATGCTCGCGTAGGTCCGCTCCGAACAACCAGGCTTTGGCGACTCATATTTTTGCAGATGCAATCTCGTTCGATTGGGTATTCATGTGCAAATCTTGGAGGATCGTCCGGACAAGACCTCCACCGGCAAGGCGGATGGCATGCAACCCAAGACCATCGAGACATTCAAGCAAATGCGACTCGCGGATCCCTTGTTGAGAAATGCCGCCCGTGTGTATGATATTTCTTTCTGGGTAAGCCAGTACTATATCAAACCCCATTTGACCGTGGCTAAGAGGTCCCAGCAATCCACAGCAGATAAACCGCTCCACCGAACAGGACGTCAAACGCATTACCCGGAGAGTCTCGTCGGCGCCTCCGATCCCTATATCCTTCTGGCACACCAGGGCATGGTTGAGGAGGTCCTGATCGATGATATGGAGGCGCGAGGTGTCGTCGTCATGAGAAATAGTCGGTTTGCCTCCTGTTCACGCGTGGCAGGCACCGGGCAACTGGATGTCGTATATGAGGACCTGGCGAGCAAGACTGTCCAGACAATCCGCGCCGACTACCTAGTGGGATGTGACGGTGCTCGATCAAAGGTGAGGGAATGTATTCCAGATGCGCAATTGGAGGGGAAGGTGACCAATGCCTCATGGGGTGTGCTGGATGGTGAGTTCACCTGGCTCTTATGTGATATAAAACTAAGGAATAGGTGTGATCGATACCGACTTTCCCGACCTATGGAGCAAAGTTGCGGTGCGTTCCGACCTGGCCGGGTCTATTCTTTGGATCCCTCGCGAACGCAACATGACTCGATTATACGTTCAGCTAAGCGAGACCGACGGCGAACGGGTCGATAGGTCCAAGGCCACACCCGAGTATGTCATGCAACGAGCCAAAGATGCGATGCATCCCTTTCGTCTTGAGTGGAAGACCATTGAATGGTTCGGAAATTACGTGGTGGGCCAACGCGTAGCAAAACGTTTCATGGACTCCGAGGCGCGGATCTTCATTGCCGGTGATGTATGACACTGATCTCGCGCTGTATCCCGCCTGCTTCATGCTAAAACACGACAGGCTGGACACTGCCACTCTGCGCTTGCAGCACAAGGAGCGAATACAAGCATGCATGACAGTTTCAATCTCGCATGGAAGCTGAATCTTGTTATTCGTGGTTTGGCTCAACCATCCCTTCTGGCCACCTACGAAGCGGAACGGCAAAAGATTGCTTACGATCTTATAAACTTCGACGCACAGCATTGCAAAGCGTTCTCGCAAGGGGAGGCTGCCCTTGCCAAGAACTTTGATGAGAATATTCGCTTTATCTCTGGCGTGGGTGCAGAATATTCGCAGGGCCTGCTGAGCCGAGGCAGTACTGGCAGATCAACCCCCCTGAGACCCGGCACTCTCCAGCTTCCAGCAAAAGTGACTCGGTACATTGACGCCAACCCGGTTGATATCCAGCTTGATATCCCGCTGTTGGGCCAGTTCCGAGTATACTTCTTTATTCCAGATGTTCCCAAGGCACTGGGATGGCTGAGGACCCTTTGTGAGGGACTCGACAATGCGACTGGGATGGGAAAGATATCCTCGCGAGCAGATCAGTCGTATGCGGTTCAACCCCACGGAGCAGCCCCGTCAGACACTTTCATGCAGCCACAACGATATACGTCCGTGTCCAGTGCTTTCACATATGCGATGGTGACTCAGTCGTCCAAGTCCGAGTTCGAAATTGCTGATTTACCTACGGTACTGCAAGAGAGTCGCTGGACCTTATATCTAGACGACGTCGATGCACCTCGTTGCACAGAGAAATGGCTTGGGCCATTGCGAGGAGAGCAGGTAGGTGTAGTGATTGTGCGGCCCGATGGATACGTTGGAGATATTGATACATGGGAACCGACGGCGGGCATTGAGGCAGTGAAGTGGATAGAGAGCTATTTTGCATTCATGGCGTAGGGCAGATTTGTTTTGTTAAAATTGATGATAGTTTACAAAACTGACTCGAGGTTTATATGTGATTCCTCTGGTAATTAACAACGTAAATTTAATAATTATTCAAGCTGGTTTCACACCCAAAGTGGACCATTTCATCGCCTACAGGAACGTATACAGTGAAAGCACTTTGTGCCTAGCTGAACGATGGGTTATGGCTTTGATCTCGTTTATCCTACAGCTACTGATGCTTTTAACTATCTCATGATTGGAGAAGGACTATACTTTGGAGGCTATGGATGATGAGGAATGGAAGGCTCCCCGTACAGAAATATGCATATGTGTACGACAATATGTCACATACTTCCTTAAGGGAAAGTGGAACGGCAATGATTTCTAAAGGCTTCACGTTGCTCTATGGCAAGCCAAGCTGGATTCTATTGTTAACATGTCATCATACGTAGGGAGAGCGTGTATTGGCGCAAGGCGGCACTCGCGCTAATCCCTCTGGCACAAGACCAGTCATACCGAGACTGAACACTAGACCGCACGCACGTCACCATCCCTCAGAGCTGCGTGAGCGAGAGTGGGGGGCAGGAGCAGTGTTATGGTGGGGGTGGGTCACAGTTCAAGGACTCTCGATTGACAATTGCAACCAAAGATGGCTTATCCCACTGTTGTCCCACCCTTCGCGTCTCCTAGTCATGGGAGCGGGGTGGCCATGGGTTATATAACGGCGATGTTCCTGTCTCACAGGAACAACAGATACCAGCTACAACCAATTACTTCACAATGGGCTCAGTCGATATTGTTGGACCTCTGTTTCAGCCCCTACGCTTGGGTGCGGTGTCCCTAAGCCATCGAGTTATCCAGGCTCCATGCACTCGGATGCGATCGACGAAGGAGTCCGACGGCGTGTTCGTTCCCAATGAACTGAATGTTGAATACTATTCACAGCGAGCCTCACCCGGAGGTCTCATGCTGACCGAGGCAACTCCGATTAGTCGACTTGTATGTATGAATCCTCGTCTAGCCACGGCGTTAGCTAACAGCTCAGGCTGCTGGATATCCAGGTGTCCCCGGTATTTTCACGGCCTCACAGATCGCCGGCTGGAAGAATGTCACAGATGCGGTGCATGCCAAAGGCGCCTACATATATTGTCAATTATGGCATGTTGGTCGGGCGACAGTGCCGTCATTCATCGAAGGAAACCAGGCCCTGAGTGCCAGTGACATTCCCATTAGCGGAAAGGCATTGGACGGTAGCGAGTATGCTGCGACGCCGCCGCGACCCATGAGTGTGGAGGAGATCCAAGAGACTGTGAATGAATATGCCGCTGCCTCCAGAAGAGCCATTGAAGCCGGGTTTGATGGGGTTGAAATTCATGGTATGAACGGAACAGACACCCGATAAGAAAGAAATCAGTTCACTGAGAAAAGTATCACACAGCCGCAAATGGATACCTCCTGGACCAGTTCCTACACGACAATGTGAATAATCGGACAGACGACTATGGCGGCTCTATCGAGAAGCGGTCCCGTATTGTTCTCGAAGTACTCAAAGCAGCCTCCGCGGCCATTGGGGCGGACCGTATCGGAATTCGTCTCTCGCCATATAACTACTTCCAGGATACTCGAGACTCAAACCCGAATGTCCACTGGCTCTCGCTCTGCTCGCAAATTGCCAGCCTCCCCACGGAATCGCGACCCGCATACGTGCACATGGTTGAGCCTCGCTTTGACGAGGTGCTGGACGAAAACGCCAAAATCGATTCGCTTGCGTTGGAGAGACCGTCCTTGGATGTGTTCCGACCAGCACTCAAGAAGGGCGGCATCGCATTCCTGGCCGCGGGGAGTTTCAACCCTCAGAATGCGGGACCGAAGTTGATTGATGACGGAGCCGACGCCGTGTCTTCGGCCGCTGGTTCATCTCGAACCCTGATCTGCCTCGACGGTTGAAGGAGGGACTGCCATTGAACCCGTATGATCGGTCGACCTTTTATGGGGCTGACCCGGCGGAGAAGGGATACATTGATTACCCTTTCTACAGTAGATAGATGCAGGCCAGAGGAGAACATCGAATGCAATTACTACATGATTAAGATAAGGCTACTAGTACTTTCATGGCATCATGAACCACTGCCCAGCGGACCGTCGCTAGTTGCTGTGCCATCGCTGCTACTAACGGTTTGGGATCATACTTTCCGGACAGTGCAGCCAGCTCCGTAGTGCTGGGGCAGTTGGTCATCATGACAATAAGTGAAGACAGATCGGTATTCAGTCGGGGTTCGGAGGACGAAGGATCCATGCCCCGATGAAAGACCCAGCAGGCTAATGTAGCCAAGTAGAGACACCAGGGAAAATGAAAGGCATCTGCCTGGTCCCAGTCATGAAGACTCAACACCGCATCCTGCAGCAGATGGGATGCATGCCGTGCCACAGCGGTCGATGCCCCGGAGTCATCGTGTAGCCAACGAACGATATTCTGCTGAGACCTTGACTGGTCGGCGGGAGTGACTGTTCGTCCGAGAATCTGCACTGCTCCCGCGACAATCTGCAAGTCGAGGATCTCCACATTTAATGCCAGGCAGGAGGCATGATAGAGCGCATGGGCTGCCATTTTCAACCCGGTGAAACGACGTGGATCTGCTGTCTGTGCCAGTTTCATAGCCAGGCAATCTGCATCAAAGTCTACTTTCCATAGAACATAGGACCGGCTCATTCGTGGCGTCCACGCACCCACCCGATCTGGCGTTTCTGACCGTAGTGTGGTTTGATCTCGTCGCTTGAGATCGGCTGATACCGACATCAAGCCATGGAGGATCACCGTGCGAGCAAAGACATTGAGGTCTCGGGGTCGAGACACCGATCCTGGGGTGATGTAGCCTTTGAGAACGGCGAGGAACGGTCGGTTTGTTTCACGGGAAGCGAGGTGCGCCCACTCTCGAGCGGACGATGCTTCCCAGGTGGCAGCGCTACAGGGCAAACCAGACCGGATCTCAAATGCGGACATGCAGAGGGATTGCGAGAAGAGAACCGCGTGCTGCGTGTCCCACATAAAGCAAAGCATTGCCAGCCTTTTCCGCTGTTCTGCATCCATCGCCTGTCGCCATGCCTGATCGATATCCTCCGATCGCGCGAGATGAGGCGAGTCTTGTATACTGCAGCAGTTACTACGGCGAATGAGCTTAATGAGGACACAGTGGAAGAGCTGAGCGCGCTCGCGCTGCTTGGGACCGGCCCTCATCTTTCCAAAGCAGTCAATGAGGAGCATGGCTTGCAAGACCCAGAACTCTGGCTGTGGTGAGAACTCGTCATGGCACAAAAGCTGGTTGCGAAGTTTGTCGTGGATCCCCACGGCGAGCTGATGAGCCTCACGCGTGCTGTAGGTCGCTCCCATGAAGAGAACAGCCGCAAGGAAAATTGGGTCCACGGTTTCTGGGTTGAAGGTTGCCTCATGGACAAGGGGATATGTAACATTGAAGCGCGTGAAGAAGAGATCACAGTAGCTTTGCAAAGCCCCCAGGGTCAGCAGAGGCGAGTCCAGCGTCCGTGGCCGACCGTCGATACCGACAGGGGATACCTGCATCACCAGGGATAGGATGCCTCGCCGGCAATTCTCCGACAGTCGTGGCAAGTGTGGCGGCGGACTGGGCCCCAGAAAAGAAGTCCCGGACATCCAGTCTGTCTCCAGGATCTCAGGCATAATCGGGGACAGGGCCGACTGTGGCATTTGTCCTTTGTTCATCATAGATGCTACCTCTAACAAGGCGGATGGGCCATCGTACTTCTCCACTGCCTGATTGTAGTCCGTGTTAAGTGCGCCAGGGAACGGCTCTGTATCGAAGCCGAGCGGGAAATCGAATTGATGAAAGGCATCATCCAGGGAGGCGACATCGAATAGCCAGTTGTAGTTGCAGGTCGCTGCAAAAGGAAGATTGAAGTCGGTTGCTATGTGCATTAGACACGTTACGATGGGACTGGAGCCAGGTGCGACCCATACCTGTGTCCGTGCTGAAGAAATCGCCCATGCCACCCAACCCGACATTGAATGAACCGTCGGCTGCATCAAACTGCCCTGGAATCGGCTCCACATAGGGTTCAAAGGGACCACCGGGCATCATTGGCGCTAGAAATGGATCCGTCTCGACAATCGGCAGGGAGGTGGGATCGGTGCCAGAAATCGGCGGTGATATGGGGGCCTCGTCCATGGGCTCTTCCTCTTCCTCTGCTACGAGATCCTGGCCCGACGACAAGGAAGCGGTTGTCGAACGTGCTACCGACCGCATCTCTCGCTGCGAGGGGCGCACTATGATGGTGCCATCCCGAGCTCTGCGAGTCCTCTTGCGTGTGTTCAGGACGCCTAGCCCTGGACCGCCGGCTTCTTCATCTCGTTTGTCATGACGCAGCATGTGTCGGGCTGAGTCGATTAGCCTTGGGGACTCCGATCAATGTCGAATGAAACTGTCGCTTACCGAGTAGATCCGGACGCTGAAAGTGGACCGTGCAGCGCTTACAGGTAAAGCCCTTGCGTGGCTGTTCATGATTGAGTGCATGCCGACGGAGGTGCTCGGCGCGAGTGAAGCTTTTGTCGCAGCCGGGATATTCACAAGCGTGATTCTTCATTGTGTTGCAAATGGATCTGGAGTAATCGCGCCCTCGAATCGGTGGGAGTGGCAGTTGGGAGCTGCATAAGAATCGCAGGGGCCGTCGGAAGGATGACCGATGTCGCTGATAAGAATGCGGGGGCAGTGGGGAGAAGTTCATGCAGAGATAAATCGATTGATAGACTAATTTCACTTGTTCCCTATCTCTCAGGGTGACCAATTATGACCCCGATGCCAAGTGGGCTAGCAATGTCGAGAGATGAAGTAAAGATTCTGCCATCCTCGACTGTGAACGCTGCCGTGGTCGAACACATAGCCCTAATATATCGATTGCTCCACCCATAACCTGCCACTAATGGATGATCTACAAAAAGTACCGCCATTGCATGCTCTGACTGCCCTCCTTGAACTGACTAGTATCCACTCCATCTTCTCGTAGTCTTACTCCTTGTTCCCGATCGCGACGACGATTCTCGAACCGCATCCATACGCCTAATCCGGTCACGAAGATGATGCAGACAGCATTACAACAGCACGTCGCAATCAGTGTAGGAAGATATCTGCACGGAGTCAGTCACAAATGCCTTCCTCTTCCCTCTCTCCAAGTCCGGGTGCGACATACTTGGGGGCGTACTCAGTCCGAAACGTAGCGGCACTCACGACACCGGCGAGATTCCCCAAACCCACCAGAAACCCCGTATTGGCCGCGCGGGAGTTTTCATGGACGTTGTTGTTATTATGCCAAGCATGAACCAGGCATGATGGGATATATGCGCCAGATGCCATGAGAAAACAAGCAAAATAGGCCACTCCCTTATGGTGAAGAACATCCATTGCAACTAGAATAACCATCCCCACAAGGGAGAGGGTGAGAGAGAATACAATGTGAAAGGTTCGCTCGCGGAAATAGTCGGATGATTTGGCGACGCCGAGCAACACCACTGCGCCCACAAGATTTGGGGCAACCGTCCACAAATTGGTCTTGACAACAGAGTACCCGAGACGTTGCACAATCTGTTTCGGTCAGGGCTGAAGGATCGGAGACGATCATCAGGCACTCACTAGAGGGAAGAAGTTCATTGCGGTTGCGTAAGCAACTGGGTAGGTGAACGATATGATACACCAAATGGGGAACTGCCAGTCGCCCCAAGACTGAAAGCAAGCTTTAAGATTGAACTTGGTCGCAACCTCTGATGAAGAGTCTCGAAGGAGTCGAGCAGTGGCTGCCTCTCTCTCCCTACCGTTCAGGAACCATGCCTGTTGTGGGTTATCTGGGAGCACCAGAAAGCCGAAAACCCCAATTATCAAGGTCATTCCCCCCTCGATGATAAATAAGTACTGCCACCCTTTCACCGAGGGACTGTCAATTTGGAATACACCGAAGGAGATCAGTCCACTAAATGCTGAAGCCAGAACAGCGAATGACTGTACAATGGCCAAGCGAAAACCCATTTCCCCGCGAGTGTAGAAAAGGGTCAAGTAAAAGGTGGCTCCAGCAAAGAAACCTGCCTCAAAAATGCCGAGAATGATACGAATGACAAGTAATGAACCAAAGTTCTTAGCGGCACACTGGCAAAGGGCAAGAATACCCCAAACCACGGACACTGGAGGAATCACAACGGACGATTTAGCTATTTCCTCGGCGCCGTGTCTTGGGATGAGCTTACTGGATGAGAGCATAATTCGACCCGAATAGCGCTTCATCAGCAGGTTCCATGGCAGGTCAAAGAGGCCGAATGGAATATAGAAGAGAAGAATCAGTAACGAGTAATCATTGCCCTGAAAATGCAAGTCGTCGTCGAGACCGTCGGTTTTGGCATTTGCCAAGTTACTCTGGCCATATTAATTAGTATTGTGCGTGCAACTATATCAGGACAATGAAGACCCACGCGATCCATGCAATCAAAGAAGTACATCTACCGGCGTCAGTCTGGGATCGGTTTGGTGTCTGCGACCGGTCTGGATATTCTCACCAGGCACAGCATTGGCAATACCCACAGGTCCACTTTTCTGCGGTATGCCCGTTCGGCGTCGGCGTCTGCGTCTGCGTCAGTGGAGCTTTGCCCCATACTTACTTCGGCATCTGGGGATGTCATCGCAGACTGCTTCCGTTCAGACATATTGGGCGGGCTCTGGTTTTCCTTTCTCCCATTTTTCTATCACCGGCAGCCTCCTTAAATGCTACTCCCGGTGTTACATGGCTCACGAAGAGTCCAGTTCGCTCTGACCGTACCCCATATCTACCAAAGAAGCGGTATGATAGCGGGTACAAAAGTACGGAGTATTGCCAAGTCGAGGCTAGAGACTGAGTGCCGAGATAACAACCCTGCCTCGCGCTGTCGTCTTGCCTGCAGATCGTCTTATCAATGCACCAACTCTATCACCCCATCTTTGGGCAGCACCCCCACCCTCGCATCCTCGCCCTCGCTGTCTCCCGATTGTGCACGAGGGGTTGGAAATCGGCCTTCTGGCCGAATCTTGGGGGGAATGAGGAGACCCCGACGGGGTTTGGGAGGGATATATTCGAGCAGGACATATGGTCAAAAGATGTAGACACAACCGCGAGAAGAACCACACGACCAATCACTGAGAACGATGACCGCACCAGCTGCCCCCCCAATCCTGGACTTCTCTGCTTTCTATGGTAGCGACAACGAAGCCAAGGCCCAGTTGGTAGAGGAGGTGCGCAACTGCTGCCACTACAATGGCTTCTTCCAGATTACGGGCCATCGCGTGCCGCTCGACCTGCAGCGCCGCGTTATGGAATGCTCCAAACGCTTCTTCGACTTGCCTTTGGAAGAGAAGATGCAAATTGACAAAAGTATGCGCCTCAATCTGCGACCGAGAACGGACTCTCACTGACCTGGTAGATCTGAACACCTTTAACCGCGGCTATGAGCTGCTGCGATCGCAAATGCTCGAAGCAGGCACCGGCCCCGAGCTGAAAGAAGGGCTCTACATTGGCGAGGAGATCCCCGAGGATCACCCATACTTTGTCCAGAAGAAGCTGAACAGTGGTCCCAATCAATGGCCACAGACGGTCCCCGACAAGGCGGAGTTCCAAAAGACAACGATGGAATATTATCACGCAGTATTCGAGCTCGCGAAAGACGTGCTGGGGGTGGTTGCGTTAACGCTGGGTGTGGACGCGACCTTCTTCGAGCCTCTCACCGAAGGCGCTGTTGCCACGATGCGTTATCTGCACTATCCCGCGCAACCGAAGGACCAGGACGAGAAACTGAATCGTGGAATTGGCGCACATACCGACTTTGGATGCGTCACGCTGCTCCTGCAGGATGAAGTGGACGGCTTGCAGGTCTTGGACGTGCCTACTGGGCAGTGGCTGGATGTTCGTGCCTCTCCTGTCCGTCTTGAATCCATCACTAATCCATGTCATTCACAGGTGAAACCTGTCGAGGGAGCCTACGTCGTCAACCTGGGCGACCTGTTCATGCGCATGGCCAACGATAAATACAAGTCCAACATTCACCGCGTGATCAATAAGTCGGGCCGTGAGAGATATTCGATTCCGTTTTTCTTCAGTGGAAACCCAGACTACCTTTGCGAGTGCCTACCGAACTGTCGCGCGCCGGGCGAGCCAGCCAAATACCCACCGATCACCGTCCAGGATCGGGTGACTGAAGCCTACAAGGATAGCTATGGTCGGGCAGAACAATACAAGAAGGAGCTGGAGATGCAGGCCCTGGCGTCTACTCCAGCGGTAGCTTCGGTGGGAGCGTAGCGAGCTAGGTTGGATCCTTGTGATGTTGTCTTTTCTTTTTCTTTCTTTCTTCTACTGCTTCCATAGCTTGAACTGCATTATGATCATGATAATTGTACCCATTTATCCTATGACGATCTTGGTAAGCCAATGGATGCCTGCCGCGTAATGCGGTTATGATAAACTGTCAAGCGGGATAGGCACTTCCTCCTGGCCCAGGCTCAAGGATGGGCCTCGTCCTCGTATGCCTCACCAATGGACACGCAAAGGTGGGGGGAGCCTGCCTACGTCTGACCCCGTATCATATTCACCCACCTTTGGTATCGTCTCCTGGGGTCGTAAATTCTTGAAGATAATTGGCTGTTCCACATCCTAAGCCGAATGAATAGCCCTAAAAGTGAGTATATGAATCGACATAGAAGCATGGCCTGAATGCGAAGGGAGAGATCTCACGACCAACGAAATCGAAAATGGACAGAGTCGCCATGGAAAAGAAGCATAACCAGCCCGTTCATGATGTCGATCCAGATAAGGCCGCTGGCAATATGATTGCCCTCGATGATCATGAAGCTGAGCAATTCTATGGCTCTTCTACTACCCAGGCATACCGCCTCAAGTCCGAGCTGGTAGGAAGTTGCATGGAACAGATTGGCATGGGAAGGTGAGCATACAGCACACCTCTGTAGGTGGGAACCCTCGCTCACCGAATTAGGTTTCAGTGGAAGCTTTTTGTAGTAACAGGCTTTGGATGGATTGTGGACAACGTAACTATATCCTCCCATCCCTCCTGCCCCCCAGCCCTAACGTTCCGCCTGGTCAGTTTGCCTCTCAAGGCATTGGCAGCGTCCAGCCACCCATTGAACAGGAGCTTTCGGACATCGTCAGTGTCAGCTATAGCTCACTTGCCTACTACGCCGGTCTCATCCTAGGCGCATCTTTCTGGGGCATCTCTAGTGACTTAATCGGTCGACGACCCGCGTTCAATTATACCGTCCTGATCGCAGGTATCTTTCTCTGCGCGGTTGCGGGGTCGATGAACTTCGTGGCCTTCAGTGCTCTCTGGGCCGTTATTGGTACCGCGGCAGGCGGGAACGTCCCCGTGGGTTCGATGATGTTCTTGGAGTTTGTTCCCAGGAGGTCTGTGCCTCTACCGTCTCGGCTTCATCTGATAACTAATGGGCAACCAGCCATCAATATCTTCTCACGGCATTGACCGCATGGTGGAGCCTCGGTCAATTGATGGTCTCCTTGGTGGCATGGGTCTTCTTGGCCAATTTCAGCTGCCCAACAGACGCGACTCCAGCAACTTGTCCACGTCGCGATAATATGGGATGGTATGAATCCACACTTAACCTACACTTCGAGGCTCACCCGGAGATCTTCAGGCGGTATACAATGATTACCCTTGGTGGCATGGCCCTTGTCTTCACACTACTCCGTCTGTTTGTTTTCAAGCTCCCTGAGACTCCACGATATTTGCTGTCTCAGGGGAGGGATGAAGATGCAGTGGCGGCAGTCAACCATGTGGCCAGACAGAATGGAAGGCCAGAACCCTTGACCATTGGCATGCTTCGCGAAATTGATATGCGGCTGGGAGCTACGCCGAGTGCAAATGGAACCCACGCACGACTTTCCACCAAGCAAATGGTCTCTGAAACCCTGCGAAGCTTCAGGGGTGAACATTACCGCGCTCTATTCGCCACCTCGAAGCTTGGCAGACATACCATCATTACTTGGGTGATATGGCTAACCATCGGTAGGCTTGGTTCCTACAAAACACCGGGCACTGTCTTCTTAGATTGACATTTCATCACAGGCATCGGATACCCTCTGTACTTCAACTTCCTGCCGTCGTATTTAGCAACCAAGTTTACTCAGAACTCTACTCTCTCTCTAACATACCGCAACTACTGCATCACCTCCGCTGTGGGAATCGTGGGTCCACTATGTGCTGCGGTGGGCGTCAACACGACGCTCGGCCGTCGGTATATGATGGGAATCTCGTCTGTCGTGACGGCCGTGTTCCTTTTCGCCTACGTGGGGGTCAACAGCTCCACAGCCAGCCTGGCTTTCTCCTGTGTCACCAGTATCCTGGCGAATTTTGGTAAGGGAGCATGAGAGCCGGGAAGATCTATTGGCCGTGGAAACTAACCGGCTTTTCTAGAGTATGCAGTTATGTTCGCCTTCACCCCAGAATCCTTTCCAGCCCCCCACCGCGGTACGGGAACGGGCACTGCATCAGCTCTGCTGCGCCTTGGGGGCTTGGTGGCGAGTCTTGTTTCATCTCAGACCGGATTTACGAGCGCCCCGATCTATGCCAGCGCTGCAATGTGGGTCACGGTGGGAGCTCTCTCGTTTGGGCTGCCGTTTGAGACGCATGGTCATGAGGCGCTGTAAGATCCTTCGTGGGCGGTAGTGATCGAGCTCTTGGACCTTGTAGGCCACTTGTGGACTGAATGGTTGCGTCTACGAGTAGAAAGATGGGGTTAGCGGTCGGAAGCTTCCAGTGAATCGGACCAAGCATTCTACTCTACCTATGTACTGTTAACACCTCCGCAAGGGTGGGGGTGGCCATAATGTGTATATCGTTCTGATCTCTCAGATGGGCGCCACTGAGGTGGATAATCATATCAGGCCAAAGCCTGCAGCGGAAGATTGGGTCGACTAAAAGTGGGGAGAAGACATGCCATTTGAATCTTGTATCGTCCATTACATCGCAGGTCATGATATAAGATCGCTTGCCTTGGTGGAAGCCTCAAGTCGTCATTAGTCTAGTAGCCAGTTGCCCAGTAATCAATATGACCAAGGTTTTCACCAGTGCTGAAGGTACATCAATCATTCCCCACACCCAAGCCGGATCTAACTGCCCCAGTTGCCCAGCACAAGAACGAGGACAGCTGCTGGGTTGTTCTTTACGGAAAGGTCTATGATGTGAGTTCGACCTCTGCTCCCATTCTACTTCCATCATCGACTGCTGACCGGGACCAGGTCACGCGTTTCCTGTCCAGCCATCCTGGCGGCGCCCAAGCCATTCTGCGGGTGAGCGGTGGAGATGCCACAGACGACTTCGATCCCATTCATCCCCCCGAGACCATGCAGAGTCTCCAGTCGGCACAGATCGGATCAACAGACCGCGATGAGGAGGTGTCCTCTGCCGGTCATACTACGGGTGCCACGGACGAAATCGATGTTAACACCCTCTTGAACCTGGACGAGATTGAACAGGCAGCCAGCAAGGTAATCAGCCAGAAGGCGTGGGCTTACTATTACTCGGCGTCGGACGACCAGATCACCAAGGACTGGAACACGCAAGTTTACCGATCACTTCTGCTGCGTCCCCGAGTCTTTATCGACTGCCAGAAATGCGATGTGGAGACCGAGCTTTTGGGATGGAAGCTTGGTCTCCCGATCTACGTATCTCCAACCGCAATGGCTCGCTTAGGACACCCCAGCGGGGAGGCGGGAATCGCAGAAGCATGCGGTACCTTTGGAGCGCTGCAGATCATCGCAAATAATTCGTCATTGTCACCCGAGCAGGTGGTTGCTAATGCTGCACCGACGCAAGTATTTGGATGGCAGCTGTATGTCCAGCGAGACCGCAGTGCGAGCGAAGCGATGCTCGCACGGGTGAACCAGCTAGATGCGATCAAGTTTGTGGTACTCACGCTTGACGCGCCCGTCTCTGGAAAGCGAGAAGATGACGAGCGCATCAATGTGCAGGCTCATCCAGCAGGCAGTGTCAGTGCCCAGCTTTTCGCTGGCACAGATCCGTCTCTCACCTGGCACGAGACTCTTGAGTGGCTATCACGACACACAAAGAAGCCTATCATCCTCAAGGGTCTGCAGACTCATGAAGATGCCGCTATTGCCGCCCGGTATACACCCCTCGTCCAAGCTATTATCCTATCCAACCATGGTGGGAGATCTCTGGACACGGCACCACCGGCCGTACACACCCTCCTTGAAATACGGAAGTACTGTCCCCATATTTTCCTGAAGATGGAGGTGTGGGTGGACGGTGGGATTCGACGAGGGACCGACGTCGTCAAAGCGCTTTGCCTTGGTGCGAAGGCTGTTGGCATCGGACGGCCGGCTCTTTGGGGCCTTGGGGCTGGGGGAGTGAAGGGCGTTGAACGAACGCTACAAAGTGCGCCCCCTATTCTCTCGCCTGTGAATCTCCTTGATCATCTGCTAATATCCCGTCTTCGCCTGGTAGTTCTGTTGGAGGAGACCAAGACGTGCATGCGACTCTTGGGAGCTACCAGCATCCAGGACCTGGGTCCCCACTATGTAAGCCATGCCTTCCTTTGATCTCCCGATACCCACTGACTGGATTCTGTTCAGGTCAACTCCCGCATTGTGGAGCAGCAAATCTATCGGACGCCGCCAAGTGTCGAGGATGAGGGCGTTTTAGTGTGTAAGGGCAAGCTCTAGCCAACGTCAACATAATGTTTTCTTCGTCAGGGTGCGAGATCTAAGAAATGTCAAATGGGGGTTACTATCTTTTTTTCTCCGTACCTAGAGAGTCGCGATTCGCATAGCAAATCCAAGCATCAAGATCAATTCCCCCATCTAAGGAGAAACGATCTTCCCCCCACCTTTGATCTGCAACGATGGGGGGGGAAACACGAGATAACCGCGATGACGGACAATCCCCCGCTTCAACCCCTCTTACCGTCTTTCCTTCGCGCATTTAAACACCATCTTTCCACATTCATAAGCCATTGAGAAACCACTATCGCACGGCCTACCCTAGAATCCTCCCAGCGATCCGTATCGCGTCTGAAACGAGCAGAAAACCTCGCCAAGCCCCGCAACCCGCACCCCCGCACGTACCATGGGCAAGAAGCGCGTCTTAGTCGGCTACGGAGTCGACATCGACGCGGTCGCAGGGTGGCTCGGCTCGTACGGTGGAGAGGACAGCGTGAGCGATATCAGTCGCGGCCTGTGGGCGGGCCATGTCGGCACCCCGCGGCTGCTGAAGTTGTTCGAGAAATACAAGATCAAGGCGTCCTGGTTCATTCCCGGCCACTCATTGGAGACATTCCCAGAGGAATGCGCGCAGATCCGGGACGCGGGCCACGAAATCGGACTGCATGGGTACTCGCACGAGAACCCGGCCAGCATGACCCAGGAGCAGCAGCGGGACATTCTCGACAATACCTATAAGATGCTCCGCGATTTCTGTGGCAAGCCGCCGCGCGGGATCGTCGCCCCTTGGTGGGAGGCCAGCGCCGAGATGGTCGACTTGCTGCTCGCCTATGGGATTGAATACGACCATTCCATGTCCCACGAGGACTGTCAGATGTACTGGTTGCGGACCGGGGACTCATGGACGAAGATTGACTACAGCCAAAAGGCGGAGACGTGGATGAAGCCGTTGGTTCGGGGCCAGACGACCGGGCTGGTGGAGATTCCGGGCAGTTGGTATATCGATGACCTGCCGCCGATGATGTTCATCAAGAACTCTGCGAATAGCCACGGCTGGGTGAATCCGCGGGACGTGGAAGATATCTGGAAGGTGAGTGCTCCGTCTTGTTCTTGTGTTCTCCATGTCACCCACCAATGGGCTATTGGTGAAAGACCTCGTGTGGCTGATAGTGGATCTGTTGCCCGTCCTAGGACCATTTCGATTATTTCTATCGCGAATACGACGAATTTGTTTTCCCCATGACGATTCACCCAGATGTTTCCGGGCGACCGCATGTGCTCCTGATGCACGAAAGGTAAGCACAACGGCTGGAGATGGCACTCGACAGGGGCATTTGAGCTGATACGCGGCAGGATTATTGAGCATATCAATAAACACGAAGGGGTGGAGTGGGTGACATTCGAGCAGATGTGTGATGAGTTCAAGAAGAAGAACCAACCGCCCGCTGGGGCGCCAATGCCAGCGGCCGCGGAAAGTGTGCTCCGAGATACCGGAAATAATGTGCAGGGTGACCTGAAATAGTTCAGGCTGGTTAGATCTGGGGAATGACTGTGGATTCATTTCCACTGTCGTGGTCTACTTCCAGTGCTGCGGTAGTCACTCGGTTTAGGTATTGGAAAATATATGTACGTTAGTGAGCTGGCTTCCTAAACCGGACGGTTACTACTAGTTAGCTTTCTAAAGCTCAACCAATTTCATGAAGCTTCCGTGGAAAAGGCTTTTAGGGAATAAGACACTGTCTTTAGCTGTCCGGCATTCTTGGTGTGGCCTCTGAACGGAGTTGCGAGAGACGCGCCCGATGCTACGTTTGGACAAAAATTCCAGTTGATCCTCTGCGTTCTCAGCAGTCAAATAAATCACTAAGCATACAGTGGGTCATTCATCACGATTATCTCCGTACCCCAGTGTGGAGTAAGGGGAATATGTGGTATTTCATGCATGCGAGAGAAACAGAAGAGCGACGAGGGGGGGGAAGACAAGCCCGCAAATACTTCATCTCATCCAGGGTTAACCCTTCCATGGTCATGCAAACAAATAGATAGATACTCCTGCCGTCCGGAATCATTGTCAGGTAGTAATCCGCTTTCATCATACACCACGGTTTATTTGGCGAACCGAATGCCCGACATTTCCGAAATGTCCTGGCTTAAGAATGCATTCAGCGGTAGGCAGCGACGAACCAGTCCTGAGCAGGTTCACCATGTTGGGGGAGAGGTGGAGGCGGTGGAGCCTGCTCCCGCTCAGTCATATGGATGTCTTATATCTGTTCCATATCCACAGTGGTTGGTATAGCCGAGTTGAATGTAACCTGAATGATGTGTGGCCGAGGGGCATGTTGGCTGAAGAAGGTAATTAAGCCGAGTGCGAGACGCTTTGCGTGACCAATCTGTTCTGGGGACGGTGGACCTCCTAATCTACTCCGGATGAACCCTGGATGATGCTTGGATAGCGGTCTGTGGGGATTATTATGGATCTCGGTCTCTTGGGGGAAAAGATCGGAGGCTCGTGGGCCCCGGATCTTGGGGGCCAGAGTCTCGGGTCTGTTTTCACTCGAGGCCGGTTGATCAAGATTTCAGAAGGCTATAAGAAGAACACCTCGTCCTTCTTCCGTCTATCTTGTGCAATCTACTCCAGAATCTCGACCTGTCCTTCTACCACGAACCCTTGACCCCAACAGGCATAGCCAACATGATGATCCCTATGTTCCTTACTGCCCTTTCGGCCTTCCTCGCTGGTACATCAGCTGCAGCAGTCGAGCGGCGCGATCGCACCTGTACTGTTGAATTATCCGAGCAGCGCGGCCAGGTAAGCGCCATACACCATGTGCTCGGAGAGAGATGTCCCTAATGATCTCCAATCCTAGAACGCGGTCGGTGGTGGTGATAACTCACTGACCTGCGGTGTGAGCCTCGACTATGGTGACGGCCGCAAGGATGTCCTCAGTGAAGCATGCAACCAGATCTGGCATGCCGGTGATCACTGCTTCAGTTCGCAGCTGCCATACTCTATCTGGTAACGCTCTTTGATGTATCCCGATCGATTCCGACCGTGATGCTGACTCGAGATCATAGTATCCACACCAACGGTGACACCGATGGCTACCTGAACTACAGCAACGAACACAGGGACTTTAACGAGGATGGCTGTTCGCAGGACAGCTCAGCCAGTATTGGTGGTGATGCTCATACTATCACCTGCACCTTCCCATGCACATAGATAGGTACCAGACCTACAAAATGTACCAAGTGCAGCAGATATTCAGCCTGACGCCACTGCAGTTGAACATTTGCGGAGTTAAGATAGTTCATGTGTAAACACCTATACTGTACACTAAAAATGTATATACAATGAATAAATAGATAACGTGACAAAGGTGGACAGGTGACTCGAACGAGAGTAGCCAAAGAAATCATTCCGACTCACTGGGAGTATGTATGGAGACAAACTATGTATCGTCTCAGATAGATATTGCTGTAGGGGCTAGTCACGCCAACACATACCATTTCGCTCGATCGAGTCATGAACTGATAAACCGCATGAGACGGCGGAATTGCGGGAACGAATTAGAGAAAATGACCCTGAGGTCTCGATCATTCTTAGCCGTCGGAAGAAAGGTCGTGGAGGTGAAAAGCTGTGAGGATGATCTCCCAGCTGCTATCGTGGATCATGAGACAGAAGGGTACACACCCACACGTGGTAAGACCATCGTGGCACTGAGCCTTTTCATCAATTGTCGGACAGTCCTAATAGAAGCCTGATCACACCTCCTTCAGGTGAGCCTTTTCGCTGTTAGTCTCGCATGTTTTACAGTGGAGTATGTCCCAGTACTTTGTCACACAAGCTAAAACGCCTTAACTATCGTCTGCCGAAGTCTGTGATAGTCGTTGATTGTGACAAAAAAAGGCAAGGCATTGGGCAAGCCTGCGGATAAAATCAAAGAGATTGCTTATCGTCTATACTGCTATATTGAAGGTCGATGCAATGGATGTCTTTGCGTAAGGAGCACACGTGCCTGGTGGCATTTGGGCACAAGTAAGGTAGGTATCTGAGCAAGCTGGCAAGGCTTGCGACAGGGCTCTGGACGTTGCATCTGACGACTTGATAAGAACTTCTGTGGAAGAGGACTGGGTGGACAAAGACAGAAGGGGTGGGGGGTCAGGGCAACTATTCTATCTGAAAGCAGGCGTAGGGCTGTTGCAGTCTTGCTTTCATCGATGGAGTGCTGGCCAGCATTAGAGAGGTTGGAGAGCGGTATACTTGGTTAAAGTAACAGTCGAGAGGTATGTCACCAACAGGGATCACTTCCTGATCCCTAATTTACGAAGGAAGATCTCTATTTGGCCTTTGGAGATAGGGAATTTCCAATCTAGCCCAAGGACACTGATACGAACCTTTCGGGTAGGATGCTCCTCCATAATCCGATATATGTATTCTCACCCCAGCACTTATTATTCACTTCAACCATTGTGTCTTCATGTGACATTATGTGTAAGTAGTTCTTTACTATGAGCCCTAATGAGTATAATCAGGGAGTGATTGCAGGGTTTGAGTCCTTCCACCTTTGAACTTTAGAAATGATCAATATGTTTGGAGAAAAGGAGAAGACGTTTCATTCGAGTATACTATAGCAGAAAAGGCTATGGAAATAACCCCGATCCTTGAGTGGTACCTGCACCACTTGACATAATACGCTTAATAGCAACGTTTCTGTGGGAAGTCAGAAAGACGATTTCAAATTACAATCGGGGAAGGTGCCATATACGCAGCAGACGAGAAAAGAACCCGAGCCGTCACACTTGACCAGGCCGCTATGTACATGTTAGCATCCTTCGAGGGCATTGTTCCCAAGTTTGGAGTACTCACTGGGCGCCACAGGTGTCTGGGCTGTGGACCTCCTATTCAATGATCAGAGGATTCATACGTTTGATAGTCAATGCCATCTACATACCTTACAATCCACACCCTGCTGTCTCTGTTCTAGAGCGGGCCCGGCGTAGGCCAGGGTCAGAAGGGTAGCGAGGATGGCAATGACGCGCATATTGAATCACGGATAAACTAGGTGATTATTGTGGCTTTATTCGAGTTAACTAGGATGGTATGAGAAAGAGGATGGATTCGGGGGGAAGATTATTAACGATTTATATAATAACTGTCCCTTCCTTCTAGATAGGTCAATCTGCTAGGAACAACACTGTATAGCCCCATTATGACGTGGCCGTCATCTAACACAGACACGCCAAGACAGGGCTATATACATAAGACCTCCCAGATTCGTTCCAAAAGAGAGGAGAAAGCGAACACAGTCCGTTGAAAATATAACCGAGGCGGTGCAGGCGGTTTCCAATTCGCTCGTAGCAGCCCGTTGATCGGTTACTGCTGGGGGCCTTGGACGCCTAGCTTGTCGATCACTATCTTGGCACAGCGATGAGTGTCCAAGATGAGTTTAAACAACCCCAGCACTTGATCCGCAAGCGGTTTGGCAAGAGGGGCCGTGGCGGTGTACCCCAGGAAGATAGCCACGGAGGTATTGACTGTGATCGTTGTTAATCCAGGGGTGGGTAACTTAATTCCTGAAGCTGTCCAAGTGGTCCGCAATCTCGTATTGTTGTCATCATCCAGCTCCAGGTTCACGAATCCTGACGACGATCTCCCAAGAAACAGGTCGCCAAGCAGACGACGATATTCGAGGTTTTCATGCGGTTGAACTGAAATCCAATTGCCTTCTACACCGAACAGGAATACACTGGGAATGCGAAGGATGCAATAGAGCGGGCAATAACATGAACGACATCGTGCACGATAGCCCAGGCGCTGACATGCAGGCACTGCCTGCAATATTGGCCATTGGCTGGCATTCAAATCGTGCAATTGATAACAGTGTTTGCTTCGGCGGGGGACATAACAACTCATCTTCTGCCATGTTACCTCATGGGACCACAGTACGGGTGTCTACAGACGCTCTACAAGGCGACCCTAGTTCATATTCTACCGTGTCGGTAGGTATATATGGAACAGGCGACTCCATCACAGAAGTTGGGCGGCAACCTGCGTGGCCGGGGTGTCCTCACCACTGGTCGAGCCCGGAATCATCTACTACTGGCTATTCGTCAGACAACTGGAGAGCGCTGCCGCTACCGATGTGCAATGCATCACGCATCTTTAAACCTCACCTCAGCCTACATATTGACCAACAGGTGATAAAGACGACGAACGGATGTTGCTGGTATGGGTTCCAAAATCCGGCAGTCGTGGAAGGATATCCCATTTCAGGCAGACCCGAACACAACAGAGGCCCGGAGAGTCCCCTACAAATCCTGCCGGGATTCACACGAATGTGCAATTTTCCATCTTTGTCCATGTAGCTGATGAGGACGAATAAATATACCAAGTAAAATTGAAAACATCTTGGAAACAACGTTTTGAGGACGCAGAGATATCCATTGGTGTTGGAAGCGCAGGGTATTGGCTAAGCGATAGTACACGTCAACCAATATGGATGATCTCGGTGGAATGTTATTTCAGATAGCAGATCCCAGTGAGACATTACATTCAGCCCAGAGGATTCTACGATATTAGCTGCGAGGTGACAATGGTGGCCGGCTGAATTGTCCGTTGCCTTGTCATATGTGCTGAAGATGGACGTTCAGCTAAGGCGTCCCCGGTTGTATTCTACACATGATTGGCTTTCTGAGATAGAGATTTGGAGAGCAATATAACTGCGGTCTTTTGCGACTGATAGCGAGTCAGGTGGTTTAGTTCTCTCAAAATCTCTCTTCTTCTTGTCTGACTATGTAAAATATTCCGCGTTGAGTTGGGTGGGAAGAATTTCTGTCTAGTAGCTGATAATATCGTTTTTGCTGTTCATAAGACTGAGACAGATGGTGAAAGAACGGGAAGACCTATATGAAACCTAATAATTCTGGACAGCAAGTAACGAGAAGTCGAGGCAAGCGTGGACTTAAGTGACAGGATTAGAAGAAGAACGGTTAATTCAAACACCAGCTGAATACGGAGACCAGCGGATGGCAGGTAATACAAACGATTCAGATTCAATTAGAGCTTTCTAACATCAAGCGAGAAAGGAGGCTAGTGCAATGAAAAGCAGTAAAAAGCGTACAAGCCCCGAAGGTTTGTTGCTGAAGTGTTGTGGGAAGCTTCAAGCACAATGGATCTCGCAACATTCCACGAAGCACGAACGGGAATCATGTCCACACGCTACATGCCCTTAGCTCACCGTTGTAATGCCCACTGGGAGGAGCGACCATGCCACACAAACTATACGAAGGGTCAGAAATCTCATGGGCTTCCCATAAGACTAATACACGGGAAGTGCTCACGTTTCTGCAGTTGGAGTTGCTGCTGGAGTGGCCACATAAACCACACGAAACCCACCCGGATGGCCCTCGTTATATTGCCAGGCTGGCCCTGGTTTGATCGGATATTCCGTTAAAGGTTGGCCGCTACAAGCAGTAGGAAGAGTGGAGAAAACTGCGGTCCCTTGATATGTGTTGTAAAACCGGTGAGAGTAGGTTCTGATAACAGTGCGTCCATCAGTCGAGCCTATACCCGTGGTTAACCTCGTCTGCTCATCGTCCTCATCTTTTGTTGGACCCACTAGCTGGATATGTTGCCCTAGAGACACCCAAGCTCATTGCCTCTGTAGCCCAGGAATAGGGAAAAGTAGAGACAGTGCCACCGCCTGTGAATTGTTAGAATTATCCGGTACGGGTCCCATTCAAAGAGAAGCATACTAGCACATCGAAATTCCGGGTCCCTGATTGCCAGCAATGCTTCTGTCGGGGTTGGTATTGCTCCCAACATTACTTGCTGTGTCGTTGCGGGAGAACCTGAAATCAAAATAAGAAAAGAAATAAGTAAAAAAGCCTCATGATGAAGGTCCCCTTGACTTGGCTTATCATTAGCTTGTACTTAGTTCACAATGCTATCGTTTGGGCTGCTTGACCGGCTCAGGCTTGATTAGCAAAAAGCGACAAGAGGGGACGGGGAGAATAAAGAGAGAATGAAGGAATGAAAGGAAAACGAAAAGAAAAATAGAACCTCAAGTCCGGACAACGCCAGACAAATGTACTATATCGGCAGGTACAAAAATGACATTGCCTCATGCTATTTCCTACCCTGCCGAGGTTTGTTAGAGCCAAGTTAAAGCACTGGATACATTTCCCCTCACCTAACTAGCAAGGAAGAGGAACTCCAGGACGCATAGAAGTATGTAGAGCCAAAGAAACAGTTTCTGGATGGTAAAATCCCCTCATATGAATGAGGAGATCCATGCCCCTATTGTCATCGTGCATATTGATACGTGGCTTGCAGCGATGGAACCCGATGCCCCTCTGATCGGCAATTACAGAGACTATGAGGAGGCAACGATTGCTCGCCATTTGCCAATGCTGGCCATGCTATCACATTATGGATTCGCCCTCCCAACCTTCTAGCTGCGCTAAAAGATGTACCTTCCATCACAGGGGGTGAATGGGACCAGGCTGCAGGCAAGGAGACGAACGATGGTCTCCGGCTGGCTACGGCTGCCATCGCACTTGATCTCCTATTGATGAGCTTGAATACTAACTACTATACCATCCTACTCAGGCGGCGTGGTTGCCTACGGGTACTGTTCGATTTCTCTGGACTTCAATTGTGTAATACCACCGAGGCAAGCCAAAAATGATACTGCTTTTAGTATTTCCGCGGTACAGATACAGGGATACATCATTCTGCCCTTGCCCCTGCCCGATGAAGAGTTGCCTCTTTTTTATCGTCATACGGTCGGCCTGTGTTCAATCTCTCAACTACTTGTCTCGGTGAGAGAAATCTATCTTTGTTGGATCGGCCATCGGGCCCGGATGACGTGGAAGCACGCGGGCACTGGTGGTTCACATATCGTATTATCATGATCTTTTAAACATGTCGAGGTATGGTCAAAGGCAAAGGCAGAAAGAACCATGCTAGAGGACATTGATCCCGAGGATCTGCGGGCGGAAAATGTCTGGATCGGTCACAGTTTGTCCGGGGAGTGTCCATGCACTTTTTCCGCACTGCCAATTTGTCAGAAGAACTACAGATAGCGTTTTGCTGGTTGGCCTGACGGTATACGTGGCCAGTAAATCTGCCCCCAAGTCCAGCAGGAGCCTCTGTGGGCGTCTGGTCCTGGAAGGGGTGGTGAATATTCTCACTTGGGTTTGTGCAGTGGTCAACGCCCTGGTGCCTGGGTCTCAAGATTGGACGAGTACTTCTAAGATAGGTTTTGCTGATGGACCAGGCACATCAGGCCACCCAGGGTCCATTCAGGAGCACTTGCTGAGAGGTCCTAGCAGCGATCCGCATACCAAAGGACATTTGTATATAGGGCAGCCCTCGACATGGTCCACCATGAGCCCCGTGGCGTATTGTCTCCGGTTCTGACAGTCTCTTACGGCAAGCTGGTCATAGCAGACCGGACAAAGTGCGCGAGCTACCAAGCTTTTTCGAGTTTATTGCAGGGATATCTGTCCGTGAAGCAGACAAAGGCTGTTTCAATCTGTGTCTTTGGAGTCGCGGGAGCGGGGAAGTCATTTGGCGTAAAGGAATTAATCTAGCCTATTGCCAACAGGCCGGTGGAAACGGCCAAGCTGCTTGAGTTTAATCTGGTCCAGTATCACCATTGTTCTGAACTTGGGCGAGCATTTGGGGAAGTTAGGAACAGACGGGATGAGCACATGGGCATTATTCGAGTTGCTAGTACCCGGTGGTTTATTTCGACTCGAGAGCGTCTCCAGAAGCGGCCGACAGGATGAAGCGACTCGAAGAAAGCGAATATAAGAACATTGAGATTGGCGAGGCGTTGGAAGCATAGAATGATGATAATGAATGACTGCTATTATGGCGGATTCACCACGAGATGTCGAGTTCTCGACCTGTAGCTTATCGCCTGAGCTCCGGTCTTCTTCGAGCTGGCTAGCTCCTTTTCGAGTTATATTAGTCCCACTAAGATTGTTAGCTATTAGATTGATGCATTGGTCAATTGGGGGATAGCGCTCGGTCCAGACTTGGGTCGTGTATCTTTGTCCGGAAAACATGAGTCCACCCAATATCGGTCTCGCGTATGAAGGGTTGTCCGGCACAACTGTTTTAGGGCCAGGTACAACTGGTCGGCAGGGCCAAATTACACGAAGCGACTTGGCTGCAACCATCATTTAACGACCCACAAATCACCGCAGAAGAGTCTCTGTTGGTTCTTCGGCAGGACCCACACCATGTCTTGCAATCTTTGGGGGCGACTTTCTGCATTTTCTACTTTCGTTCACACTAGCGAGTGGCCAGAGGATAGCACACCCGAAGAGGAGAATGAAGAAGAACAGAGAAGAGGTTGAACAACAGTCGAGGTGGACAAATACCCGACACCCCCACCGGAGCCCCTGACTAGTAGCTATTGAGATGGAGTCCCAATACCTGAGCGTCTCGGAGCTGCAAGAGGCGAGATGGGCAGTAGACAGCGTTGTTCGGTCAATTGTATTGAGCTGCTATGGAAGACACCAAGGAGTAAAGGACCCATGAGTCTCGCGCAGATAATGCTATTGGAAGCCCTATCAAGCTTCTGCCGATCTCCACGGCGTTTTTGACGAGGTTTCGGCATAAGCCTGGTGAGATCCTTGGTCATCCAGGCAGACTCACCCGGCACAAAGAAAGCTTTGATACTACCTTATTAGCTTCAGCCCTGAATGCTGAATGCCGAACGGGTGTCGCTTCCACGTTTTCGGCAATATCCGCCATGGCCCATAGATCCATTGGATCTCTGGACTTTTAGCTGGTCAGTGAACTTGGCACTTGGCACTGGGCACTTGGCACTTGGCACCTCGTCCTGGTCCCCGAATTATGTGAATACTGCATACACTCGAGGACTATAAGAATCATGGTTAGAAGCTCAAGGCCTCTCCCTTTTCCTTCCATCGCCGCGAACTACGTGCCCCGTTCATCATGAGGGTAGCTCGCGGTATGTACCGCATGCTGCAGACATGCGTCATCGGTCTAACACTATTCACGTTTACTCTGGCCTTGCCTTCACCCACCGAAATACAGGAAACAGCTACATCAGTTGATGGAGTCCCCCGCCTGGAAGCTCGCGAGTCCAAGCCCTTTGCTCTCCGTATCATGCCTCTTGGGGCTTCCATCACGACTGGCTTGAAGTCAAGTGATAAGAATGGATACCGTATCTGGATCCGTGAACAGCTCCGGCACGCGGGATGGGATGTTAACATGGTGGGGTCCCTGAAAAGTGGAACAATGAGAGATAATGTAAGTCTACCATAGGCTTCCTGACCTTGCTCGATATGACACTGATAGGCCAAATCTGCAGGACAACGAGGGGTGGAGTGGATGGGTCATCGATCAGGTCGCCCAAGAGGCCGAGAAGACAATCCCGAAAGCCCCAAATCTTATTTTGATCAAGTAGGTCGATGATATAACAAACGTCTCTGGCGGTTGCGGATACTGATTACCAATTGGACAGTGCTGGCACCAACGATGCTGTGAGAGACCTGGACGTCGATACGGCGGGAGAGCGCATGAACGTGTTGCTCACGCGTTTGTATGAAGGTATACCGGGAACGACCATCATCCTCTCAACGTTGTTGTCCAATGGAGATCCCGATGCTCAAGCCAACGTGGTGAAGATCAACGCGCAATACCGCAATATCGCAGCCGCGCGCCGAGAGAATGGCGACAAGATCGTTTTAGCTGAGATGAGCGACTTTATCACAGTCAGCGAGTTAGTCGATGGGACTCATCCGACGGACGCTGGATACAAGAAAATGGCATCAGTCTGGTGGGCCGCCATTCAAGAAGCGGAATCGGCGAAATTCTTGTCCAAGCCCAAGGATATCGGCGAAAGCGATTGGGCGTATACCACCTGTGAGAAGGAGTTTGGCTCCGGCAATGCGGGTGGTAAAATCAAGACCCAACGGGGCAGCGGCTGGGATGATGGCGACTACAAACATAATTCTCAGAGTATGGGCCGTATTAAGCAGATTGGGGTTACGAGCACCGAGGATGACACCCATCCGGGTATCAACTACGCGCAGTTAGTCAACCAAGGAGGTGCGCACCGCGAAGGGGCCCTCGATGAGCTGGTATGGACTCGAGATGGAAAAGGAACGTGGATGTACCCGAACAACGGCAATGGCAACTTCGGGGATCCTGTACAAATTGATGTCAAAGACAACTGTCTTGCGCGAGGTGAGCCACCAATCGAACAAACTCTGCGTGGAGGGCAGTGTTAATAGAAGCAACAGGTGTACGGTGGGGCGATCTCAACAACGATGGACTCGACGACTTCATTTGCATTAGTCGGGAGGGTGCTATGTATGCATCCATGAACCAAGGCGGAAGTCCTCCCCAGTTCAAGTACATCGGCCTGGTCAGATCGGCGCCGGGTGGCGGCCTAGCTCAGGCGAATGTCCGACTTGGCGACATTGACGGCGACGGCCGTGTTGATTATTGCCTGGTGAAGGGAAATGGCGACATCCAGTGCTGGAGAAACGGGGGTCAGAAAGACGCCCCAACAAAGGAATTCAACGGATACTGGCAGGACCTTGGCACAGTGTTTACCGGTAAAGGCATGGGCAACATCGCCGGCGTTCGTCTGGTTGATATCAATGGTGATTTCCGCGCTGACTGGCTCTGGCTCGATGACAAGGGCAAGGTCACCACGTATATCAACCAGCGTGGGACAGGTAAAGGCAGCCTGGCTCCCGATTGGCGTCGTATTGGTGTTACTCATGCTGGAATGGATATTGAGGGTGCCAGGGATCGCATCAAGTTCGGCCAAGTCTACGCAAAGGGAGGCGCCGACTACGTCTGGGTTCAGTCTATCAAGAATGCCGATACGTATAACCACTATACAACTGCGTGGAAGAATATTGGAAGCGGGGGGACTACACTGAAAGGTAAGATTTCTATCTTTATTGCCCCTAGGAGGGTGGACATGGCTAACATCTCGGAACAGCCGATGGCGACTTCTACTGCGACTGGCGTGGCACTGGTGCCGATGACTATGTAACTTTCACTTTCCTTTTCGCTGGCTCCGGACAGGGATCCTGGAATTTCATTTTCTGATTATGCGTTTTGTTTAGATCTGGATCTCACCAACCGGTCGAGCCCTGCTCTATGGCAACGTTCATAAGCCTCCAACTTGGGTGCCTGAGGGACCGGAAATATTCAACCTGGGTCGGGATCGCAAAGGCATTCATCTAGCAGACTTCGATGGTGATGGCAAGGTATGTACATACATACTACTGAGGGTCCCCTTGAACGTTTTATCTGACGAACCATGCACAGTGCGATGTTTGGGCCGTAAATCGTGAAACTGGTGCCGCCGAGGTTTGGATTAACCACTGGAATGAGGACACCAGCAGCGGCTTTTTGGACTACCGAGGCGTTGTCACTGGAGATGTCAAATGTACCGAAGGATGGGGAGTCGGATATCGTGACATCGGTGTGCGGATGGCTGATCTGGAGTTTGTGCCTCCCACTCACCAGGCTTGGGATAATCGGTGGCTGACGACTGTAGTGGTGACCGACGCGCAGATTACCTGTGCATGGAGTAAGTCCTTCAGGGGAACTATCCTGAGTCCCATAATACTAACCTTGTGTGGTCAGACCCAATGGAAGAACGGTTGGATGGTTAAACAAAGGCGAGAATAAGTTTGAAGCGAAGAATCAGGTCAAACGCACCCACGGATATGATCGTGCCAACCATGTTTGGGCCGATGTAGATGGTATGTCTGATCATGGATTTGTGAATGATGGTCACTAGATCTCCAAGCTCACCAAGGTCCAGGCGACGGTCTGGTCGACTTCCTCTGGGTTGATAAATTCAATGGGAACACCAAAGTCTGGATCAACAAAGGTCCCATTCCTACCGCCGGCTCCAGCTGGAAGTGGGAATTGCTGGACGGTCCTCGATATCAAGGCTCGGATCGTGGGGTGAGTGGAATCATGAGGCATCGCCGTTCCACTGGCTGATTATTACTGCAGGCCAACTTGTACTTCCCAAACCTCGGAGGACTGGGCCGGGCTGATATGCACAATGTCATTCCCCGAACTAATATCGTGAGTCTCCCTTGCATCCCTTGCACACGAAGAAGTGGAATACTAAGTGGTTTAGGCCTACACCTGGTTCAACACCTGCCCCGGCAGTGATAATACCGCAGCGGATGATGTCGACCCATCAATAGACCCTGGCTTACCACCATACACGGCACCGGATCAGCCTACGCCTACAGGCACGCCGCCTGTCAGTCCGAGTCCGACTGGAATCCCCATTGGCGAAGCCCCTGATGGCTACTAGTATGCTATAGCTCGCACGCCTCGTGAATTGACCTCGGAGCTGATAAGACATCCTAGTGAGCATTGGCCATTGGACGATACGGATCGCATAGATTCAGTCTGCAATCACCTCGATGAACTCGATAAAAACCTCTGGAACGAGCATGACATAGGCAGTTGGTTGACTACTACGTATGTCTTGGGCCAAGATTTCCTGTTAACGGATCCTTTCCCTTTCTCGAATTTTGGAGGACTGACTCCAGGGGTTTAACTAGTGCCGGTTGGTACCAGAAGCTTGCCCTCAACTCAGACTTGAATCTGGATCCCGATGATCCTTTCGAGTGGCCTGGTGGGCTTGCCGATGCGCTTGCAAAATATAACGGCAGCAGAGAAGAAGTCCCTGCTCCATACGCATGGAAATGTGTCAAGTGGGTATCCCCTCACGCTCAGCGCAGTACTGTCGCTAATCGGGACATTCCAGTGTCCGTGCAGATTGTGAGGTGGAGCATCTCGGAGATGTTGATCCTTGCAAGCAGGGTCGGATGTACCGGGTCCAAGCTCTGACTGCAGTCCATAACTTGGCGCAATTTTTGAAGGTGATGTATAGTATGATGGCAGAAATCTGGAGGGATGTCGGCTTCGAGAACGCAGACCTGGTTCTCCGGTACTCCCACAAAGGGGATGATAACACCGCGTTTGGAGAGGATGCGGGCATGACCATTGGCGCAGGGTTTGCCAGTATCATCGGGGCTTTCTTTTTGGAGTCCATGGCTGGCGTCGCCGCAGGGGCGATGACCATTGGAGCCGGCGCTGTGGGCGCCCTGGGTGGACCAACCCCAGCCGACCTGAAGTTTAACACGTATGCAGATCTCGGCAGGAAGTCGGCGGATATGCACGACGCTATCACGAAGAGTTTGGACACGTTCTTCAACAGTCTATTTTTCAAAAAGCCCCCTACGGATCCCAACTGGGTCACCAGCCCTGCTGCCCTCCCACGCATACTCAATACGGGCAATTTTGCCTCCCAGAAAAGTGTCGTTGCCCCCACTGATGATGAGACGAGGAAGTATTCCATGGTTCCGGAAAAGGATGGGCTGGTGAAGTATGTCGTCGCGCCACTGCTCAACCTGCTCTGGGAAAAGGACCGGTATTATATTGTCCGGATCGACAACAATTCCATTCGCAGCTCCGACGGCAGAAAGTATCACCCCTGCGACGAGAACGGAAACATGGTCGAAAACAGGGATACTACCGATCGGAAATATTGCAATCCAGACGGTACGGCCTTTTTCTGGGTAGGCCCTCTCCTTTCTGGCGACAGTGATGCCAACTTATAGTGCTGACTCCAAACAGTACGGTCTAGGGATCAAGGAGCAAGTCCCAAAAGGGATGGACACATTACAAGATGACTATGGGTTCAACGGATACGACGTTATCCGATCTTCCTATCTTGTTCAACGCACGACAAACGAATGGCAGTCCAAAGTGAACACAGACTCTTACTTCAGCTGGGTGCCCCAGACATCCGGTGCCGATATCCCAGCCTGGCAAATGATGCGATGGAACTTGCCAGTTTGTGACCTTGCAGAGTATGGGGTGCCAGAAGACTGTGGCTCTGGGCTTTTGTGGAGTGTGGTATGGATTGACTTTTTCCCGTTTTCCAAAACGCCGCGTTATTAACATTTCTGTTTAGTGCATGAGTGAGGCTATCAGAAACGTGTGTGGGAGGAGAGCTGGGTGGCCAGAGGATTATGAGTTCGTCAATGGTATCAGCGGTCCCATACCACATGAAGAGGAAGGAACACCTTATTCCGAGCCTCTGTCAGCTGCTGAAGCAGTCCAATTGCTTCTGGGCTAAATCATTCCGGCGTTGAATTCTTGACTTGACATTCAAACTCCAGCAAGACATGGGCAAGCGACGGTTCCATGGGACACGTTCAGCGGTTTGCAGCCCTCCACCCTGGGATATCATGCTGAAGAATTACTTTGTATCTTTTATCTTTCTCTTCATGGAATTTTGTACTATAATGACTACGAGGTAACTTTGTTTTCATACATCATTCTGGGCCGTATTGTCTTCTAATCCCGGTATCAAGGATCAATATATATACCTGCACTCGCAGTGATGATGGCTTAAGCTATGTAGCTGCAGCATGTGCAGCGAGTCAGTGAGTAAACAACCTTGCCTTATATTGGGTCCCACCTCGCAGCGACTTCGTTAACATACATACCGATAACATCTTTCCGTACTCTGAAAGTAACAATCTACCGATTGCTATCCTGATTCATCACGGTCAGGGATAGACAGGAGTGTTTCGACCCACCGCCAAGAAGACCGAGCAAGTGCTAATACACAATAAGGTAAGATTTTCTCCACTACGGGTAAACTCTGGGATTTTTACGAGTCAGCCTGGGACATGGCAAGGCTCGAGGCTGGGAGGGTGAGATTGTGTCGATCGCAATCCCTCTCGAACCAGCGAGACTCCGCCAATGGCTGGGAGGAAAGGACCTGCTTTGAGGTCCTCGTAGACCGTTGAGCAAAAGCAAGAGGTTTTTCCACCGTGCGGAAGCCTCGCTCACTGTTCCAGTTCGGGGCCAACACTGCCCGATGCGTATATTCAAGAACTTAGCGCTGGTTAGCTGCATGCCCTAGAGATCCTCTAATCTTAGGTGAGATGAATTGCCGAGCTGGATAAAACTCGTGAATCACCCCCCTTGTCTTCCCCACCGGCTTTCTTCTTTTTTCTACCCAATGTGGAAACCGTGCAGTTGCTATCCGGTCTACACTGACCTGGGCTCCGTGTATCGCAAGCGTGTTTTCTGGATGAACAAGGCCGGCCAACAGTAAAATACAGATCCGGTCAACCATGTTCGGTCTTCTACCAGTGCTAGCATTGATCACAGCATCGGTCGCGGTGAACTCTGATGCGACCTGCTACTTCGTCAACGGCAATATCGCCACGGCCGATGTTCCCTGCAATACGAGCGCCGAGATAACCACCTGCTGCAACAAGAATGACATTTGTCTCTCGAACGGCCTCTGCTACCTCCAGAGCTCCGGTAATCACCCGGTCATGTCAAGAGGGAGCTGCACGGACCAAAACTGGGGTGGTGCCTGTAAAAGTGCCGAGCCATGTGGTACGTTCCAACTCGATTTGTGTGACTTCTCTCGGCCACCATCATGGAATGGGTATGCTAAAATGGATTGACGCGTAGCGCGCTGGGACCAGGGCACGGGATACCGGGTTGTGAATGCCATCGATGACCAATACTGTTGTGGAAACGTTGTGAGCATCGACAACACCTCGATTGAATGTGCCGTCGATCGTGCCTTTACCGTCCCCATCGGAACCGTGATGCCCGGCGTTGCAGCGCTAGCGAACTACACCAAAGACAGCACGAGCAGCAGCTCTTCTTCCTCGGCCTCACCATCCTCGGGGAACAATAGCAGCAACGCTTCGGGAGATACCTCGGGTGACAACAACGATCAGTCGACACGACTGGCCATCGGATTAGGTTTGGGTATTCCCCTCGGTCTGATCGCCGGCTCGGCATTGATTTGGGGAGCATGGGAGAGGAAACAGAGGGCCGCTTCGATGAAAGAGCTGGAGGGGTTGAAGGCGAGCCTTGCTGCAACCAGTGCCCCAGGCGGATTGGCATACAACCATCACTATGGCCACGCCTATACTCAGGTCCCTGCGGCGCCACTCACCGAAATGGCCCAATCCTCGGTCCCACCATCCGAGTTGGACTCGACCGGGGCCAAGGATATGGCAAGGAGATAGGACATATGTCTTATATATCCTAGAGTTTGTAGTCATTGTGATGATGCTCACACTCCCGCTCAGGGGTAGAGTACATCGCCCCATGTGCAGGTATTTCCATGCCTTTGCTTTTCGTCGTACTCATTGCTAGGGTGTGCCAAGTGAGCCACAGGATGTCCCGTCGTTGCATAGCTATGCACTGGGGCGAATACACGTCGTGAAACCCAGGACATGTAGTTATGTAGTGTACTGTTCGAATAATGACCATCGACGGTGCTTTAGACCTCTGACAAAATCCATACATTAATTATTCAAATTCCGTGTATGTATATACTATGTTCTAGGCAGCCATACGCTCGACACGACGCTGCAGCTCCTTGACCAAATCTATCCCAACCTTGGTAGACTCGTCCAGGCTCTCCTCCGGCAATTCAAGCAACTCATTCTGTGCCTTGGCCGAGAGATCATTGGAATCATCTGGGTAAAACGCCCTTGCGTACAGCATCTTGCTAAAGCCAGCCATATTGCCCACTTTCACTTGCGCCAGGCCATCCTCGTATCGCTTCTTGGTATCCTCGTAGGTAATCGTCCAGTCGGCGTCGGTGGCGCCAGTGACACGCTTGACGCTTTCAAACATGTCGTTTTGGCTGACCACAAAGCTCTTAATGTACACGCCCTTGTTGAGGAACGTCGACAGAGTAAGGCTGTTATCGTTTTCATCCTGGGGCAGCTCATTGAGGCTCAGGACCTTGGCCACAGCGCGCCCAACCTGCGATAGCGTCGATGTTGAGATCTTGGTGTTTCCATCGTCATAGATTGTCAGGGAACGCTTGTCAAAATCGAACCCAAAGCGCGCATCCCCGCCCGCCAGGCTGTAGTCATACCAGAACCCACAGCACATAGTGATCCACTGCATGCCGAGCCTCTCAATTTCGTCCCGATTGGCCTGGGCGACGGGCCCCAGCATGGTGTCTTCGCCGAGTTTAATGTTGTCGATGTCGCCACCATACCCGTTAGGCATGACGTAGGGAACACCGGCCTTCGCGGCCGCCAGGACAAGCTTGCTGTGGGAGTCCCGGGGCGCCGTAGGGGCCATCGTTATGATCAAAAATTGCTGGTCTTGGAGGGCGGCAACAATAGTGGCCTCATCATCGTAGTTGATTGAGGCGACTCGGACGCCCGCGGGGAGTCTGTTCCCGCTGTCTTTGCGAGAAAGGGCCGTGACGGTGTGTCGTCCGGTCTCGACAAGGGCGTTGGCAATATGCGCTCCAATGGTACCTCCAGCCTAAGTGCGTGTTGGTTTAGTTTTGTTGTATACGTGGAGAGGGTTTACTTACGCCGACAACGGCGACTCTTTCGATGGTGTTTTTGAAGCCGACGGGCTGATCTTTGGCGTACTTGGGCATTATGGTTGGTTGGGTGGATTGTTGAGAATGTATGAATAGCTAATATTCTGGTCCAAAGAGGCGTCCGAAGTGTTTCAGCTGGCGAGAGAGTGGTATCTGCCTGGCTGTTTCTCCTCCGAGCAGGGAATGCCCGTCTATTTATACATTTCCGACCCAGTCTTGAGTGCGGCAGTTCTCTGAGGGTCTCACCATCTCAGCCTTGCCATATCTGATTGTATGCGAAAATCTCGGACAAAAGATGTCCACACTGTAGAGTATATCCGACTGAATCAGGTCGGAACTTGCAACTTGATTAGCTCGGCGACAGGAGGACTGGGGGCGAAGGAGCTGTAGCTGGCGAAGCCCGCCATATTACAGACGGTGAGAGTAAGAGACTGAGAGTAACCCGCGCTTGTCCGCCGCAGCAGCCGCACGAGCGGGTTCACTAACCCTGTCTCATAGGTTGTTGGTGCGGCCGTAGGGGATTGAGTCCGCAATGGCCGCACATAAAGCCGCACAAGGCGAATGACATTGATGGAGCTCCAAGAATGGCCTCAACCTCCAGAATGATAAGCATAGAAACTACGACAAGAAGCACGAATCAACAATTACTCTATTGCACCTCGCGGTGAGGAGTCATGTCTCCACGCCATCTCTCCAAGACTCTCATTAAATACGCTCCCGGGCGTCCAAGAACATGGTACAGGAAATACGTCAATTGCAGTAAGTTTTCTTTTCTAACAGTCTATGGGTGTGATATAATTATAAGTACAAAGCTGAACTTCCCGCGATACTAGAGCTGGACGTCAGGGCCGAGCATCGATATATATGGCTCAATAAAAAATTGATCCCAGTCCACTGACCAATCTATATCTGGCACTGCAGTGTTAGCCTCGGACACGGGCAGTGCCTGAGAGAATTCATAGCCCGCCTCGACAGCCTCTAGTTGAGCAAGTTCTTTTCGCTTCTTTGCCGTATGAAGGCTTAGTAGGTGCCGCGCTATCGACAACGCCTCGCGCGTCAGTGCTGTATCGGCCGCCTGGACAAGGTTCTCCAAGCCCGTGAATGCGGCGCCGATGTGGGCGGTGGCCGCGGGCGTGTCAATGGCCAGCAGGATGCAGGTATACTGGAAGACGCTGCCGATGACATTCCAGAACAGACGACCCTGGCTAGCTTGCTGCTCGGCCGCCTCCACTGCGGCGTCGCCGCTATCAATGACGAACCGGATGATATCATCCGGTATGTGGGCCTTGAGCTGGTAAAGTCGTCGATAGAAGCAGAATGCAATGTCCGCCTTCGTCACCACTAGGAACGGGTGGGCAACTTGGAGCTCGTGCAGCGCCGTGAGACGCTCAAACAGCCCCCCACTCGGATTTGGAGGCTGCAGTTCGAGCTGGAACGGCGAATTGGGTGACGGAATGATCTGGATCAGTTGTACGAACTGATCGGCAACAGAGCCTGGTATCGAGATGATAGGCTGGCAAGTCACGGCTCGAAATCCTACCGGCGAACGATCGTACTCATAGGACAGCATGTTATGCCCGGCCCACGAGATCCAGAAAATTCTCCTCAGCCGGTCCGCATCCTGTCCAAGCACAGCGGCGCCAGCCATGGACGCAATCTTCTTAATGGTCTCTTCCTCATGGAGCCCTATGGCTTCACAGAGGTGCATTTGCGTGCACGACGCGATCCAAGCATTGCTGGGTCGGGTTGTTGCGCGTAGGTAAAGCACTCGCATGCCCCATGCGAGGATATGATCGATGCCATGCAAACGCATGGACGCCGGGTCATCGAGGATCGCTTTAGCGTATTGCACCAGGTCAGACTCCCGCGGATGTCTCTTAGGAGATAGGAATGATCCAAGAGCAGCAACGCCAGCCGCCACGGCGGCAAAGGCGACCGCATTGCTGCCCAAAGTACGGTAATAATCCCGACATCGCTGGGCGTAGATTCTTCGGTCCATCACGTCGGTGATGGGGCCTAATACCGAGAAGAAGGCATGCGAGAAAACGCCAAGGTCGTCCTCCGAGATGATATTTCCAAGAAAGGAGTGGGCATTAGACGCCTCCTCGGGGCGAATGCCGAAGTTGTACGCGAACGGCCGCATTTTTGGAGGGCTATCGGAACCGAGAGCCACACCCAGGATGTGCGGGAATGCCATGGCCGCCGATGCCCCGGAGTATCTGAACTTCAGCTCGTCGAAGATGCCTGGGGAAGCACCGGCAACGACGGTCGGACTCTTGGTCAACAAACCGTCGCCGTCGCGGCAACCTCGCTCCATATGAGACCGGGTTCTCGGACTGCGGTTTGTGGCGTCCTGACTTGTCAGACGACATTGACCGTCGAGACTGACGCGCTTGGCTGGAGGCGGAATAGGTACGTCGCCGTCCAGTGTACCAGTGGGATTGTCGTCGGTGTATCTACAGTTGTATCCGTAGGTGGTGCACATGCCACAAGGATATACGTTGTCGCATTTTCGCTTCCGCTGATGACAAGGAATGCATGCCTTCCTCGCACGCTTGCGCTTGGCGATTGTTGTCGACATGACGGGCAAGGACATTTGAGCTTCCACGGCCACTGCGATGGAGATAGAACTGAATATAGTAGAGTTAATCTTCTGGCCAGCACGTTGGGGCAGTCTTTCAGTGATGGTGTGCATATATTACTCCAACATGGCTCGCGGTGTATGAGCTGTCGCTACTGATTATCTGGAGGCTAGCTCGAAGTGGCTAGCGCAACTCTTTGCTCCGATTGATCCATGATGTTCGTCCCTAATATTCCCTCCAGAGACCCATGTTGACCCTAATGTTGATGACCCTTGAATTGACCTTGACAGGGAGCTGGCCGGTAGTCATATCACTTTCCTCTTTATTCAAGCAGCCATTCGGGTGCACCCCTTGACGTCAAGGGGTTATTGCTTCTATTTCACAAATTACTCCGGAAGCTGCTAGGGCATCGGGAGAACCCCCCTGCAAACAAGAATACCAAAAGCTCTAGTGATAGACTGTTATCGTCGCCTATGCCATTAATAGAATTTCTATCTTGCTGCGACTGCTAGTCTTCCCTGGACTCCGGTGGGGCTATATAACTATGAAGGGTCTATCGGCATTGCGCCGTCGTGATGCTATATCCATACACGTGACGCTTTTGAGTAACTAACCCTTGACGCTTTGGTATTTTCGAATGTTTCGCTTACCTGCCTCTCTTTAGGCTGTTATGAGTCTGCAATAAAGCTTTAGAATTTGTAGTGCTATCATAGCTTCCATAGTTCCTGACCGACGGCTATCGGACGTGGGATATCGGATGCCGGAGCTCGGTTGAAATACATCTTCTACTTGGCAGAGGGGCTCGAGATCTGCCCATTCATCGATGTCAAAAACCACGTTGATGTACGAGTTACTATTTTCCAGCACAGAATGCAACACCGCCAATTCTAGGTTATTCCCTCGTTGATCACTTTCGCTATGGCACCGACCAAAAAGAAGCCCACGGACAACCAGCAAGCCTGCGATGAACAGATTGAGGATATTTCATTTGACCCAATCTCTCAAAAGCAACAGCAGGACTATCACGCATCGACACCTCAAGATGCCAAATTGGATCGCCGGCTCAACCTGAAGCTTGACTGCTTCATTGTCTCGATCCTAACAGCCGGTTTTCTGGTATGTCTCTCCGTTCACATTGCGTCTGCATTTTAATAGCCCATTTGCTCACTGTTCCATGTCATTAGCTGCAAGCAGTAGACAAGTCGAATATAAGTAACGCTGCGACCACGAAGAGTACGTGAAAGCCGAGCATTTCAATGCTCATATTCCTCTTTCGTTGAGATAGAAATAAAGTATCCTAACAGTCAAGTACAGCATTCAGCCAGGACCTACATCTAAAGCACAATGACGTGCCAAATGCTGTATCTCTCTATGCCGCCACTTTCATCCCATGCATGCCTATCTCCGTTATGCTGGGGAGAATCGTGGGACCTCGTTTGTGGTTGCCGTTCATCATGGCAGCCTGGGGCGTGGTGACAATCACTCAGGCTGTTATGAAAGATCGTGCACAGATGATGGCCCTCCGCTTGCTTCTGGGTGTCTTCGAAGCGGGATATGTTCCCACCGCCTACTACTACATCGGCACATTATACCCTGCATACCAAGCCGGATTTCGGATGGGAATGTTGGCCTTGAGCTTTGCGTTCTCGGGGGCATTTGCGGGTCTGATTGCTTATGGATGCTTCCAGATCCGGTCGACACAGTGGAAGGACTGGCAATTGCTTTTCCTGGTCGAAGGAAGTGTCACGATATTCATCGCTGCCCTGGCGCTGGCAATGCTACCGAACAAATTGAAAACAGCGTGGTTTTTGAATGAGGAGGAGCGAGCACGTGCGATCCGTCGCATGGCGACTCATACCGGGGCACAAGAAGACCTGGCAGAAGCCAATGCCGAGGACCATGAACATCGCATCACTAGTAAGGACATCATCAATGCTCTGAAGGACTGGAAGAAAGTCCTTATCATTGTGTGCAACCTGTGTGCCACTACGCCTGCGTACGGCTTTGCCATCTTCCTACCTCTTATGGTCAAGGGTATGGGGTATGAATCAATTAAAGCGAATTTGATGACTGTTCCCCCGTTTATGGTGTAAGTGACCCTCTGGGAGATGAGGCCGGTGGCCTAGCTAATGGCAAACAGTGGTGGTATAGGCCTCCTGACCATTGTCTGGCTCTCGGACCGTTTCCATGAGCGCTCCGGCTTTGCCATTTTATCCATGTTGATCTCGATTGTGGGGTATATTGTCCTCATCGCCAGTAAAAGTAACAAGCTTCGCTACGGGTTCCTACATGTTGCGCTGATCGGCTCGGGCACTGCAAACCCGCTTATTGCTGCCTGGCTGACGGACAACACACCGGACCATGCAACGCGTGCAGTCACGATGGGTCTATTCAAGTTAACCAATATATCCGCAGTCATTGCCGGGCAGATCTTCAGAGAGAGCTATGCGCCATCCTACCGGATCTCCGTGATCGCTGTGTTGATTATCGTGTCAGTGGGATTACTTGGATTCGCCGCGATTCGTGGGTTGTACATGCTAGAGAATCGCCGGCGAAAGAAGGAAACAGCAAATTGGACTGCCGAGGAGTATGAGGCGGAGAGACTTGACTCGCGCCGCAATGGCCATGACAAGAAGTATTTTATGCTTAGATACTAGGGGGCGAAGCGGGCTATCATCCTAGATACTTCCATTTACACACTTTAGCTACACACTTTAGTAAGGACCCCAGGTTTGGTGGTAGTACTAGAAGCTTGCCCATGGGCATGAAGTTCCGCCTATGCAGCGTTGGAAAAGATAATCTATACACCTTATCAGGATGAAGAAAGTCGCCTCTCAATTCTACGTGGAGGACGGTCTTTGGTTCGTACCATGTGAAATATGCTGAGATCTACAAGGTATCTTTCATGACCTGAATTCCAATTTATATATTCAAATTGCAAACAGTATCCTTCTAATCCATAGTCACAGGAGCTCTAATTCATTCTCAAGGCCGAGGATAAAACTTAATTGGGCAAGTAGTCAGGCCGATCTCTGGCAGCCGGGCATAATGAATCTCCCCATCGACCTCAAAGTCGACCGTGTGATCCAACAAGGTCTCGAGGTAGATTCGTAGCATCATGCGTGCTAGCACCATCCCAGCACAGCGGTGCCTACCGTGACCGAATCCAAGATGTGTCGAGATATTGTCTCGGTGCATCACGAACTCGTCAGGATGTGGGAACTGATCCGGGTCGCGGTTCGCGGCCGCATAGACGACCGTGATCGGCTGGAACATTGAGTCAGATGATATGTTGCTGATTCTATCCAAGAGTATTGAAACATACCTCATCGGGCGGAACCCTGGTACCTGAAATCTCGACTTCGTGCAATGCTGTTCGGGAGAAGCCGCGGTACGGAACATACAATCGAATGAACTCCTCAATGGCCGCTGGTAGAAGCTTCTTGTCGTTACGCAGTCTATTTTGCAGCTCCTTGTCCTTGCTCAGATGGTTCGTCATTGAGGAGATGATGATGCTGGGAGCCACCATTGCCACGATCAATATCTGGCGAATGCAGCCACTGGGGGTGGTCAGCGCCAATGCAATGCAAGATGACTACCTCAACCAACTTACACTAAGTTGTGATCATCCAAAGGATTGCCATCATGATCCCTCTCGACCAGCAGACTTGACGCAGGATCTTCTTCCGGGTCAAGAAGTTTATCTTTCCGTGATGCAATGACACGCCTGGCAATCTCGTAGAACATATCACTGGACGATTTGACTAGGGCCCAATCCTGTGTCCGCCACGCCGTCACAAATGGAGTGATTGCGCTAGTGAGTAGCTTTGAATCCGGCTCGTCCAGATTGAGCCACTCCTTCTCAACCCAACCGGAAAACTGCGCGCCAAATTCCTCGTATAAGTCGCCATGACCTCGCTGGATTAAACGGCCAAGCTCACGCTCGGCATGGCCTCGCAGGATCGGTTCCAACCTTCTCAAACGCGCCGGCTTGAGGGTTCGATCTACAGCGGTGCGGTAGGGTGCATGTTGCTCGCCATCAAACTTGAGCGGGGGTCGTCGGATTCCCCGGGGATCTGCGGGCACAACAGCACACTTTCCTGAGATGAACTTTGAATTGTCCGAGGCGGTAGCCTTGACATCGGCATATCTGTCTCCCTGTTCAGCATCCAGTCCCCTCGCGTGAGGCTTGGCATGGGATGATAATCATACTTCGTCAGGATCCAATACCCACTGTGTGCATCCACATGAGCCACCGGGCATGTCGAGCGCAAATGAGCATATTCTCGGTAGATTTTCTCTGGCTCGTCACTATGAACCAGGTGGCCTTTATTGACATCCCAGTCCGCAGGGAATTCGGTACTGGCAGCCGCCATATGGTTGTCTCAGCTTGTCGCCCGGTGTATTGTCGTGGCGATGTGTTTCTGCCTATCCGAGTTCAATCCAGATTCGAGAAATTTATATGATTACAGTCAATCGCCATGAGAGCCATGGTCTACCCACGCACTGGCCGGATATCGGATGTCGGCTATCGGAAAGGGGGAAGTGTGAGGCCTCCAGCTCAACGTACGTGCTAGACTAAAGGCAACATGGCCAGTGGGTCTTCTTTGCAAGCGGGAAATGTGCGGGGAACGAGGGTTTCCCCACATCTTGCCCCAGGTTGCGTCTACAGAGCCTGCTTGGGATCAGACGGTTGTTAATCTTATCCCAACTGCCAAAACACCCGAACTGGGAAATAACACACCTAGTAGGAGAGGATTCCATATCGCAAGCAATGTCGTCCATGAAAAGGAAGTTCTATGAGAGGGTCAGTCAGGCCTGCGACATGTGTCGCAGGAAGAAGATGAAGTGCAATCAAAAGCTCCCGTGCCAGACTTGCAAAGGTCAGCTGTGGGCCACCGTATTGGGCTGGAGGTAATGATCTGACACCCTTAGATCGTGACTTTCACTGTGTATATTCGGACAGAAAATCCCGACGAACCAATTCATCCCGACGACTTGGTGACGCCTATCGGTTGAACGAGCCGCCCCCGGCCGACATCCGCTCCCAAGATAGGTCCGAAGGAGCGAGACCGAGTGAAAACGCGCATGGTGTAGTGCAGAAGAGCATGATAATAGCACCTAGTGACATACGGGAAGTTCAGCAAGAAGTGGTGGAAGGGAAGAATGCGCACACCACAGGAACCGAGTTCTACGGCAATAGCTCGAACTTTGCCCTGTTGAGCCAGCTTTTTGCCACGGCCAGAAAGATCTCTGGAGATCACCCAGACATACCGACGAATACAGTTCAGACCCCATTGTCCATTGTGGATATGCTCTACGATGATCAGTCCAGCATACCTGATTCAGCTCCGCCGGCCCCGGTCACGGCGGCAGGAAGAACATCTCAACTTCCTAAAGCTTCTGAGGTTATGCCCATCGGAAAGGAATCGCCGCCCACCATGCGGCCAACAGGTTTGGGCCGAGATATCACGGCAGGACTGGGCCAATCAGGGGTGTGGGATTGCTTCATTGGTAGTCCGATGAGGCTAGAAATGGAGTACGTCAACCTCTTCTTCGACAATATCCATAACTCACTTCCATTTCTGGAACGAAAACACTTCATTGAACGATGTGAGGAGGAGATCTGGGTGAGGAGCACAGTTAAGCAGCTGCGGCGAGATAAGATGCATCTCTTTGCTCTTTACAATGCAGTGCTAGCCGTAGTGGCGCTAACTGCAGGTCCCGATGTCTTTCTTTCGCTGCGTACTGAGCTTGAAGTTAGTTTGACAGAACGCTCAGCATCTAGACCCCCGAGAAACGCCCCTTCCTCTATTTTCCTTTCCAAAATCTACTTTCGCAGGGCACGTCAGTTGCTAGGAGACATTTTCGAGGTCTGCTCCATTGACAGTGCCCAAGCCTTGCTGTTACTGTCTATATATTCTCAACATGCGCTCAAGCCACATGCCTGCTATATGTACAGTGGCATGGCTGTGCGAACTGCACTCGCTATCGGCATTTCCAGCGAGGATCGACACTATTCTGATCACGACAATTTGGCCAGAGCCCGAACATGGTGGGCTATTTACTACCAGGATGTCGAAGCATCCTGTCTATCTGGAAGGTCCAGTACATTGGCAGGGCCAAATGAATACGGGCCGTCCGACACCAGCCGCATGTCAGCAGAGTTCGCTCCATCCACCTCTCAGAACCATCCAAACGTGCATGAAAATGAAGGCGCACTTGTAACGGTCTTAGCTGACCTCTCAGTGATATTACAACGCGCATCCAAGCGTTTATACCATTCCTCGGGCGCACTCTCACCCGAAAGCAAGCCACAGTTGGCGACCACATTGGACCAGGATTTGCTCTGTTGGAAGCTCCATTTGCCAACGTATCTTAACTTAGATCTCGACACCTTCACAGAGAATGAGTGGGTGAGCAAACAAAAGTTGATCCTGCAACTACGCTTCCATCACGCGCGGATGTTCATTCACCGACCCCATCTGTCCATAGCAAGCAGTGATCTTCAAGTTGATCATATACACATCTGCCTGGAGGCAGCGCAGAAGACAATCGCTTTAACATATGACGCGTATCAGCATCGCCATTACTTCCGAACATGGTGGTACAACACGTTCTACGTTCTGTATGCCAGCTTAATTATTCTCCATACCATTCTTCTCGGATATTCACAGCCTTCGCGAGAGACACTTATTCAAGACGTGCAAAAGGCCGTGAAAATCCTGGAGTCCATGAAAACACTGAAAGTAGCCCAACGATGCGCCGACGTGGTAACTGAAATCCTTCACGTCTGCAAATTCTTTGTCGAGAGAGGACAGCGAGAGCATCAGGCGCAGACTATCCCAATGGGTCAGGCCATAGGAACTCATCATCAACGTTTCCCAATCCATGAGAGCAGCTCGCGACGCGAGACCCTACCTCAAATGCCGAATTATAATCAAGAGGAAGTGGTGCATCTTGACTCACCATATGCTAACCTTTTCTCATCACACGATGACCTTCTCACATTTCTGGGAGATCCGGCACCATTGGAATGTTTTGCACTCGGCGTAGGGAGCTCTAGCCCCATGGACTTTGACTATTCAACTTCCGTCGAGGGCTGTAGGGGCAATGCTTATGTGTGAAATAACGCGTTTAATACAATAGCCACGCGTACATTACTTAGCAGTCAAACGCGTTTGCTACACCAGGAAGTCAGAGAAGTAGGAAACTGGGCTTACTGCTTAGGTGGAGTAGCTTGGATATCATATTAGATTGATAGCGAACATAGAGCTTTCGAGAAGTCCTTCATTTCTACGTACATTCATCTGTGGGATGCTCTTCCAGGTATTAATCTATCCGGTATGACCTTCTGCCGGACAGTTGCTTAGCTTTACTTGCATGATGATCAGATCCCTACTTCCGGGTCTTCTCCATCGATCCGAGCGGAAGAAAGCGTGGAGCCGTGATGTCTGCATCCGCCATCCGGACACATCTTGGCATGGCATAAAGTAAACCCATGGACTGCGTCGTATGCATTGAGGGAACCCTTTCATTCAAGCTTCGACTCTTCTGCGTCCATATCAGTACAATATTGTCGTGTTTGGGGATGTACATCCGACACAACTCTATACGTATATTAAGCCATTCATCACGAAGTTGCAATCCACATGATGCATCTGATCTGGCTTCTTGTGTTCATATACCAGGTTATGCAGATTACTGCATTGGGAGATAGCCAAGATGAATCACAGCCCATGGTGACATTGAAGAACGGCACTATCCTTGGAAGCGACAATGGCCGGGAAGGGATCCAGCGATTCCTGGGCATTCCCTATGCACAGCCACCGATAGGACCGTTGCGACTACACCAAGCAGTGCCGCTCAACGTATCCTTTGGGACATTGAACGCGACTACTATGAGTCCAGCGTGCTATGGAAAGTCCAACTCGAAGTACCAACAAAGCGAGGATTGCCTGACATTGAATGTCTGGCGGCCTAAAGAAGTAGGAAAAACCGCGTCTTCTCCACTGGTGCCGGTCCTCGTATGGCTCTATGGGGGTGGGCTCAGCGGCGGATATGTAGTAGGTTGACATACTACGGTGTGTCGAGGCAACTCGTTTCTAACGAAAGTCTAGGGAGACCCAAGATTTGATGGCACAAATATTGTCTCGCTATCCGCCCAAATCAAAAAGCCAGTGATCTTTGTCTCAATTGTATGTGTCTTTCCGCCAGCAACGGACTTGCCTCCAGCATTACCTAACAACTGAGGTTGCGCAGAACTATCGCGTTGCGTCGCTAGGCTTTTTGAACGGACGCCAGATGGCGGAGCTCGGTCTCCTGAACATCGGCATGTTGGATCAGCGACGGGCATTGCATTGGCTACAGGAGAATATTGCTTCCTTTGGTGGTGATCCCGAGAAAGGTAGTATCCCATGTGCCTGTTGGAAGGTCACGGATCCTATGCTAACCAATCCCAAGTAACACTGTTTGGAGAGTCGTAAGTCTGCCTTATTTCGGCACATGCAAGGCAAGCAATTGCTCAACCTCGTATCTGTCCAGAGCTGGAGCTGTTTCCATTTATTCGCATATGATGGCCTACGGTGGCCGTGATGACAGCCTATTTCGGGGGGCCATTCTAGAGAGCGGCGGAGCGTTTCCCCTCACGTTGCCAAATACGACTTCATTCCAGCAGACCTTCGACAGTTTGATTACAAATACATCCTGCTCCACACGGGCTGGATCACCAGCAGCGGAACAGTTGGACTGTATCAGGGCCCTTCCAATTGACACGTTTCTTTCAAGCGTTGGTGATGCAACGGGCCAGTCGATTGACGGAAGCTTCACGACTACATCTGTGCAGTTTGCGTTTCCGGCAGGAAAATACGTAAAGGTGGCTACTATTGTAGGGAGTAAGTCTTGTCACCTTGAAGAATATCTCTAATGGTGTTTTCGTTGCTGATATTGGAAGCCAATACTGACGAGGGGACCACTTCGGCTCCAACTGGAATCAACACCGTTGATGAATTGAAGGACCCTCTAGGTCAGCCCATATTCCCATGACTTCCAGGTCTATAGCCCTCCAGAACTAACGTCTTTCTGATCAGCCGATGGTTACTTTCGTCCAGAAAGTCTGCCTGACTCCATGGTGCAAGATCTGCTAAACCTTTACACTAATAATCCCCGGGAAGGATGTCCATATAACACTGGAGACGTTATGTTAAGTCCGGGTATATTAGACAAGAAGGCCTGCTCAATATTTGGTGATATTGTGCAGGTTGGTCCAGCAAGGATGATTGCTGAAGCACTTGCTGAACACAACGGCGACAACCCTGTATATCGCTATCGTTTCAACCAACTCTCGGCTAACAGCTCAGAGCCATCAGTGGGGATCACGACAGGGACGGAAATACCATACGTTTTTTCCAATCTCATACCCGACGTTGCTTGGGAAAGGGCCCTAGCTTCTGAAATGACCAAAGCCTGGGTCTCTTTCGCATACGACTTGAACCCGAATACTAATGGAGGTAAGTTAGTCATTGCACTGGCCTTCAACATTTCTCTACCCCCTACCTTACTGTGGCTGAGAAGAGGATCAGATACCGCGCTGCCGCTCTGGCCTACATACAGCGAGAACAAATCGAGTATGGTTTTCAATGCCTATGGTTGCACAATCGAGCCCGATACATACCGATCTGATCAGATATCCTACATCATTAACCACGTCCTGCGGTATGGTGCTAGATGAATGCGATGGTAGCAACACGAAACTTGTACATGGCAAAACAACTACATACTAGCTCATAGTGACACTACGATTTCATGCGTGGGCCATTTCCCAGACATAAACCATATACCATAACATTAGCATTCAAGAATGAATAGTACTTCGCTTATTGCAAGTTCCTGGTAGAGCAATAACCCCGTACAGTAATTTGATAGTGCCGTGGGATAAAGCAGCGCTGTCTGGTCATATTATTTGCGAATCCTACTCGAAGCTTTGCATTTGAGTATCCCGTAACAAGCACATCTCGAGTGGCGTTTCTCGCATATGTAGGCCCAACATGCAGTACCATGCAGAGCTGTTTACAGGAGGCGAACATGACTTTCAAACCTTGACACAGGGGCGAAGCTATAGTAAGTAGCGGTCTTCAGATAAATATCTACGCCACCTTTTTGCTCGGGATAAACGCAGAGAGCTTCTCCAAATTCTGGCTCTCTACTTCCTCCCATCCGTCCTCCTGTGCACCACCCTTGGTGAAAAATTTAGACGCCGTCTCGTTGCGTCTAAAGGTCCATAGCAGCCAGTCGACAGCAGCAACACCAAAAGCTCCACCATTTTCATCACGGTAAGTTCCACTATGCCCCACAGGATAATTCCCAATCCATTTGGGAACCCCCGTGAGATTATGATAATCCGCTTCACCCTGTAAGAAGTTTCATTAGCTGACCATTTGGACCCCATGGGGGCAAATAGAAATTGCGATGTTTCGTACATTGGCATAGGCAATATCAGTAGGTCCACCCAAGAAGTAGAACACCGGCTTGTGGACCTCGTTAATAGTAGCTGGGGGCTCGGTCGCTTGGCCCCCGACACTAGCAATAAAGGTCTCGTTTCCTAGGAAGCCTGAATTAAAGATACCCAAGATACTGATCCGGTCATTGCTTCGCATTCGATATGTCTCCAGCCCACCGCAGCTTTGACCTGCGGCTGCTATGAGTGCTGCATCAACTGAAGCATACCGGCCGGGTGTGCCTGCCCTAGCCGTGATCCATTCGACTGCATCCGCCATGAATTGTGCAGTGGTGGAACCGGTTCCATTTGGGGGACCGGATGCAAGGACTAAAAATCCATATGAAGCGATGTTGGTTAGAAATGGAACGTACTTCGTCCCATTGTTGTCACAACCACCCTCTGCCCAGACGAGAACTGGGAGGGATACGCCCGGGGGCACAGAGAGGGGCGAGTAGATTGTGTGGTTGGATAATGTAGGATCGGTAAACCAAGACTGAGTCACATTAGGGTTCTGTGTCATTTTTTCTGAGATATATCAATCTAAGCCCGACAGGGAGACCTACCGCTGGGTATGGCCCAGTGCCTGGACTTTCTATATTGCCCAAGCTAGGAGTGCCTGTAGCAGGCAATGAGGTTGCCAATGGCAATCCAACTATCAGTAGCGATGAGATCGTCGAGAACCTCATGATGTATTAAATCACCAACGACTGTACACCTCTTGCATCGATTCAAAGGCTGAAAATTGTGCTTCTTGATTCCACGGATCGCTCGTCTGGGTTCAGCCACCCTTTATATTATTTATCTCGTCATCGAGACGCATATTTCTTGATTCATCCGAGAACGACTAACTATACCACGCGTTATGTGCGCACAGGTGTGGAAGTATGGGATGTCACTCTCGGATGTCGGAAGTGTCAGTAGACAGCGATCGACACCTCGGTAAAAATAAAACCAATACTGCCGTTACTGAGATGGACGTGTTTTAGATTGCACGGCATTCAATGTCGGTAGATATCCAAGTGGCCATATTTTCCGTCCACTTATGCTCTAGCCTTGCAGATCTCTTAACCTGTCCGTCCTATTCAGACTGTCATGACCCACGTAACCCGTCGCCCACTTACCCTACAGTTTTGGCGGGTTGGGTCAGAGCTTTAAAATTTATAGACAGTATATCTATATATATCCTGTACAGCTATCAGGCTGTTTTGCTACGAATGCGTGACGCCGTGTTGAGACCTTAGGATCACCCCACGGGTACTGGTCACTACGACCTAGTGGATTCTAGTTTCTCCCCGTGTGCTCGGGGCTCCCTAGCATGTAGGACGAATAGAATCTCGAGCTGTCGAGAATTTTAAAGCTGCGCGATCCCCTTCTCCCCGTTGTTCATTTCCCGGTGACGATCATACCCCTCATACCTTTGCGGAGTCCCCATACTCATCTTCTAGCCTGTGGAAGGCTTCCTCATCAACGATCCTGTGAATCAGCAGGCTTCGAGTAAACAATAGCAAGGCACCGGACCGACACGATGTCTGCGGATATTGTTTCCACCCTCGATGCAATTCAGCCAAGCCAATTCACAGCGCCAGCTGACCGCTTTGCTGCCAAAGAAGCAGCTCGTCGCCTTCTCGCCCGCCTGGAGACACCCTTTGAGCAAGGCTGGGCCGTCGCCTTCGAGGGCCCCGGCCTCGTCGCCGGCCTTCAGCTGCTTCAAGACCTTGGCATCTGGTCGAAATGGACAGAGGCCGGTACACAGAATCCAGGCGCGGCAAGGACGCTTGACGAGCTTCTCAGCTGGGCTCATACAACGTGCGAGCCGAACCTGTTGCGTCGCTTTCTCAGGCATATCGCTGCCCTTCACGTGATCCAGGAGGTGGGCGTTGATACATGGCAGCCCACGCCCGCCTCCTTGGCCCTGGGCGCCAAGGAGACGCATGCCGGTGCAATAATTAAGGCCGGGTACGTGTGCAAGGATAGCAATGCCAAGACCTAGACTGTGCGGACGGAACTCATAGAGACTGACTTCCCATGCAGCTTGGATCATTCCATTCCCTGTGGCCGCAATCTTGCGGGCTTTCTGGCCAAGAATGGCTACAAAGAGCCGCTTGACATTCCTTCCTTCGACAACTACCGCGATGTCTTCGGGCGAGACTTCTTTAGCTACGTCCAAGATCACCCCGAAGCAGGCGGCTCATTCCAGGGCGTCATGACCGCGGTGACGCAATACAAGATGCTCTGGACGGATGTCTACGATACCCAGCCCCTCGTCGCCGGCGCAGACCTGACCAAGCCACTTTTCGTCGACGTTGGTGGTGCTCAAGGTCTTGACGCCCAACGCTTGCTGGACCGCCACCCCGATATCCCTGCCGACGTCCTCATTGTCCAAGACCTGCCTGAAGTGGTCACCACTCATGGCAAGGAGAAGCTAGACAGCCGAATCCGCAAGATGGCCCACGACTTCTTCCAACCGCAGCCGATCACCGGCGCGCGCGCCTACTTCTTCCACGCTGTACCGCACGACTGGCCCAATGCCGACGTGGCGCGCATGTTTGCCGAGGTGAAGAAGGTCATGACGCCAGGGTACTCCAAGCTGCTGATCTACGAGGTTGTGCTACCTGCACAAGGCGCTACGCATTTGATGACCACGCTAGACCTAGCCTTGATGAGCTGTACCAGTGGGCTGGAAAGGACAGAGGAGGCATGGAGGGCGCTGTTGACGGAGGTCGGGTTCAAGGTCACGAGCATCTCCAGGCACCCGATGGCTGTGGAGGGCGTCATCGAGGCTGAGATTGAATAAGAGATACACCGTACTAGCGACCGTAGATAAATAGCTTATATCGCACACACGGACACCTGTCGCGCCTTGACGTCCTTAACAGAATAGGCAATCACTAGTTCAATTGTGTGACAGGACATCGATCATAGCAAGGGAATACATACAAGACCTGCTGTTTCCTTGCTCTAAACAATCTACCATCACGATATAAGGCAAAGGAAGTATAAGAAGAGTAACGTCAATTAAGGTATTTGGGATTGAGATTGCAAACAGGAACTTTTGACTGTCAACATTACAAGAGGCATCAACAGAGTGATCCCATAATCCTCGGGTTGGTACACATTGCAGCAATGTGAGCAAAAGCTAGAACTGACAGAGGTCATCTCCTACTTGAGGGCGGAAAAGTGACACTAACTACGGCGAGACCCCACATACAGACTCCCGTGGCAAGAATGCTATTGGGAATCTTGGTGTTCGCCCTGTTGAATAGACGCCAGCACAAGGCCAGAATAGAGAACTTGACAAGGACAATGGCGCCGGTGTAAGTCAGTTCACAAGGGAATAGCCCGATATACGTTTTCTCCGTAGCATTGGGCCCGAAAGTCTGAATATGCCTTCCAAGAGCGCGAGGTATCCTTACATCTGTCAGTTTCCAATATCTGTGTAATACCAATTAGATCTCGCCTTACACCAGAATAATGAAGCGGTCAGACCAGCGCCACAAGCCTAATCAACATCAACAATAGTAGAAACACTCAACCGCGAGCAGAAGCGACACTGCGTGCCAGTGAGACTAGAGTCAGCCAGTCATGAAGCTATAAACTTGCTGTGTTTTTCCAGCGGTGCCAGAATCGAAGACCGACACGGAGAAATGCGACGAAGAAAGCTATTGTTGAAGAAGAAAACAAACTAGATTGACGCGTTTGGGAAAGGCCCACGGAGGGTATAGAATGAGGCATAACAGTTACAGAGGGTTCTGAGTTTGTGATAAACAAATAGATATTCCTTTGGACGGTGAAACCCTCCCTGTGGAGACGAAAGTAGAGAGCATGGCCACAGTGAGAAAGACCTTTTATAATGCGTACTGAGTGCTCAGGGTTACCAATATAATATTGAGTGACTAAACCGACAGCTAGACCAATACTTTCCTTCTCTCCACAAATGTCGTAACGTCATTTCTCCGAGTGTTTCTCACTGGTGAGCCTCTGCCCAGGATACTCCCTCGACACCACCATCGGACCCGAATCCAGTACGTACAGTATGTACAGCGAGATCCTTGCTGATCCTGGTCGATCAGCGGCGCGAGTTGTTTTATTTCAGCCCCCAAAAGAACAGAGAAACACCGGTCACTAGCGTGCGGCCAAGTGAAGCGCCACTGTTTTCTCTTGTAGTGAGTGGCTAATATTTCGAGGTGGATGCAACTACTACTTAGCCCCCACCTGCTGGCTGGAGATACATGTTCTAGTACACGAATTCCCACCCACTTCCCTGTATGTACTAGTACTAGGGATGTATGTACATCTGTCAATATCATGGTAGGGTACGGCACCTCCATTGGACGGGTGTGGTCCTTGGACTCTGGAGGCTTACGTGCAGGTAGCCGTTGCAACCTGACATGCCGCCAATCGTGGTTGCGTAATGTCTTAATCTGACATACAGCCCGCATTGCAAGTTTTGCAGGAATATAGAAGAAATGGCAAGATTAGTTAATCAAACGATGACAAAGAGATCCGTCAGTCCGTCTTCCTTAGCTTACTCCTGGTAGCCATCCGGACTTCCCAGCTTTTTTCTTCCCAGCAATGCCATTCGACATAACAAAGTCGCAACCTGTTTTCAAGTCAGAATCCCCTCGACAATGTCTTCGGCGAACCTCCCGGTGATCGTTATCGTTCCAGGTGCTTTTGGCACACCTCAAGGCTTCGAGAAATTGCTACCGTATCTGACCAAAGCCGGATACGCAACACACCCAGGATCATACCCTAGTTGCAATCCCTCTGATCCGGCCAAAGTGTCCTCTGCTCAGGATATCGCTTCCTTGCGCGACAACGTATTACTCTCTCTGTTGAATGAGCATGGTAGAGATGTCGTCATCATCGCACACTCATACGGGGGTGTTGTGGCAGGTGGTGCAGCAAAAGGACTTGCGAAGGAGACCAGAAGAAGCCAAGGTCAATCTACTGGTGTGATGGGTCTTATTTACGTGGCGGGCAATATTACAGTCGATGGAGAATCCCTCTTCACTGCTGTAGGCGGCGCTTACCCTCCCTTTATCAAAGTCGACAAGGTACGGTTTTCCCCAGACCACTCGCGATCATAAGTATAGGGCATTAATACTTTTGTTTCCAGCCATCTCAGGGGCTTGCAGTCATCGAGCCGGCGATGGAGATTTTGTACAATGACTGCGACCGTGCCCTTGAGCCGGAATTCGATAAGCTCATGCAGCCACACGCACTCCGAGCCTTTGAAACACCGGCCACTGCCCCAGCCTGGGCGGAGAGTGCGTTTGATGGTCGGAGAGCGTATGTGCGTACACTCGACGACTGCTGCAACCCTTCATCGTTGCAGGATATGTGGCTGGAGAAGTCCAAGGTCGAATGGGACGTTGTGGACTTTAAGACCGGCCACATGCCATTTGTGAGCCAGCCTCAGGCTTTAGCAGAGCAGATTACCAAGTTCATTGATGGTTTTATTGCAAAGTAAATAGCGACGTCTCCAGTGTCCACAGCGTGGTGCAGAACTCGGAATACACACCAGTCAAATTGACTTGCTCTATGAACTATTACCAACTGCCATCGTTCCAATACAAGACGGACTGGTCAACATGAAGGGCCTGTCAATAGTGGCTACCTCCAGAGTAAATGCCAAACCTTTCTACAAACGATTGCGAGCTGAACATATCTTTAGAATGAAAAGATGGGTAGGGGGGCATGGCATGTTTAAGTATTCCTAGTCTCGGTGTGATAACCTATTCAAAAGAACTTTGCCTGCACTCCAAAACCGGGCCATTCTGAGTCCGTTCTCGTAGGTATACAGCGTTGAGCCAGTATATCCATTTTCATCCATGATTCTCGTGAGCTCATATTTCCAGCTGTGAAAGACATTAGCTCAAATCAGACATTCCTTACCTGGCACATCTTCAAGGATATTCCAGGTGTGCATGTATACATTGGCGGGTAACCATGGCTTAGGGCCAACTTGGTCCAGGCTGATATCGAAGCCGTTAAGATCAATAGACGGTGGTTTTCCACGAGCAAAATGGTGCAGCCAAATACTAAAAGAGACAAATATGAGTGCGTCCAAAGTAGATACTAGATAAATTACTGTACCCGTTACCAGTAGCCAGCAGCCCGAGTATCAACATCGGGATGAACCAAGAACCCGAGTAGCTCCTTCCAGAGATAATGCTGCGCTGTAAGTCTAGTTATGACATTAGAGAAATATCTATTAACACTGTCTTAGGTGAACTAACCGAGAGCCTGCATTACAGTCGCGCATCAGTATCCTTAGCCCCGAGAATTGTCCCATTCCAGCCGTTCGCTGTTGGTATCTTGTTCTTAAGAGTTGGCATCGGGTCGCTCCGGGGCGAGTTTTCACGAACAACCCGCACCCGCCCCGAACCCGCCAGGACTTTTGTTGACCCTACCGAGGAAACCCCGCTAAGACCTAAATGGGATTAGCCTGGCTTCGTCAGCAGCCACCTTTCCTAACTAGATATCGTACCGGGTCGTGTAGGGTTCCCGAGTTGAACCCCCTGTATTGTCATTTATTTTTACTACCGATTTACCAGTACTATTAACCAGTATTAAATTATATTTTTATATACAGATATATCAATTTCTTTGTATATCGTAAATTATATATATATGAAATATATAAATTACCTATTATAAAGTTGTGAAAATAGCAAGATCAGCTAAAACCTTAATTCTCTAGAAATTTTGAAAAGGTGCTCTAACTATATATATATATGTAATGTAAAATATATATATACTCCACATAAATCTAATACAGCAAAAATTCCACTAAAATCCGTAGGTATCTATATATTTTATTGAATATATTGAAATATATATCGCCAAAATATCTAAATACAACTAGAAATCTAAGGTTTTGCTTAAAATCAGCGAGTGAGTCCAGCGGGTCGAGGCTCGAACCCGACCAATTTTACTTGTTTCGCGGATTGAAGTGGGGTTGCTGATCCTTCTATGCCAATATTATCGGTGTATAGGGACCAAGTCATCCCACCTGGCTGTATAATTGAAATTATAGTGATCGCTTGTGAAAAGACTCAGTTGGTTCAGCAGAGGTTTTTATAAAGAAATGGAACAACTATGCAGCCCTAAGCGCTGATATGCACTGCGCATTACCCTGTTTTCAGGTATTAGTACGCCTAAGCACATACAAGGAAGTGAACGGTATTCTGTACAGTGCTCCGTGCTTGCTGTGACACTTACGGAGTACACGTCTCAGCCGCCTGCCGCACAATACAGAAAGTGGACTTACCGTTAACTGGTCTTACTATCATTGTTAGTCCAGGGTCATACTAGGGGTAGGTCAGCGCATCAAGGGCCACTGCCCAAGACGAGCGGAGCGCAAGATTTTAATAAGCCGAGAATATACTATACTGTCTTCAATTTATTCAACTAGTTCAAATAGTTCAAGCAGCTTAAGCAATTTTATGGCTTTGAGCGAGATCGTATACACTCCGTATGTAGGCGCGATCACGTGGCGTCTGGCTTGAGCGACCAATCGGAACGCGAGAGCGGGAAAAACAGGTAGCTACTACTAGTAGTACTTGAACAATAAAATAATAGCTGAGCGCGAATACCATGATAGTGTCAGAATACGATTGTTAGTTGGAGCCCTCTAGCGAGGCACTCCAGATAAAAGCTTCTTCCCCATGTTGGGAATATAATACAGGCTCATAATGCCTGAAGCGTGTTCTAAGGTTACCTAAGGAAATTCTTCCAGGAGCTGCTGTCTGCCGTCGTGGAGAATGAGAACCCGGCATTCAAGCAGCTCTCCTCTCCTTGGATGAAACATCCAAGAAAGCCACTTCTTCCTGAGGTTGCCAGATAATTCAATCAAAACTATTAGCGACCACCGCTGCGTTTTGCGTCTGGACGACGTGATCAACCGTCCTGTGTGGGGCTTGTAACGGCTTGGGACTTACTAGACATGTTGTTCTGGTCTCTATCGATCCTAAAACAATGTTTCTAACAGCTAACACAGTATAGTTCGATTCAGCTAAGCGGGCAGTAAAGTCCGTCATATACAAGGGTAACTAAAAATTGACTCATGAGTGACTATAACAGGTATTTTGAGAAGGCTAGCACGGCCCGTAAGACTTCACACTCACCAATCATCCAGTAATGATCAGATAGTTGGCTTAAGGCGCATGTACAGGGATGTTGAGCAATAACCTAACAAGGAATAGCTGACACAGCACTAACCATAAAGCCAGCTACTCTTAGAAAATTCTCACGATCCCAGCAGTGCACATGCTTTTTCGTGTTATTCGTCAGTACAGCCTAGGGTAAGGCATGGAGTTATAGAAATATAAGCAAATTTTAAAAATTCTAGATTTGCAGGGTCATGGAATTAACGTGGCATGACCTAACCGTCGTAACCGGCTCATACTTCGAGATGATTATCGCCGTCCACCAGAGATTGCTACCCTTCCACCGGTAAGGGAGCCGCATCTTCAGACAAAAATGGGGGCTTGAACGCCTCTTCGGACCGGTCAATTGCCTTTCTCACCAGCCAGGCCTCAATCGCTACAGTGACTGCATCTACCGCGTTCTGCGAGCTCAGATCCACCGGCTGCACCTTGTTGCCGATCTGTCTTATTTGGATGCATGCTGCTGCAACAGTGAGCTGATAATTGAGCTGATCCATAATCGGCATTATAGCGCTAGGGATCCTGCCACTTAATAGATCGTGGCAAAGGAATGGCTCCTGACAGAGTGGACGTGCAAGACCAATGCCATCAACGGTCTGCAGACCATCAACCATTCCAGCCGTGGAGCGGAATCCCCCTGTAAGGTAAGACTTCATCTTCGTCAGGGAGGAAACAACCTTTTCAGCAACGTCGAGAAAGAACTGGCCCGGCCTTTAGTGTCTTCTAACTTCGGAAACTCTAAAAGCGAAAGAGGGAGCTTACAGCCTCGTGTACCTTCGATATGACATGCTTTGCATTATCATCCGCCTCCAAGTTCTTATATTTTCCCCCAGACAATTCAACAAAGTCGAATTGGTGCTCTTCAAGCACACGACACAGCTGGCGGGCCTCGTCAGGAACAATCCCATTTGGCTGAAACTCGACACTGTTAATTTTGATCCCAACTATAAAGCCCGGACGGACTTTCTCCGTGATTGCTGCACGGATCTCTAAAATCAAACGCATGCGATTGGTAAGACTGCCTCCGTATTTGTCCGTTCGGAGATTCGTCGCTCGTGAGAGAAACTGGTTGAGTAGATAGCCGTGCGCTGCATGCAATTCGACCCCATCGTATCCGGCTCTATCGAGAAACTCAGCCGCATGAGCAAATCCCGTAATTATATTTTGAATATCATCCTCCGTAGCAGCCCGAGGAGCGGCAAAGCTGTTTCCCATATTCTGGTTCTCCAGTGGCACATCGCTGGCACTGATGGGCTCCGGTTGACGGTGGGAGGGTGTCTGGCGCCCTGGATGGCTAATCTGTGCCAATATTAAGGATCCATTTGCACGGGCAGCAGCAGCTAAATTCGCGAACTGACCAAACCGTTCTCCAGAGAATACAGCGTTCGGCGGGATTATCGGGTTTCCCTCTGCTTCGATATGGTTGGGATCGATCATGACATTCCCAGTCACAATTGCTCCTATGTTCCCCCGTCCCCAGGTACGATACGTCTCTATCAACTCGCTGCTGGGTATGCCGCGAGCGGAGTGGTTCTCTTCCGACCACGAACACATCCGCTCACTCATGGCGGCCTTGAGGAAACGATTTGGGGCGGAGCGCCCGGCGAAGTGAAAGTCCAAGGGTTGACCTAGCGGCGAAGGGTCCGCGGCTTGTCCGGCACGAGTCATTGGGGGATATTAAAAGGTGGTAGGTACAAGTGGTCGGTACAAAGTAAGCATGAATTGCTTTGACAGGCCTATCTTTGGCAAATCACTATTTCCAGCCCTCCTCAGAGGACGTTGATGGTATGACTACTGTCTGTTAACACACCAAAGCTCGACCTCGACGTCGAAACCAGGGCGTAAAAGACAGCAAGAGGACACTGGGTTTGAGATCTGGAGGAGGGAATACTGAGGTGGACCCGTAGATGGATTGCTTGCTTGCTTATAACTCATATCTCCGTTGAAACCCGACCAGGGTAAGTATCGCTATGCAGGGCCTAATCGGGCACCAGGGTTCGTATACCATCCAAATGAATTGAAAAATGGCAGTATGCGGTTTGAAGCTCGGAGTAGTCGAGACCTATTTGTGCGATCCAATGTGTCTCTAGGCAGGACTATTCCTGAATTCTTTTAATACTCATGTCCTTGGATTAAGTAGCACTGGCAGCTTTCTCCCTTTCAACTTACTTGAACTGCTACTTCCCCCCATTACAACAGGACTCTATTAAACGTGATCATAATTCTTTACAACTATATATTTGACCTTTGTATTTGCCGAGCTACAATGGACCTAAGACCCACTGGGCTTTCTATATAGCTGGAAACATGTAAATGTCTAACCATTGCGTTTCAACTTCTAAGGGCTTGAGTGTTCTAAAAGCCATTATCTCGTACCCCCGAACCGGAATAGCCGGTAACCTCCCGGTTACAAGTATTGCTTCCATTGAAGCCCAGTATCATATCTAACTAGACTATAGGGGATTTTGACATAAGGTGAACACTAGTCCTCTCTGCCTTACAAGCCCAGAAGGGTGCGAATGTTCGGTCAGCGAAGGGATTTGCCGGGAGCATATAAACCTTTGGGAGGTGGACATGGAGGATAAAGAGTCCAGTGGTTCATCGTAGAGAACGACATATTGCAAAACTGAGATAAGAGTGAAAACATGGAATCACACGCACCAGCAGTCGCTGGCAAACCAGACCCTCAGAAGGGACCATATCAAGCCACTCCTTGGAATATCCAGCTCTCTGCGACGGACACACCAGGTTTCACTCATGTTGAGAACTTGGAGCAGAGAAGCGCAGACCGGGCCTCAGATCTAGTTATGAACAACCACTCGAAGTTTCATACCTTTCATGACGAAATTGTGGGATTCCACAGTGAGCATCCTGATTGAGACACAGCGGTGCTTCTACTGACCAATGAACCAGATCACATTAGCCACCATGTTTTAACGCTGTGGGCCTTGGGAGCTACTCCCGATGAGATGCAAGCTGCATATGACTTCAACAAGCCCTTTCAGCTTCTGACCTACTATAACGATCCTGCCGTCAACATTAAATTGCGGGATCCCGGGTTCTTTCGACAAGGTCTAGGCAACTTTGAGCTATATGGAGACTATGTGCGCTTCTTCCAGGCTGAAGTGGCAGCGAAGGGTATCCGCACGGTCTTGAAGGACTACCTTTTCAAGGGAGACATGTTGGCGGACGATCTGCTAGCCCGACTGTTTTCCGGTATGCATGATCCCAGTGTATAGCCAGCATCATTGGTTAACATCTTGTCTACAGGCTTTCTCCACCCATTAATCAATCTCGGGTTTGCCTTAGAGTTTCAACAGCCATTCTTGGTGGCGGAATGTCTGGCTTCAACCTGTCTGCACCCGTCATACCCGGCGGAATTCCTCACCGCCACTGACCAGCATTTGGAGTGCAACGGACGACCGCGAAGTCTCCCATTCCTCTCCATTGTGGAAGAGATGCGTCTGGACCCGGTGGTCGCCACAGCGGTTGGGCCAGAAGATGGCAACAATCGAATTGCCGATGCGCTGCTGAAAAGAGCCCTCACGGATCTAATCCCTCACTTGTCCCACTTTCAGGTAGAGCGAACGGAGGAGGATCTCGCGCGCAAGACGGCGGAGATGCTGCAAGCCTCAACCTACATCTGTGGTGCGGCCCAGCATCCACGCAAAGTTGAAGCTCTTGACTTCGTGATGCTGCATTCACTGACGGCCGCCGTATTCTTCCCCACGATTATTAGGCAGGAGTGGATAAGCATAGAGACACGAGCTCGGTTACTGGAGTGGAAGGGACGCTCAGACCTGATCACCTACGCGGCCCTGGGATGCCCAAAGTTGTACCCAGATAGAATCACCAGGTACCGACCCAAGCAAGCGGCAACTGGGTGGTCTGACGTGGTGCAGCGCGCACGAGTGTACCAGGACGATGGACATGCCTGCAAGGTCATCCGGGCACTCATGTGCGCCGAGAGTGTGTGCCAACCTTTCGAGGGGGAGGAAGGTTTTCCATTGAAGAAGGCAGACTTTCTAACAGTGGCACACATGGCAATGGATTCGGTCGAGCGTATGTTAGATCCAAATTGGGTGCGGCAAACCGAAAAGGTCAAGCAGATGTCGGCCGAAGGTCGCGGGCAGCACTCGCAGGTCTCTGCAATCATGTTGCGCTGGGTGCGTTGGTGTGGAACTGAAGGAGCCTGGGATGATTTCCCAGATTTGGAGGAGCTCCCCCCTATGCATGATACAGATTGACTGCCACTTGGTATGAGTATATAGAGCTTAAGCCACTAGAGGCAGACTAGTACAATGGTCTCAATCATTAATCGGGCGAATGAATCTGTATGACGAATGCATAAGTAACCTATCATTTTGATTCATTCAGAATTGGCTTCCTTACACTAGTGGCACTTTATCTCGTGTTCAGCGCTTCGCAGTGCTGTACTATGCGTACGGATGTTCGGAGAGCGAGATTTAGAATCTCCAACCTCGGTCCGAATTGAATCATAGACTGCCGTCTTCCCAAGAATACCACGGGGAGACTCTACCAACCGGTCAGATTATCCTCTATCAGTACTCCTAGAGAAGACTGCACAATTGCAATGCGTCGGTACGCCATCCTAGGCGCCACTGGCAACACCGGCCAGGCACTACTGAACGTCCTCCTGCAGTCGCCCGACAACCAGATTCACGCCTACTGCCGTTCTGCCTCAAAGCTGAACAGATTACATCCTGAGATCACTCAACACGATCAGGTGAAAGTGTGGGAAGGGTCGCTGCAGGATGCCTCGCTACTATCTGAATGCATTCGAGGCACGCGAGCCGTCTTCATGGTAGTGGCGATTCCCGACAATATGCCATACTGTACCATCGCCCAGGACTGCACCAATAGCGTGCTTAACGCTCTCAGAGAGCTCCAAACTGAAGGGTGCCAGCCTATACCCCAGTTAATTGTTCTCTCTTCTGCTAGCCTTGAGGACTCTTTGTGCACCGACGTTCCGCCCCTCATTCACCGAATCCTCAACATAGCCGCTGGTAATCTCTACAGTGACCTAGCAAAGGCCGAGGAGACCCTACGTGCTGAGAAGTCCTGGGTGTCAACAACATTCGTCAAACCTGGGGGACTAGTGCACGATGTGCAACGCGGTCACACTCTCAGCACAAAAACCGCGAAGACCCCGGTTTCTTTCCTCGATGTGGCAGCCGGGATGGTGGAGATTGCTAACTTGGAGGATAGGAGATATGATATGATGAATGTGAGCGTCAATGCAATCGGAGATGGGACGGCGTTTCCGTGGAAAGGGGTATACTATGTGCTGACTGGACTGCTCTTCCATTTCTTTCCTTGGACCTACAAGTATTTCGGGGATTGCCCCATGCCCAAGCCCAAGAAAGATCTATAATAACACATGTATGTACATGAAAGATCAAAGCTTTTCAGAACTGGTGAATATAGACTGATGATCGTCAATTGCCATGAAACCGTAATCTATACACATAAGGCTATTACGTGAAACGAACAAGCGCCCAGCCAAGCAGGACCACTGGCGTCCATTTAGCCGCCATTGCAGACCAGGACTTCGATCCCTTGCTGCTATGTAGCGCAATGGCTGCTTCACGACCCTCGAGTTGCTCCTGTAATATCCGGGGATTGCCGCCCACCTCTTCGTACCTAGAGGTTGCTGTCAGAAACTACACTGGAACTGCCGTCATGTTCGATTGATTCCCACCATTTCGGGTCGATCTCCTGTAAACCCAGATGCGGACTAACATCGGCTTCTTTCGGGCCTTTGCGGTCCTGGGTCGTCCAGCCCATGCCCAGACAGGCCCAGGGATTCTGATGGAAGGAGCGGATGTCGAAATCTTCGTAGCGAGGCTGATCGATGACTTGCTGGTAGTGCAGCGAAGAACCGGGCCAGATGGCATTGACTCGACCCGTCTCATTGTTCTTGTACCCTAGATGGTTCTTGTCAGTAAGTTCAGCCGTGACAGTCGAGCGAGGACACGTACAGCTTCGGCATTCATCTTTCCACACTGTGTGCTTCACCCACTCCTGGACATGATCGTTGAATTGGTCCGTGCGGTCCTGTCGCGGAGCCCAGCTACGGAGATTCTCATTCTGGGCCTTTTGAATCCACTGTACCACGTAGTTCGAGACGGCCTGCAGCGGCCCAATGACACTGCCATTTTGTATGGGCCATGTCGGCCCGATGAATGTGAAGAAGTTGGGCATCTCGGGCACGGCAAGACCCAGATACGAATTGGGGCACTCCTTCCACTTCTCCCTCAAGTCCACACCGTCTCGGCCCACGATGGGGAAACGGGGTAGATAGGAGGCATCAAAGCCCGTGGCACATACTACCGTGTCGACCTGGCACTCGACCCCATCACCGCCCACCACGCCTTTCTCTGTACAGCTTACCACGGGCGTGAAGTGTACATTGACGTTCTCCTTCTGAATCGCCTCCATGTAGGGGTCCCCCGGAGTGATGCGACGGCAACCGAACGCAAAGGATGGGTCCAGCCCTTCCCGTAGCTGCTCATCCTTGATCAAGTTGGCCGTGCGCTGGCGAAAAAACGCAGATGCCATCGCTTGACCCTTGGATCCCGTGTAAAAGGCTCCCCATGTGCCGTTGACCTGGTCCTCGATGGCCTTTGCGTGAGCCACAAGCGCCGCTGGATTGCGCCGGAATTCGTCCCGCTCGGTAGGCGTGTATTCCTTGGTCTGGCTGCCAGTGTTGCCCGCCAGCACTCCGAACCACACGCCCGTCCGCACAAAGACATCGAGATGCTTCGCCGTCGGTTGCATCCCGGGTACTGTTTGGATGGATGATGCTCCGGAGCCAATGACCGCCACCCGATCGTTCTTCCATTGCGACTCTTGGTAGTCGTCGGGCCATCGTGCGGTATGGATCACGCGGCCTTGGAACCGGTCATGGAGGCCGGGAATCTGCGGCCACTGAGGGTTATTGAATACCCCAGTCGCGTGAATCAAGACGTGGCAATGATCTTCAAATTCCCGGGGCTCACTGCCGCCAGTGTGCTGTCGTAGGCGGACGGTCCATTCTCCGCGGTCTTCGTTCCAGTAGCAGCCCACCACCTCAGTGTGGAACACCATGTAGCGGCGAAGATCAAAGACTTTGCATACCCGGTCAAGGTAACCCCAGATATCAGGCGCATAGGAGAAGTATCGAGGCCAGTCTGGATTCGGCGCGAATGGGTAGGTGTAGGCATGGCTCGGGACATCGCAACCAGCCATGGGGTAGCGGTTCTCCAACCAGGTGCCACCCACGTCTGCATTTTTCTCATACAAAACGTGTTCGACATTAGCACATTGCTTCTGCATCTGGTATGCCATCAGTATCCCCGAGATGCCGGTGCCGATGGTCACCACCCGCAACGGGCGGTTGGCCGGGTCCATCCAGGTGAGATCTCGGTTGATTTCATACCCGGTCGAGCCAGGCTGAGAGTAGTCCGCTTTTGACATCATGTTCTGTTATGATCAGTATGACTTTTAGTGAGAGTGAGGGCGTTATCATGAGCGTGGCTAGAGCGATGGGACCGCCGCCATATACTTGCACTCGGCGAGCGACAAGTGCCCGACGGCCGAGACGGTAATCTCTTGGTCTACGAATGGGTATATTTATGTCATTCTTTCTTTAATATCCAGTAGGATTGAGGAGGAAATAGAGGGATTAGTATCTCACGGTATCGTTACTCGATGAGGAAGCATTAGAGCGTAATAAAAGAACGATGATTATAGTAAATTCGCCTCGATCATACACAAAGCGAGGAAAATACCGTACTACGCCGCATAATGTGAACTTTTAGAGCACATCCGAATGCAATAGCGCCATATAATAGACACAACGGTAATCCAAACAACAGACAGGACAAAGAACAAGATGCCGGTGGGCGAGAATGGCTCTTGTTCTCCGTCCGGTGTCCGTACTGCCCTGTGCGTCACGATATGTTAGACGGCTTCATTCCAGGAAAACCACAGGTTCAATTTTTCATACGTTTTCGTTTCTGTAGACTATGACCAACACTCCATCAAGAGAACTCATTCGGGCCCTCGAGCGCATTCCGCTCACCTGGTGGTTCCTCGCCGTTGGTGGCGCCTGGATTGTGAGCAAAATTGTCAAGGTAAGTCATAGCTCTGCAGCTTTTGGATCGACAACTGGTATAATGTGACTCTGAACTCAAATAGATTCTTGAAACGGCATATTTCAGTCCCCTTCGCAAGGTTCCTGGTCCCTGGTATGCGCGCCTGACAAGTGCTCGGCTTGCCTGGGCATCATTTGCTAACAATCGCATTTATTATGTGCAATCGCTCCACGATAAATATGGACCTATTGTACTCATCGGTCCTGAGGAGGTCGACATAGCTGATCCCGTGGCTGCGAGGCAAATCCACCGCATGGGGTCGGGGTTCGTTAAAGCACCTTTTTACAAGCTGCTCTCACCCGGTCCGGTTGATAACATCTTCAATTTCCGCGATGCCAAGCTGCACAGCACCCGACGCAAGCTGTACGCTAAAGGCTTCACTTTGAATAGTTTGCGACAAGAGTGGGAGCCGACGATTCGCAACATTGTTGCGCTGACGGTCGAGAAAATCTGCCACGACGCGCAGCAGGGCGAGGCAGAAATCCTAGGCTGGTGGACTCTGATGGCCAACGAGACTGTGTGCAAATTAACCTTCAATGGTGGAAATGATACGGTGCGCAGTGGAATCAAGGATCCCTTCGTCCGAATGCTGGAACGTCGCATGGGCGACCTGGCACATCTGCTGCAGCACTTCGCCCCACCGCTGTACTATCTAGGTCGCCTGCTTGGACACGGGGTGCCCCGGTTACACGATATCTTCTTCTCGCAGGAGATGATGTTTAAAGCAGGCAAGGGCGTCGTGGCAATTGCCCGCGGTACGCGCGATGGCGAGGGAGACCGAAATCTGTTCGTCAAAGCCCTGGCCGCAGGGGACTTGGAGAGCAAGGTCGGCGGCCTCAATGACACGGAGATCATCACCGATGCCGGGGCGCTGCTCTTGGCTGGATCGGATCCTACTGCATTATCTCTGACGTTTCTCATTTGGTGCGTGCTGAATCGCCCCAAACTGCAGACCGAGCTTGAGACCGAAGTGGCGGGATTGCAGGAAAATATCACAGATGCTGCCTGTGCAGAGCTACCAATCCTTAATGCCGTGATACATGAGAGTCTCCGTTTGTATGGACCGGCCCCTGGAGCGATGCCTCGCAGTCCGCCCTCAGACGGTGCTACCCTGTGTGGGTATTACATCCCTCCCTCGGCCGTGGTCGTTACGCAGAACTGGAGTCTGCACGGCAATCCGAAGGTGTGGAAAGACCCTCATACGTAAGTTAATTTATGTTCGTTTGAATTGTAAATCCCCGACTGAGGTGGCAGCAGATTTGACCACACGCGGTGGCTGCCAGGAACGTCGCTATCAGAAGAGGCGAAAATGTCATTCAACCCCTTCGGCCAGGGAGCACGTCAATGTCTAGGCATTCATCTTGGCTGGATGCAGCTTCGTCTCGCTACGGCCTTATTTTTCCGTCGCTGCCCAGGAGCCAAATTGGCACCTTCCACTACCCCGGAGAGCATGGTCATGATTGATAGTTTTATCGCTGGTATGCCCAAAGCGCGACGTTGTGCCATTCAGCTGTAGTGCTTATGTTGGATGGCGGATGGATGGATGACACACATGGACTTGGGGGCGGAATGGGAGTATCTGAATTTTCAATACTCTCAGCTGGAGTTGAATCCAGGCCGGGTAAATGGAGTGTGCATAGAAAGGTTCAATATAGCTTTCCCAGATAGATGAAGTGTGTGGGATGTTCGCACTGGAGCAAAGCCCTAATACAAGTAGTCGATCCAATTTTGCCTCTATGAATAGGGAATTTTAATCTAGTCCAACCTGTGAAATGTTTGCCTACCCTAAGCCGCATAAGAATTCAAATCTTAACAAAGCAAAACCGGGATCCTTTACTGTGTGTGGTCTGGACATCCTCTCAGACTCTGTGATGCTAGATAGATTCTCAAACAGATAGATTTAAGCTGACATATGGTGAACAGATCGCCAATGCGAGTTCGAGAAAGGCATGCAACACATCTCATTTGGAGGCAACCGTATCGATTGTCTATCTGGTTGGTGTTATACCATAGGATATATTGAAACAGTTCACAATGTCTGCAAAGACGGATCCATAATATTCGGCCAATGTTCAGTCAAAGCTCCAGATGCGACCCTATCCATCCTTATTTACCGTTCAGCGATCATTTCAGCTGCAATCTTCTCAGCCAGAGCATACACGGTGCCCATGGGCTGTCCATCAATAGCAAAAGGGAAGATAGAAGCATCGACTACACGCAGACCCTTAACGCCAAACACTCTGGCTTTGGAATCCACAACAGCCTTGGGATCATCTGCTTTCCCCATAGCACAGGTGCCCACCCCAGCATAATAAGCATCTGATGTCTCCGCGATGTAGTTCAGAATGTCTTCATCCGTCTGATACTGCGGCCCGGGTAAAATCTCGGGTCCAGCAACGACCTCACGCATCACATCCGATGCAACAATCTCGCGACAGCGGCGGAAGGCAGCCACAGCCATCTCTTGATCTCTCGGATCGGCTAACCACTGCGGGTCCACAATGGGCGGGTTGGCTGTATCGTTGCTGTTGATCGTGACCGTCCCGCGACTGAAGGGCGTCATCAGAGCGGCAGACATGCTGAAGTAATTCTTGCCGTCGTATTGTGGAACAAAGGTGTCGTCCAGCGCAATATATGAAAAGGTTGGCCAATCAGTGGGAAATGCGGCGTCGATATCGGCGGCGGTCGATTCCTTCAGCATGCCGGGCTGGTGTTTCTCAAAAGCAAAATAATCTTGGCCCGGGTTGGTCAACAAACCCTTGCGCTGCTCGTTATATTCGCGAATCGCCCGTGGCAGTGTCTCTTTGTTGCCCATCAACTGACTGTGGCTCTCGACCTTGACTGGAACTGTAGGGCCCAGGATGATGGTGTCCTGCATGTTCTGACCCACTCCGCTGAGATCGGATCGCACTGGAATGCCCAACTGCTTCAAATGGGTTTTGGGCCCGATTCCTGACACCATCAGCAGCTGCGGTGAACGCATGACGCCGGCGCTCAGAATGACCTCCTTTCTGGCCCCGATCTGCCACTCGAAGCCGTCGGTGCTGACTGTTATTCCTGTTGCTCGATCTTTATCGTCGAACAGTACCCGTTTAACCAGAGTCCGCGTGAAGATGTTGAGGTTATTGCTCTCCATCAGTGCTTCACGCAGATACGAAGATGAAGCGGTCTCGCGGCGACGGGTGTAGGGGTTTATGGTGTGAGTTATGTATGAACGGCCCAACAAGTTGCCGTTGGAGAAGCCCTGAGCTTCAGGAAAGCCCATTTTGGCTAGAGCCTTGTCCACCCAGGATGAGATGGCATTCACCTGGAACGGATAGCCGACGTGTACGGGGCCTCCCGAGGCCGTAAAGGCCGTGTTGTCGTTCAGAGCAGTAGCATTCGCAGGACGAGGGTTCGTTGCGGGACCAGAGAAGTGAATGCTCTTCTGGAAATATGGCAGCCATTTATCCCATGTGTAACTATCGTCGCCAACGTGATCTGCCCACATATTGTATGCACCTTTCGAGCCTCTGAACCTTCCAGTCAATACTCTACGCCCACTGATGTCCGCCAGGCGCGACGACTGTGACTTACCTGTGGTACAACATGGCCCCTCGTGCAGTGCTTCCGCCCAAGGTCTTCCCCTGCATATAAAACATCTCGCGCTGTGCCAGCCCGGGTTGCGGTGTCGTGTATTGATACCAGTCAAATAGAGGGTTTTTGACCTTACCATTGTCGAAGAAGTAATTGAACAGATACATCGGCACCTCTGTGGCATTACCAGCATCGGTTTCATAAAATCCCCCGGCCTCAATCACGGCAACTGAGGCAGATCCATCCTGTGACAGGCGGCGCGCCATGGCCAGGCCCGCCGTTCCACCGCCGACAATCACGTAGTCGAACGACTGTCCCGGCCATCCGTACATGCCAAAGTGTGAGCTGAGAAGTCCCTGTGCCTGAATGCGCCCGTCCATCTGGCTGGCAAAATTATCCGGCGTAGAGATGGCTCCTAGCCAAGGGAGCGAAGAGGCTGCGGATGACAAGATGGTAGGATGGACAGCGGCCATAATACCCACCACGGGGGCCACCGTCATGGCTGCTACCTGGAACCAACTTCTGCCCATTGTAAAAGCGAATCGAAACAATATGTGAAGGACCTTAGCGGCTGGTAATGCGTTGGAGCGATACGACTTCTGCCCTCTTTTAAATGGAGGTCATCCATACAGCCTGGCATCATTAGCTAGAGCGGTCTGCCTCGCTGTCCGAGAGTTGCTCTCTCTCGATCCCTGATCGGGTTTTCAGGGTCCCACCTACGTCTGTATGCTACGAGTAGCTTTTAATGAACTGGTCATTTCATATATTCCGTGCGTAGCAGAAGGGAGTGTCGTGCATTCGAGTGCAGCCTTGCTACATAATTGGACTGGAACTAATAAGGCGACCTGAACAGTTTCTCACTTGAATAGCTTTTTGATATGTATACCTCGAGTAACTACCAACTTGGCAACATGTTCTAAAGACATCTACTAGAGATACAACAGAGCTGATCTCAATACCTAGCTCAACTATAGCGCGTATAGAAAGCGCCCTCCCCTCTTCTAACCACCAGTCGTAATGCTCCGGGAATATGTATATCCCTCAAATCATCTCATTTCTGGCCATGAATCGGGAGATGTCAGTAGCATCGGCATTCCCCCAGGGATGGTCCGTCTCGATTGAGCGAACCAATTCTTCGTGTACAGGGCTGCGAGGCACCACATTAAGGGGAAACGGGCCCGGTTGGCTGATGACCCCCGGCAACCAGTCGGGTTCCGGAGCTCCTGGATCCTTGGGCGAGATCAGGAAGCAGCTGAGCGTGTGGCACGCAAGCAAAAACAGCTTTTCGTCCGTGATAAAACGACCGGGGCATATACGACGCCCAAAGCCAAACACAAATTTCATGGGATCTGTTTCCGGTGGGGAGCTGTTTCCCTCTAGGAATCGCTCGGGCTTGAACACCATCGGGTCGTGGTAGACACTAGGATCATGGGTAAAAGCCCTGACAAGTAAAAAGTTAGTTTGAAGACTAAAAAGGTGAAAGAACGAATGGAAGTGGAACAACCAGATGTTCGGCAATAGGAGAGCACCTCTGGGCAGCAGATACCCATCCCAGATCTGATCCTCCTGCGTAATATGGGGGGCACCCAAGGGGGAAGCAGGATGCCATCGAAACACCTCCTTGACAAGGGCATCAATATAGGGTAAATGCGAACGGTGCTCGAAGGTTGCTAGAGTAGTTGGCCCCACGACTCGGTCGAGCTCCTTGCGCGCCTTGCGTTGAACCTCGGGGTACAAGGCCATGGCCACGAAAAAGCTAGACACAGCCGACACCGTCTGTATAGTTAATGGGTTAACGCGCTTCTTATCCACATGGATCAGGTAGAGCATGGTTTACCGTATCCGATCCTCCCATAACGAATTCGGCATTAGTCCATACCAAAACCTGCTCTTGATGTGATCCAGATTCATAGTGGCCCTTCTGTAACAAGCGCAAGAGGACGGAAGGACGGCAGCAGTCACGAGCGACTTGATCTTTGATCCATAAGTAGGGGACCATAGTCAATCTTTCGATGGTTCGCTTGTATTCTGCAGCCTTAATTTGGAACGAGGCTCCGGGGAACCAGGATGGTACGTATCGTACTGCCTCACGATCAGCATTCGCCGCGTCTTGTCATGTAGGCCTTCTCACGTATGGGGAAAAAATTGACACTCCATGCTCCTGGCGAGAAGATTTGGGAAAACTGCCGAACCGACCGTTGGGTCAGATCGTACAACTCATCTTTGCCATACGGTGCAATGGTGTAGCCATAGGCCACATCCATCATGAACGCGTTCGCTTCCCTATAGTCACATTTCCCAGGTTCAGTGTGTCGAATACTAGCAGTGAAATTCAGGCATTGCTTACTTCCGGATGTTGAACCGAAGGTCGTCCGGGCTGTCCAAAGTCCTCAACAAGAACCGTCGAATGCCAATATCCATCTTGGGATGAAACGTAGAGATGGCTCGCCTTGTCCCAACTTCCTGTTTCATATTGGCTCGAATCGTCTTCCAGGCTTGCTTATTGCGCTCGGTAGCCAGGCTCATTCCCCACCCCGCCCTACGATGTTATCAGCGCCAGTTCCTATAGCATCCTGCAAAGGGCTCTCACGTACATATGCGCAAAGGGGGCATCCGGGATCATCTGGCTCAAGGCGGACTTCTTGTGCATAATCTCGACACCCAAGTGAGCGTCGTTGATCATGATAATGGTCTGCCCCATGACCTCCAGAGAGCTTATGGGCCCTGCTCACTCGCACATATCCCAAGCATTAGAACAGCCTGTACGTCAGATTGGGGGATAGAAGGAGGGCCTCGGTACCATATCGCTCTTGATGCTTAGCCCAAAATAACCACTCGGGGGTTCCCTTTGGCGGAAAGTCGGCCAGGTTGCCAATGATCGGCTTCCTCCATGGTCCTGGGGGAAGAGGGGGATGTGCACCTTTGGGTGCCAGCAGCTTCGCCAAAATCCACCAGCCCAGCAATGCCCCCGCACATATCATTAGGCTATAAATCATGGTCGGCTGGGAGACAAGTGATGATTGTACTGGATGCTGAGTGAATCGTGAAAAGTCTTGTCAATTTCGCGTCTGCGGTATCTGGAGCAGAAACTGAAATGAGCATTCGGCTTCCGAAAATGTTTCCTTCTCAGGCGTCACGTATGCAGGTTTGGCCAACTTCTTTAAATACGCTAACTTGAGGTGGGGACGCAGATACTATAAATATGTTCGGACTACAAGACTTCTCAAGAAAGCCGCGTATGTGGAGCAGACAGCTAGTTAACTCGACGGATTATATTTAGACCATGGTGAATATTAAGTTAGCCGTTCAGAGTATACAGGCTGCCTAGGAGGTGACGAAGATATTCTACTCTGATAAGATCCTTAAAGCTGAAGTCCTACACTAGTTCATCTTTTTCACTATTTTACTTCACCTAGAAGAATAAGCTTCTAGCATAACGCAGCTAATGAAGGAGCAATAACGCCACCCTATACAGCCGTCGTACTGGATAAGCGGGATCCAAGAAAGAGCTGCATGAACGATAATGTGAACTACTTCTACGAGTCATTAAATCTAAAGCCTGCCCTCGATGCTCTCCAGCAGAATGCGGAGTAACGAGAGAGGAGCATTTCATACGCTCTAGTACAAGAATATATCTAAGCTCCTTGTGAAAAGCCAATTAATTTACCTCGAAGTCAGCAGGATTGGAATCTTCAATAGTGTAACCCTGTAGAATCCCTACTCGGTTAGGGGTTTCAGGCTCGGAATTCTCCGACTACAGGAATCCGTAATCTACATTTGTCGCCAGTAGGGATCAGTAGGGAATGTCTCCATGACACATATCCTCCAGCACTATTTTTCACTGTTCCGAAAGGCTTTCGGATGGTTGATAGCCTGAGCCCATCGCTGGCCGAATTGCCGCGAGTTCACAGCCCTCCCTATGTTTTGTCCCTTCGCGGACTTTTTAACTCGTGAAAGCAAATGCCCTATGAGTGTGTGAATTAGGATAAGTAAGTAGGCGTACACGACACTAACCTCTACTCTCATACATTCCTTTCCCAAGCCGTTGGATTGAGCTCATTCGACGTAGCCCCATCAGCATGGCACTGCCGAACAAAACCGCCCTCGTGGGCCTTGCAAACGCACTTTCAGAACAGGTAAAGAGTTATCTGGCCACTACAGATGGGACGGAGCTCTCCAAAGACCAGAGTGTGGGAAGCCCCTCCTCGACGGAACACGCACAGGCTTGGGAGATCGTGCGCACCTGCGACCGCATCGGCTCCTTGATCCATGGCCCTGTTCCCTGGCTCCTAAGCAACGCGCTATCGCATCTCGATAGCGCCTGTCTAGCTGCTGCTGTCCAGCTCAACCTACAGGATATCATAGTGGACGGACCTAGTCCCACATCACTCGACACAATTGTCGTCGCAACTGGGGTCTCCGAGGATTTACTACGTATGAGCTCCCGCTTCTATATGCCATCCACGGCAATGCAGTATATTAATAGATCTTCAGGACGGATCCTTCGAGGATGCGCCCAGCGCTTTATCTTCGAGGAGGTTGCCCCTGGCCAATACGCCCACACTGATGCCTCAAAGATGTTGCGGGTGACGGGCATTCACGCCTTAGTGGGATTCTCGTGAGTGTCCTCCTCTAACAATAAACTACCAGACGTCCTCACCAGGCATACCGACCTAGCTGTGACGAAGTGATGCGTTCGGGTGCCTACTTTTCCGAATTTTTGCAGCAGACGAAAGGCAATCCTCCGAGCTGGAATGTGCCTTCGCCTTTCTCATTGGCATTTGATCGTAGGTGATCAACTCTATCCTATCCCGGAACCCAGCTGAACAGCAAGAAACAGCTGCCAAAGGGTTATTCGACTATTACAACACGGTGGATGAGGTTCGTGGCCGCCGCTTTGATCTAGGTATGGGTGGCACCGAAGCCACGAAGCCACTGGTAGAGGAGATGTTTGATTTCAACAGTCTACCTGAGGGAAGCACCGTTGTCGATGTCGGCGGTGGTCGGGGTCATCTCAGCCGGCGGGTTTCACAGAAGCATTCCCAACTCAAGTTTATTGTACAGGACCTGCCGGCCGTCATTCAAGGAGTGGAGGACACCGATCAAGTCACCATGATGGAGCATGACATCCGCCACCCGAACCCTGTGCGTGGCGCCGACGTCTATCTTCTCCGATCGATTCTCCATGACTATCCCGATGCGTGAGTGACAAGGCACACGAGCTCCTTTGGTTTGGTTTGATGGCTGATTCTTACTACAGTGCATGCGTGGAAATTCTCTCTAACATCGTCAGCGCCATGGACCCGGTCAAGTCGCGCATCCTGCTCGACGAGATGGTTATGCCTGATCTTTTAGCGCAGGATTCGCAGCGATTCATGAATCAGATCGACATGACCGTTGTTCTGACATTGAACGGGAAGGAGAGGTCTACCAAGGAATGGGATTCGCTCATTGCGACGGTAGAGGGTGGGTTGAAGACTGAGAAGACGTGGTGGCGCCAAGGCGAGGAAGGGTCGCACTGGGGCGTCCAACAATTGCGTTTGCGCGGCAACTCGGCGAAGTAGGGGAATGCAATGGAGATACCTTTGGAGTCTGTCAGGAGAATGGTTGAGTTAATATTCGCAAACACACTTGCACTAGCTTGTAGGGGTAAAATCCAAGAGAATATGGCAGTCCTATACGTACAAGGCGTTCACAGAATCAGTACTTTTCTACTTAGCTATACTGTTGAGAGTGACGCCTTACAGAGAGGTCTTTGAACCGATAATAAATCTTATACCTACGAGTATAATAAACATATTATTGCATTGCTATACTGTGAATCGGCCCCCTGCATCTATCGAGCCTCCAGAGACTCTTATAACTTTACAGTCATATACCTAGCCACAGGCTGAGTTAGACCTCAAACATGGAAGAAAGGCCACATGGGGATTTCAAGGGCCACGTGAACAGATATCTTCAGGACCCCATTTAAAACCAGAAGCTGCTGCTCGGTAGATGTGTTGCTGACTCCCCGCTAAAAGCAAGCTGAGCGTTACCCACGTATTAGAAGAGTGCGTTTCTCACATTTGGATATATATATCACTCCAAGATATGTCTCCGCTCCTACGCCTGATTTCGATAGACTTTTGCATGTAACTGCACTTCAATCCACTAGTAACATCATCAAGTTCAGCATATACTTTGTATATTACTATATGCCCTAGAATGGTACAGTGCGGAGTATGCAATTTTATGCTGTTAATGATTCAAGCATCACCGATAGAATATATTATAAAGTTTGCATGTCGAAAATCAAGCTATCACATTTGATATGTGAAGTGTAATGCATCGCAAGTTTGGCTTATCCTGGATGTGCGCATGTATTCTCATACACATCCATCAGCGGGAATAAATATATCTCAGTATCACCACGAGCTCCCCCAATACCTAAGATTTTTCCATCAACGGAGGACATATGTTCTATGGATAATTGGATTTGTCATTCTTTTTAATTATTGATACATAGACTGGTGTATGGCTAGGTTAATGGGGTTGGTTCTTCCTACCCAGTTTAACCAGTAACTATCTTCTGTCTGTAGTTAACCTAGTTCTGCCTGAGGCGGCAAGCTCGTACTAATTTCAGCAGGCGGTGGATGAGGGCCATTTACTGCTGGCAGTATCTTCAGAGACCCCAGTAGACCGCCTCCTATATAGGCTTAGTTCGGCGGCTTGATGCCCTATCAGGCATCAACGGTTAACCTACTCTTAACCTAACTGACCCCGGTTAGGTTATGCCACTCTAATTATACACTTTCTCACAGGCAACTTCTACAATGCTCGAGGATTGCATACACGATCCTTTTACTAGGAAGATACATAGAATTGCATGATAGAGCAACTATAGACCCAAAAATTATTATTCACAGCCCAGCAAAAAATTGAACCTTATTCCGCAACTTCAGGCTACTGTGACACACCAATTGGTAATTCTCGTCGCGGCGATCATCATGGTGGATTCCGCCACCTTCGCTGAGCGACACATACTCCCTCCCGAAGGCATCTTGCTCTGCATGGTCTTGCATGAGTTCGGTATACAGGCGGGGAGGAGGATAAGAAACGCGATAGAAAGGTTAAATGCCAACAAATACGCCTGCCTCAGGGACCGGTGCTTCCGGCCTTTACCCATCGTACATTCTTACTTTGACTCTACAATCTATACTGCTAGTCATAACTAGTAGCGTTACAAAGATGACTGGCCTTGACATGGAAGCCATCTTCGCGAAAATTAAAGAGGAGTATGCCAGGACAGACGATGTGGGCAGACGGCAGATACAGGGCCATATCCGTGAACTTCAGGTCGGCTTTTACTCGGACTGGGATGTGGTCATGCGATTGAGCAGTGGAGTAGGTCCCCCCATATTTGTAACCCTACCTATGGATGGGAATGGGACGGTTGATCATCCTTTAGCCCCTACAAGTCGCTCTCGCGAAGGTCGCCATTGATCTGGGCATCTTCCGCAGCCTCAAGAAGAGCGAGACACCGATTACGCTCGCGGAATTTGTCAAGAAGACAGGCGCTTCTCCTAGACTCCTTGGTTGAATCCCTATCTACCTCGTAAATGAGTTGCATTCTAACGCAGAATAGGTCGCATACTACGGACCCAGGCCGCTTTTGGCCTGATCAAGGAGACCGGCCCCCAAGAGTATACCTCAAGTGCATTTACTGATGTGTTCGCGAACCCGGATGCCGCAGGTGCGGTGGTGCAGCTGTATGGTCTTTTTCCAACAGGCGGCTGACGTATTATATACTAAGACTAAGTCCTCCATTTAGATTCGATATCTCGGGGCCTTGCACCCAGATATTGCCTGACTTCCTGGCCGAGAGAGAGTACCGAGATATCACCTCTAACAAGGACTGCGTCTTCCAAAAGGCCTTCGGCAGTGACCTGACCATGTTTGAATGGATGCCACAGCACCCCAAGCACATGGAATCACTGGGTCATTTAATGGCTCTGGAGCGTCCCGTTTCCTGGGTCGACCACTTTCCTGTTCTCGAGGAGCTGGGTGATTTCCCGGGTCCCAACAAGGTATTAATGGTTGATGTTGGTGGAGGCTTTGGCCAGCAATCAAAAGCCCTGCGTGGAAAATTTCCCAACCTTTCTGGTCGCGTTATCGTCCAGGATATTCCTCAAACTCTGGCCAACGCGCAGCCAGCGCCCGGGGTCGAGTTCATGGAGCATAACTTCTTCGAGCCACAGCCTATTCAGAATGCCAAGTTCTACTATTTGCGTCATGTCTTCCATGATTGGCCAGATGAACAATGCGTTCTCATCCTGAAGCAGATCATTCACGCGATGGGACCGGAGTCGCAGATTTTGATTGACGAGATGGTGATCCCCAGCACCGGGGTGCCTTGGCAAGCTGCATTTACAGACCTGCTTATGATGAATTCGCTCGGCGGAGTGGAGCGCACACGCGCCGAATGGGACAGTTTGATAGAGCAGGCGGGTCTGGAAATTATCCAGTCCAAGGTTTACGACAGTAAAGGGCAGGCCATCCTGGCTGCTGTACCTAAAAGGACCTAGGGGTTTCGCCAGACTAGTCAAATGGGTAAATACATTTCATGGGGCTTTCGCTTTGCATAGTGTAACGCTGGTATTGTAAAGATTGGGAAGGCAGGTGTGGCAAGTGCACTATAAAGCTGCCTTGCCTCCCTCCTCGGTGTGCATCTAGTATCCCTGCCCTGTCTTGTAGCAATATGGCCACATACGCCCTTCTCGGGGCCACTGGGGCTACGGGCTCCAGCATTCTACGTCATCTTCTGCGAACATCACCAAACTCCCTTCGCATTCAAATCCTCGTTCGGTCAAAAGCCAAGTTGCTACGAGCGTTCCCAGATCTCGAGACGACAAGAAACCCACAAGTCCACGTTATACAAGGGACGTCTACAGACTCTGAGGCTTTGTGTGAGTGTCTGAGGAATGCTAGTATTGCATTCATGTGTGTGGCGCAGAATGGGAGCCCAATCGGCACCACATTGTGCCAGGATACTGGCCGCGCCATCATATCCGCGCTTCAGCGACAACAGCAGGTTGAAGGAGCAAATTATCAGCCATGCACCATCGTTCAACTTCGCTCAGCCTCTTTGAACCCTGCACTGGCGGCTCAGGTACCGGCCTTCGTTCATCGAATAGTCAGCTTCTGCCTCTTTGCCAACTATGCGGATATCAAGCAAGCGTGCCAATACTATAGTGAAGCACAGAAGCAAGGGACATTGCAATGCATTCTCGTGGACCCTCCGACACTCCATGATGCGGATGGAACACAAATAACGGGTTATAGACTCATCTCTACGGAGTCCCAAGCTATTGCCCTCAGCTATGCCGACTTAGGAGCTGCGATGTGTGAGATTGCCCATCGTCAAGACGAGTTCCACGGCCGCGCGGTGGGTGTAACCGCCACTGGCCGTGTCCGTCAAACCTGGGGAGTCCTACTGCGCCATCTATTGGAAGGTGGATCATCTCATTTGATGGAGAAAATGGTGAAGGGAAAAGTGGTTGTTGGCGTGATAGGTGCTTTCCTGGTGGTAATTGGCGTGTCTGTTGTAATCATCTTAGGTCCAGCTAGGTAAATATCATACTTGCTGTCATGAAAGCTTCCTGCAACGGCCATTGCTTTATTGACAACTAAGTTGCTTCGCTCGCCGAGAGTATGCTAACCTATTATAAAATCCATTGTACTTCTCATCCTCTCTGTACGCAAAGGCGAGTGTTAAAAGAGAGACTAGCATGTTTATGCCATGATGCATACTGCACTTGAAGCTACCGCTGTGGTGATGGGCTCATTCATGTCCGGTACCTCTCCCGCTCTTATTTCGATTATGTCCAAACTTTAACCGATCCAGGAGCCATGATGAGCGTCTATGGGCTCGCAATGCCCGCCTTCTTGCAAACCGTTCCTCGGTCAGGTCAACTTGTCGGCTACCAAAGATGCCTTTATCGAATCGGAACTACCAAAGGCCGAGTGTTAGGCCTCACTACAACCTTTCTCTACGCTTCAGTGTCCGTTTACCAATACATGAGTGGTGAACCATGGCATCTATCTGCCGCTGCTAGTCTTACTACCATTGGCTTGGTGCCATTTACAGAGATAGTGATGGCTCCAACTAACAATGCGCTGGCTCGCCTAGAGACTGAAACGAACAAGGGAATGGTAGTTTCCTGGGAGGAGACCGAGCAGCTGGTGCAAAGATGGGACCGATTAAACGCAGTGCGAGCACTCTTTCCGTTGGCAGGGGCAATTTTGGGCTCGCTGAGAGCGCTACAGCTAGTGAACTTATAATGTACTATGCGAGAGTGTCGTGGTGGTCCGTATGCACGTCGTCACTGGACAACGACTTCTTGTTCTCCTTGTCATAGAATATAACCTTTCATGACTAAGGCCACAACCGTCAGATCTTTCTGGGCAGTCGATATGAATCCCAGATAATGTACTCAGATAGATGGAACCTGTTGTATCCAATATACCATGTCCGAGTTCCTGCCGTTCGCTGTCCGAGGAATCACTTCAATGCCGTACTTTAACCCTTCGTGCCTCCAACTCGGATTGAGCTGAGCCCAAACCACAACAGTCATGTATTTCCTCTCGGTATCAGCCCTAACTATTGTCATACCGGTGAGCTACGTGCTCTTCCATCTGGGTTACAACCTCTTCTTCCATCCGCTCCGTGGATACCCTGGCCCGCTGCTATGGCGAGCCAGCTCTCTGCCCTGGAAGATCGCATTGCTCCGGGGCACAATGCACCATGACCTAATGCGTTATCATCAGAAGTACGGCGATACTGTTCGGATTAAGCCCGATGAGATTAGCTACGCAAATGCCCAAGCCTGGCGCGACATCCACGCTCATGTGCCAGGACGACCGGAGTTCCTCAAGGACCCCGTACGCCTCCCATTAGCACCCAACGGAGTCATGAGTATCCTAGTCTCCGATACGCGGAACCATGCACGGTTCCGTAGTCTGTTCGGCCATGCATTCAGCGACAAGGGTCTTCGCACCCAGGAGTCCACCATTGTGCAATACGCCGACTTACTAGTTGACGTCCTGCGTGAGGTGGCCGACACGGGTCGTTCTGTGGAGATGGTGTACTACTTCAATATGGCCATCTTTGACTCCATTGGAGCTCTGTCCTTCGGCGAATCCTTCGACAGCCTGAAGAGCCGGCAGCTGCACCCATGGGTTGACGCTATCCACAAGAATCTCAAGAGTGTGGCCATTTCACACGTTCTGCGCAGTATGGGCATCGAGTTCCTCACCCCCTACGTGCTGCCCAAGGAGCTCCGGGGTAAACGCCAGGAAAACTACAACTACGCTGTGGAGAAGCTAAACAAGCGGATGAAAATGGAAGGTGACCAGGGCGACTTCTGGGACAAGGTTCTCGTCAAGAGTGCCGACGAAAACCAGCGTGGGGATGGCATGAGCGCTGGCGAGATGCTCAATAACGCTGCCGTCATGGTCGTCGCAGGGTCTGAGACCACAGCCTCGGCGCTCAGCGGCTCGATGTATCTGCTGTGTTTGTCAGGCAAGATCGAGAAAGCCACCGCGGAGATCAGGAAGAGTTTTGCCTCCCCGGAGGAGATTGACTTGATCTCCGTCTCGCATCTGCCGTACCTTACTGCCGTCATCGATGAGACGCTGCGCATGTATCCAGCCGTGCCCGGTCAACCCCCACGCGTGGTCCCCACTGGCGGAGCAACGGTTTGTGGCCAGTTTGTTCCTGCAGAGGTATTCCACCCCGAATACAGGCTGACATCGTGAAGTGCTAATGATGTCCCCTAGACGAGGGTCGGTGTTAGTCATCTCGGCGCCTACTTTGCCGACTACAACTTTACTCACGCCGACAAGTTCATCCCCGAGCGACATCTGCAGAAGACGGAGGAACCGTACAAGTACGACAACTATGGCGCCTACCAGCCTGGTCTGTTGGACTGCGGAACTGTATTGGGCGTAATCTGGCCTACGCAGAGGTTCGTCTAACGCTAGCCAAGCTCCTGTGGCATTTTGATTTTACTCTCGATATGGGCAAGACTGGGAACTTCCTCGATCAGAAGATCTGGTCTATCTGGGCCAAACGAGAGCTTTACATGTCTATTAAGTCCAGGGACACTTCTTGTTCTTGGCCCAGTACTTCCAATAGTCCACAGTGAAGCTGGGAGTATTTTCCAAGCCACACTGGGGGCAGACTTCCGTACGATGAGATAAATAATGAAGCAACCTGGAAGTACATGACCGAAGCAGTATACACAATGGCTTATTCGCGTATATGCACCATGTAGGATGTAGTAGCAAGGCATCTCTCTGCCCACTTGGTGACGTGTCGTGTTGAAATTAGAGAATATCCTCCATATTCGGCATTCTAGAGAGGACAATCTCCATGGTGCTTTCAGGAGTTCAGTGCCGACTGCGCACTTGCAATCCTCAGCGGCGATGCGTCGGAATCGGCCAGTGCCGGTCATGAATCCCCGATGCTTCTCGCTCTTCGTCTTACTCGCAGCCCGGGTAACAGTTCCTAGCATCAATTTATCACCCTGGATGTTCTCATGCCACAGGACTTGCTTCCGCCAGTGGCTCCATTAACCAAGTGACAATCGTACCAAGATGGGCGTCGACGGATGGCTTGCAGACAGGCACACTCTCCTATTGATATCTCTGATTGTTCGTGATCGTCTTTCATCCAAGACGATAGGACTGACAAACGCAGGTGGTACTGACGCCTCCCTCCCTGGCTGTCTACCGACTCTGGATTCACCCTCTACGATCATATCCGGGCCCTCGCTGGTGGGCCATCTGGCGGGTGCCCTACATCCACAGCAACATCCGAGGCAGCCTTGTCCGCGATCTCCAGCGACTACACGAACAATTCGGTCCCGTCGTCCGAATCGCGCCCAATGAGCTATCGTTCATCACCCCCGAGGCGGCGACTCCTATCTACACGAGCAATCCCGAGTTTCCCAAGGATCCGATGCATCTGCCGCCGTTCCACAATGGAACCCCAGGCATCCTGGCCGCCGACCATACCCACCACCGCCGTTATCGACGGCTGTTGGCCTTTTCATTTTCCGACAAAGGTTTACGGCAGCAGCGCGGTCTTATCGAACGCAGCGTTGACCTGCTAATTACGCGCTTCCATGAGAACTGTGGCCAGGGCCCTCTGGACCTCACGCTATGGTTCAACTGGGCCACCTTCGACATTATCGGCGACCTCGCCTTTGGAGACTCGTTCGGCTGCCTTGACAACGTCCAGACACATCCATGGATTGCATCCATTCAGGGCAATGTCAAGTTGATCCCCATTCTGAATGGCCTTCGTCGCTACCGACTGGATAGTCTTTTGCGACTTCTAGGATCTCGCAAGCTGCTAGAACAGCGACGCCGGAACGCACAGTTCACGACCGACCAGGTCGACCGTCGCCTTCAAAACTCTAGTACGCCGCGAGGAGATATTTGGGATGCCGTACTGGCCCAGAAGCCCGACGCGGAAGCGCCCATGACGCGGGAAGAAATGATCAGTAATGCCAGTGCCATTGTGCTGGCAGGTAGCGAGACGTCGGCCACCCTGCTCAGTGGGTGCGTTTGGCTGTTGCTAAAGAGCCCGGGGCATCTGCACCAGCTCACCTCTCACATACGATCGCAGTTCACTCACGCATCGGAGATTGACTCCCAGAGTGTCTCGCGTGTGGAGGGATTGCAGGCAGTCCTGGAGGAATCGCTGCGTCTGTATCCACCGGTACCCATGCAAAGTAACCGCATCGTGCCGCCGACGGGGGCTCATATCGCAGGAGGATGGGTACCCGGGGGGGTAAGTCTTAGTTGCGTTCCTTTACAAGTGCTACCTATGCTTCGGTCACTAATATGCAGCGTTTTACGTCTACAACAGACATCAGTCGGTCTACAACAGTTTGTCGCCTGCCGGTCATCCATGAACTTCCATCGTCCCAACGAGTTCCTGCCTGAGCGTTGGCAAGGCCAGGGCGAATTTGCCTATGATCGCCGCGAGGCATCGCAACCGTTCAGCATCGGACCGCGGAATTGCATTGGGCGACAGCTAGCCTACGTGGAAATGCGGTTGATCCTAGTCAAGCTTCTCTGGCATTTCGACTTACGGTTAGACACTACGCGTATGAAGGATACCGACTGGTTGGCAGAGCAGGGCATTTGGATTCTGTGGGACAAGAAACCGTTGTGGGTTACGCTGGAACCTCGCAACAAGTAGTAGCTCAAACTAGTATTATCAGAGATGCATTCATAGAGTCCCTCATAATCCATGCACACCTCAATCAATGCAAATTTCCCGGTCCGTAGTGCACCCCAGAATCTCGTTCGGATCGCGAAAACCGTCCATCTCGGACAGCGAAGCGGCGATCATGCCAACCCCCCTAGATACACCAAACTTTCCACTTGGATTTCTCGAATACCACACGGCTCTAGAGTGACAAGCTGATACTCAATCCAACAGTCCCGAAAGAGCAGTACCAATCAACGCCACGATGGGCGCATAGCTCCAATGCCCCCATTCCCCATGTCCCCACGACCAGCAAATCGCACCGTCTGCAAACGCAACTGCACTGAACGCCAACAACGTCCATCCGAGTGACTTGGGTGTGCCGAATATCGAGGCCACGTAGACTGACAGCCCGATGTAAATGTCCCGGACTCCGTACACGTACATCAAGCTGTTCACGAGCTGTTGGTCCGCGGTTGCTGTTGGTGGTGTCCATTCGAAGAAGGTGAGCGCGTGGTCGGGGCGGATGAGGGCGTTGATGCCGAAACCGAGGATAATGGTACCGAAGGCGTTACCTGCCAGGCGCAGGGCTGCGTTCTCAGAGAGGGGCATGTTAGGTGGTGACGAAGTCAGCTCGATCGTAGTCCAGTCTAGGTAAGGGACAGGAAAGGGAAATGCGGCGATTATCCAAACAAAAGGTTCAGGAATCGGGATAGCTTTGGTTGGGTACTGGAGCTAGACAGCGATGATATGATATGATAACACAGCAACGTTCCTCCACAGCAGCGAATTCATCTTTTCGCTCTCCGACGAAGAGATCCCTGTCTTCGATAACGTAATCCACAAGCCACAGACCAGATCTCTTGTGGCTTGCGTACATGTCCCGCCTTGGCTAGCAGGCGAACAGTTGTATAGAACTATCGTGAATGTTACAGGGTCTCTGCTTAGGGCACCACGTTTCTACTATCTGTAAATCCCACCAAAGCTTGCATTGCTCCTACAGCAAGGGGGGGAGAAACTTCAATTCAGACATGCATGGTACAGGATGATTGAATGGATGCCATCGCCAGTTTCAGCAACGTTCCTGGACGCAACATGGAAACCCGTCAGCAGGGTGGGCGCCCCCAGCGCCCCTCTCCGCCTGGTAGGCACGGTGCCCATTCACTTCCTTGGCCGTAGGGGCCGGGTGCATGCTGTCCCACTCGTCGTATGCTGGCGTAATATCGAACTGACGGATCGTCATGGCCAAGGCAATCCGTAGCTCCAGTATCGCCAATGTCTGGCCAATGCAGCTCCGTGGCCCATATTCGAACGCTCTCCAGGCACCTTTAACAGGATATAAGGGATCGTCGGGGCCCACCAGCCATCGCTCTGGAATGAAGCTTTCCACTTGGTTCCAGTGGTCACTGTTATGGTGGAGAGCCACCGTGAGTGTCCACACGTTGCACCCCACCGTGGGATATCGTTGCCCATCTTCCCCAATGATTTCGGCGCCAGGTTGGCCCTCCCGCATCGACGCTGATGGAGGGAAGAGCCGCAATGTTTCTTTGATCACGGCAGTGGTGTAGGTCAGCTTGTTCAGTAATTGAACATCTTCCTTGATGCGGCCCTGAGCTTCCGCTGGATCCACACCGAGCACGTCTTCATGTTCGGCACGGATCTGCGCCAGGACCTCGGGGTGCTGAGCAAGTAGGTAGTAGGAGTATATGAGAGTGCTACTTGTGGTGTTGCGGCCGGCGAAAAGAAAAGCACGCAGTTGAGGAGCCACCAGTCGCTTGAATTCCGCAAGGGACCGAGAGCTGTTGCTGCTGGCTTGTTCCTGGAAGTATTCTCGTAAAGCCAGCGAAATCACAGATTTGGATGGATGACCTGGTGGACTGCGGTAGGCACGGTCCACTTCAGCGTCAATAATTCGGTCCATAACCTTGTTATTATACCATAGCACCAAGGGCCTAATGGTCAAATAACGCTTGAAGGGGTTAAACGTAGTACCAAACGAGGTCCAGTCAATCTGTCGTTGCAGGGCCGTGGCGAGTGGATGATCCTTGATTTGGTGGTGCAGTTGGGTGTCCCTGCTCGTCTCGTTAATTAGAGACCCGCGATTATGAAAGATGTTCCATGGCAGTCCACATACAGCACTACCGAGCAAATGGAATCCACCGTTAATCGGGTGGTGAGCGACTCGAGTGGAAAGACTTCACCTTGTTGCGCTTTCTTGCGCAGTTGAGCGCAGAAGGTGGCCACTTCATCGGCGATATTTGGCGCCAGGCCAATAAGGTAGGCCGGATTAAATCCTGGATTGAACAGCGCCCGCCACTTCTTCCAAGCCTCGCCATGCATGCTCATCATGCTGGGTCCCCCTGTCACCGTCTCCAGGGGCCGACGCAGGATGGCCGGCTTGGTCAGATTCAACTTCTGGATTTGGCTGGCCGCCGAGGGAGCTGAAACAATCATCCAGGTCCCGCTAAAGGGCCACATATTAAGATAGAAAATGCCGGACGGGAATTGCTGGGAGATCTTCAGCATGATGCTATGAAGCGTCGCGTCTGACGGCACCCCTTGGATCGTTTTTTTAAGGGTCCCGAAGTGTCCCGCCAGAAGCTTGAACTCTGGCATAGGCTATGCATCGTCAGCTCCAGGGCCTTTGCTGATCCTTCCATGATCCAGGTTGGGGGACAGTACCAGGTTCGCTTTTTGCAGCTTCCATACTTCCTGGCGAGCGTGGTAGAATGCCGTCAAGAAACGGGTCAAAAGAACCACGCCCAGGGCTATGAGGAGGGAAAGGTACATGATACAATTGCCGTTCGAGGGTAGGGTGAATGGGGTCCATGAAGATGGGGTCACTAGAAGAATAATATTGATTGAGGTTGTGTCGCTAGTTCTTCGACTTCGGGGACCGAGGGCACTTTTGTCACCTACTTCCTCCCCTCCAACATAAACTAGTATCTTCCACCTCTTTACCCTATCCAGCCTTCACGAATCAATCTCATCCACATTTCTGATTTCCCTCTTGCTTCCTCGCTGAACTTCTGTTCGACATGTCGAGCGACGGCTTCACCATTGCTGTCTTTGTCACTCGCAAGCCAGACCTTTCCCCCGACGCCTTCCAGGACTACTGGGAGAACCACCATGTGCCATTACTTCGACGCCTCGGCGGATCCAAATTCCCACGCTGTCATATTCGACACTATTTGAAACATGATAGTCAAGCCCCCGGCTTTCCCGCTGCTGTCCTGGTGGGGGAGCCATCCGACTTTACCTATGACGGTTTTGCTATCATCAACTATGAGAGCGAAGCCGCATTTCAAGAATTTGTCCCCGTTATGTCGACTCCCGAGGTGTTGGAGGACGAGGACAAATTCACAGATCGGTCCAAAATGAGAGCCGTCGTGCTTGGTGGAGTCAGGCAGACGACGCAATGAACCGTAGATTGTCTACTCTCACAATGGCCGCATTGGATCTATGAAACTATGGTGGCTGGCCAACGGTGAAAGCTTTTGGGACATCTATTGAACGTGTTTCGCGCTGTTGCTCTGTAGCGGTAGAGCTAGTATTAAGCTGGAGTTCAACTAGTAAATCCTATCTGATACGTCGTCTAGCTCTTTAGAAGATGAGAGAATGCACTTCACCAACCACTATATGCTGGTAAAGATCTATCGAAAAGCGCCGCCATCCACCCCAATGATCTTACCACTGACCCACTCGGCTGCATCGGATGCCAGGAAGCTAACAACCCGGGCGACGTCCACGGGTTGACCTACGCGGTTCAAAGGAGAGAGCCAAGCGGCACACTAGATTAGATTTCGTTTAAGTAGGAACCCAACAAGACACGGTTGATGGGTAGAAAACTGACCTCGTCTACCTGCTCATCGGTGAAGCTCTCCCCATTTGGGATATACTCCCGCGACACAGCCAAAAACATATCAGTCTTAATGGCTCCGGGAGCAACGGCATTCACGGTGATCTTCTTGTCTCCGCAGTCAATGGCCATGCAGCGAACAAAGGTGTCAATAGCTCCCTTGGATCCCGAGTACACAGCATGCTTAGGTACTCCCTTGACGCAAGCGGTGTTCGAGCTGGTCAGGATAATTCGACCTCCTTCCCGCATATGGCGATAGGCCTCCCGCGCCACGAAGAACTGGCCACGAGTGTTAACCCGGAAAACTCGGTCAAACTCCTAATGTCTTCATCAGTACATGCGGTGCTCGAATGTGTTATCGGTGGTTCATACTTCCGGGGTCACATCTTTAAGGTGACCGAACGATACAACTCCAGCGTTCGATGACACGATGTCCAGGTAGCCAAAATGGCGCACCGTCTCCGCCATTAACTTCGCTGTCGCCTCAGGATCCCCGACATCCGCCTGAATTGCGATAGCGTCGGTACCATTGGCCTTGATCTGTTGAACCACCTTCTCCGCGGCCTCGCGGGAGTGGGCGTAGTTGACCACGACTTTGGCTCCGCGCTCACCAAGGGCCACGGCGATGGCTGCACCGATGCCGCGGCCGGCGCCGGTGACCACGGCGACTTTGCCATCCAAACGGTGGCTGTCCGACATGCTGACGATCTTGTGAATGATAGAGTCTCTGAGGAGGCGAAACGATGTGTACTTCTGTGAAAACCGTAACACACGAGACCAGTCATGCAGAATATATATACCAAGTTACGGATGGTTGGCCACCAAACCACTCTTTTCTCGGAGACCGAGAAGTCTGAAGACCAGCAGCTCATCGGGCGGCGAGCCCAAAGCCTCTACGTAGTCCTACGTTTTCTTTATGGTAGGCTGAAAGCATAGGAAACTGAGAGTAAGAGCGGCGTCTGGACCAATCACACCACACACAGAATAATGAAACGAAGACCGTCCCTGGCGTCAAGTTATGCACTTAGAAGGTTGCTCTGCCTCTGTCTCAATCAAATGCCAATCTCTTACGGGTCGTTTAGAGAACCTTTTGCTGGTTCTAACCTGAAGGGCGGTCTGTATATGTCTCCTGTAAGTTGTAGAAAATACTCTTAATGTGGGTGGTCAATCCCAGATATCGTCGCTGGTATCTAACAATACATTCCACAATCATTTTGCTTGCTTGTTTGTTTGATCAATCTCAATTGTTCCTTCTATTGGTTTGTGTCTCTGTTTCACAACGAGTGTGGTTACGTCGCGTACTCGGTGTGTTTGACCAAGCAAAGATTCTCGGGCTTATATCATGTTAGAACAAGTGGTTGATTCTTTGCTGAAGAACTAACAAGACAAGGACAAGAAAAAGAAAAGAACAGGATTCCTTCCGTCAAAGAGGCATCCTCGCCCGAAAAGCTGATCAACCATATAGCAAAGAACCCCAGATCCAAATTGCAACGCTTTGCAAGAGAAATATCCCGCCACCACTAGGCTCATTTGGAGGCGGATCCAAAGTACTTCGCACCTTGGAGGGGTTCGATCGGCTAATAGGGCACATCTCGTCAATAGCTATCATACTGTGAAGAACACAAGGACACTACTCACCTGTTGTTTGGGCACTGTTTCTAGCCGAGTGTTGCATGACAGCTGCCATATATCCTTGCTGGTCATGTTAACCCGGTATCTTTGCACCGGCGTTTCGAATAAGAAATTCATGGGGAATCCGACGTCAAACGGTTCGGCATCATCGATTTCATGGATTTCCTCCTCGCTCAGTACCAAATTAAGAGCCTCGATGTTATCCTTGAGGTGCTCCACCTTGCGACCCCCGATAACTGGGAAAACATAGGGGGCCTTGTGCATGACGTAGGCTTGAGCGATGCTAGTAGCCTTGGTGTCCTTCCGTTGCGCCATCTGATCCAGCTTCTCTCCGAGTCGCCGGTGCTTCTCGTCCTGAGGGCCCATCTTGCGACCGTCACGAGAAAAGTCCTCAGCGCTACGGAACTGACCGCGGCCCAGTACACCCCATGGCGCGAGGCCCATGCCCTCAGACTCACACATGGGCAGGATATCCCGCTCAAAGTCGCGGAAAGCGCACGACCAGTGGCCTTGGTAGACGCTGAACGGGGTAAGTCCGTTGGCTCGAGCAACTATAGCAATCATTAACTTCCACCATCAACGACACCTAACAAGACCAATACACGCACATGCATTGCATTTGACCACGAGCCAGGCTGGGGTATCGCTGACCCCCAGATACAGAACCTTGCCATTTGCCACCAGGTGATTGAGACTTCGCATCACTTCCTCAACACTTGTGGTAAAGTCCCACATGTGCACGTACAATAGGTCGATATAGTCGGTCTGCAGCTTCTCCAAACTGGCCTTGACTGACAGACGCAGACTTTTGGCATGGTTACTGGAAGTTCGATTTGATCTTCTGCGGGCCGAACATCGTGTAGCTCATAGTGTACTTGGTGGACAATACGATCTCATCCCGATTCCGCCGCTGTGTCATCCATTCACCCACCCACCTCTCGCTATCGCCTCCCTGATAGAAGTTGGCCACGTCGATAAAGTTCCCACCGCTCTCGTAGAAAGTGTCCAGCATGTTGAAACTGGTCGCCTGGTCACACTCTCCCATAACTCCTTTCCAGCCGTTGCCGAAGCTCATCGTTCCCAGGCATAGGGGCGACACACGAACACCGGCGCTAGGTGATAGGATCCGATGATACCCTAGCAGGGTGGGAGGCTCTGGGGCAGAGGGGAGAACCATGATTGCTGTTCTTGTAGTGTTTGGTGACTATAGAGGCCAGAAGTGGTTTGTAGGAAGTGATACAGTGGCGGCCAGCTCGACTATTGATTCACAGTTTATAAGGGATGAAGTCAACTTCAATAGATTGCCTTACAACCTGATCGCTTTCCGAAGCCCGATAGTCCAAGCATTTCGATAGCTCAGTCATTGGCAGTGTATGCACGCTGGGTGTGACTACTATTCTTGTTGCCGTATTATCAGATCGATTGTGATTTGTTTCTCTCGCATATGACTATGAGTAGGTAATCTACGACGACATCCATCGTACTGCCTTCGCTACTCCCTCCAAAAAGCTCTTCTGGTGCTCTCTCAGAGATCTAAAAGGAAACATGAACGAGCAATGCGGATATCCCGGGTAAGCATCGTACAAAGTCGGCACCTTAGCAGTGTCCAACGCCCCCTTCATCAACCTGGCATCATCTCGTAGCGTGTCCAACCCTAGCTCGGCAATATACACCTTTTGTAGAACACGCAACCTCGGGTGCAGAATACAAGAGGTGTAGACGTCGTCCACCGGTGCCTTATAACAATCGAAAAACACCTGCATGGCAGCCCGCGAGTTCACAGTCAACTCTGCATTCTCCTCATACGCTGTATACTGCTCCTTCAAATGGTCTGGTACTGCGTCCGGGTGCACGGTGATGGGCGCCATCGCCACCACCCCGCTGACTTTATCCGCCATGTTTTGGTCCACTAGTCGCAGCGCCGTGCCAAAGGCCAGATTCCCACCAGCGGACGTGCCCATCATGACAAGGGGTTGGCTCTCATAGCGCGATAGCGCCCAGAGGGCAGCGCTAACACCGTCGTTCAGCGCGCCAGGATAGCGAGTCTCAGGAGCCTTGCGGTATTCCACGCTGATGAGGCGCATCTGGCATTGGCGACTGATAACGCGACAGAAACCATCTTCTTCCTTGACTCCTCCCATCACCCAGCCTCCCCCGTGAAAGTAGAGGCCCACTGGTTCCTGGCCCGTCGCGTTAGGGGGTGTGTAGCAACGCAGCCACAGTCCATCCAGCTGGACATCCTCGGTCGTCACGCTCTCATCGGGCGGAGGAAACCCGTATCGCGTAGCTAATTTACCCGCCAGCTGTCCCCAACCGGCCAAGACACTGTTTAAATCATTTCCTGGGAGACACGGGGTTTGCCCCAAATCTTCGACGAACTACAGTCACCGTCAGTCCCATCGATATGCCCTGTGCTGTCAACGGAAGCGTTACCTGGTGCCACGGGGCAGCAAAACCGGTCTCCATCGCGGTATGTCAGTGTGTCTACAGCGATATTATCACGGTCCTTGTGAAGCTGCCCTGTAAGGGAACAGGTATATAACCAACATCAAAGCCGGACAGCGAATTCTCGCTTTCCGAGTTCTATAACATATCCATCCGGCCGCAATGTCAGTATAGACCTTCCTCCAAAGCACATCTCTTGTAGTAGAATACCCATATTCTCAGCAGATAGTACTAGACAAAATGCCTGTCTATCATATCGGTACGTACGCACAAGGCTCGACGTAAAAAGGTCTCCACTAACTATCTGGTATCGCTGCCCCAGCCCTGTTTAAGCTCAAATCCGATGCCGATCCCCTTAAAGTAGAGAAGTGGAAGCAACAAGCCCATGCGATGGTTGGCCAAGTGCCCGGTGAGTTGCCATCGCCCGGATTGCTGTGAGTTGCAAATTTAATCATATGGGCGATGCTCAGGACTCCTGGACTTGCGAGCCGATTCACCGACTGAGTTCACGGCTCCCTTGGCCAAGGGGTTCGACATGGCGGTTGTCGTACTGCTAGACTATCTGGAGAGTTTAGCTACATTCTTCACGCATCCAAGTCACCATGAGTGAGTTTGGAGTTACAGAGTACATGGCCAAGAGAACTAACGTGGACAGGGTGAATATTCTCTATCAAGAAGTGTGCGATCATAAAAGTACGATTGCGTATGATATTGAGTTTTAGGAATAAAGTATTGTGTTAACAAGACACGGTTGTCTGGACGTAACAGCTTCTTCGAAGCAGTATACGAATGGTAGACCATACTCAAGCATCAAAACCTGCTTCCCGTCGGCGCTGCATAATTGGCCGTAGTTGATCACCTCCCCAACCATCCTCCAGGTCATCCTTAAGGTCAAAGATTCCCTCGGGCTGGATAGCGAGTGCCCGACCTACGAAGGCTCATTAGGTTGCAAAGAAATAGATATACCATATTGGGGAGTGCAACGGGACGTACCGTGCAGCTGGGAATTAGCAGCGCAAGCATTGGCTGCCTCCACGCAGGCGTCGACGCTCGCAAACGTCAACCTCTGCGCCATGTCGATTCCTCGAGCAGCCATAGCGTTCTTCATAGGCGCAATCAGCGGTGTGTCGATGAACCAAGGCGCAAGAAGGTTACAGCGCACTCCCAGCTCCTGCGTGCGAGCACGAGTGCTGCGAAACAAACCCCGGACGCCAAACTTGCTGGCGGGATAGGTTGAGACCTGGGGGCTGTCCATGTACGATCCGATGGAACCCATGAGGATCAGTGACTTGTTGGCTGACGGATTGGAGGCTTCATCTGTCGGGGAAAGGCGCATGTAATACAGACCCAGCCACGAGGTATAGTAAACGCCGATCAAGTTCACCTGGATGTTGCGAATATCCGGGGGGGGTGGATTTACGTCCAGTCGAGGATCACCAGCGGCCAAGACGTGGTCAACCTGATTTCCACCTGTAAAGGAGACGCCTGCAAAGGCAGCCACAATGTCAAGGGCCTTCGAAGGGGTGAATTGAATTGCCTCTTGGAAGGCTGTTATTTGACTCTCCCACGAGGTCACATCGCAGCAGACGTAGTGGACGTGTCCGCCTACTAGGCCCGCGAGGATGTTCTGCCCGGTCTCTAGAGGTTGGATGTCAGCAATCGTAACGTACATACCAGCTGCTGCCCATGCTCGCGCCGTGGCCAACCCGATGCCGGAAGCACCACCAGTGATGAGGGCCCCTTTGCCCCGTAGGGTCCCCAGGTCAACGGTCGTATCCAGAACTTCCATTCCGTGCTTTAGGTAGCTGTTGGCTTTGATGTCGTATTCTCTCTTGTCTCTCTCTGCCCTTATATATGTAAACTGGCGTGATAGAGTCTCCCGGCTAGCGGGTCTCGGAGTGCGAACGGTATGAATTCTCACCAAGGGGTGGATGAGATCACGACACAATAGTGTTCAGTATTGGATTCTACTGCGAGCCGAGCAATATCGAATACATGTCCCTGAGTGATTTACTGCCTAATCTGTAGACAACTCCCCGATCATTGTTTACATGACAGCATCAAACACGGTAACAAGTGCGCCACCGAGCACCAAGTGACCGAAACACGAAGAGAGATAGCTCACACATAGAATTCAACTCAAATCTCCTTGCAGTGCAACAGCACGATCACCATCATATCCTGCTGATGAATACAGCCGGGTGGAGTTGATTTCGTGCATTTTTATACCTTCAAGACTCTGAATAAATGGCCCCACTACTATATGGCCAGGATGTTACTAGGCTAGGTTCTACGATTGGGGACAATATAGCTGCAGCAGGAAAGGTCACCAGACTTTAAAATCGGTTGTCATCATTATCCACGTGGTACTGAATCTCAAATGCAATAACGGCGTTGGTGGGAGATCGAAGCTCCCGCATCACCACGAGCCCGTCAGAGCGATTGCGCAGCAAATCTCGTATCTCACCCATGTTGAGGGGCGCCCCATTGGTTAGCTGCAGTAAGGCGAGATCGCTCAGACTGACCGCCGCTCGCGCCGCAGCGTCCATCGACTTTGTGGTCGACGGCATCGGCAATGTCAAAATGAGACGCGCGTCTGGATTGTTCCGCAACACCTCCACATGAGCCCGTAGCGCCTGAGTGACTCGCATGGTGATTTCTATCGCCGGCGACTGTGGCGATGGGAATGGGATGGAGATGAGATAGACGGCCGCATCGACGACAGGTTGTGTTGCTGTTGATAGACGGGTGCCCCAAGTAATGCGTGTGCGTAGATGCAGAGGTATGCTCGCTAGTTTCACGGCAGACATGCATGATTATCGAGACACGGTTGATGACCACCAGACTCGGTCTTAGGTTCTGTCTGGACGAGGAAACGGAGCGATGGAAATTGGGGAGCGAGGGCCACAACCAGTGAGGGTGACTGTGCGCCCACCTACATGAAGATGAGGTTAGTCAAAGGCTAGACACCACAATCGAGTATAGGATTCGCACATGCACGACTGTTGCCATTCCCAAGCTGTGCCAATTCATCCGAGTCAGCGTATCTCCCACGGCGGTATCAATGGCACTCGACACGTAGGAGAGGTAGGCACCCAGCTGCCGCTTAACCTTGGGTCGTTGCTGAAGGCATGCGGCGAACGGAGAGCCACTTCCTAAGGCCAGATTCCATGCGGACTCTTCAGCCTGCTCCGAGGCCCCAAATCGGCGCGTTTGGATCCCCATCGTTGACGCTGACGGAGCCAGAGTCTCCGACATGAAGAGAATGGCGTCCAGCAGGGCTGGTTGGGTCACAAACTGTCTCGACAACACACTGTGGGCCACATGCCCCGGCGAAGGCTCACAAAGAAAGCCTATGGTAAATAGCGGTCGCACCAGTCGACGCAGCCGACATTCGGGGACTCCTGCAATGTCCGCCACGTCTTCAAAGGGTACGGGTTCATCCAGAGGGATACACGCTAACACCTGGAACTCTCCCAACCACCGCAAGCATGCCAAAAGCTGATTCTGTACACTATGATTAGCACCTTGCTGGGCTTATCTCATCAGAGAGTGGGGAAGGGGAGGATGCACATAGAGAGCCAACTGTCGGACAAAGTCGGCGGGCTGACCGGCGAGGGCTAATACTTGCGAGGCATTGGCAATCAGCGTTCGCTGGACGGGTCGGAGATGGTCAGGGAGCCCAGCTGAATACCCGCCCGAGTGCCCGTCTCTCGCCAGGGTTCTGGCAGCTGTTGTAATTTCCTCGGCACAGGTTTCTAGGTCCGTTAGGGTCATGGCTGAGGATCGCTCGTGAACAAGGCCCAGAGGAGGGGTTATTGAGTTAACAGTCCACTGGCAAATCGCCGTGCGGTGGGAGGAGAGTTATTGAACTTTCCATTGGATTTTAAACCCACTGGGAATACGGGTGATCTGAAGAGGGTCTGGATTTGGCCAGTGCAGTCCTTCCTCCGTGTCAGGGAGTGCTGAGTTGCAAACCCGGCACTATCTCCTGGCTCGTACTTTGATCTTTCGCACGCCATCGGGAGCCAGATATGCATATCTATGTCCCATTCTTAGAATAGCATCGCTCGGCGGTAGCTCAACACTGCAGCGAGACAGATCCAGGGTTCCTTGGAGCTCATGCGGGTGCTGCAGATCTAGCTTGCAGGAAACAAGTCTTTTGGTGGGCTTTCATTCCGCTATCTTGGGCAGGAGGCATGCATGTAGGAGGGCTGGCTGGCTGAACGGTGTTGGTTGTTCTTGGTCTGATTCGTCAAACCGATCACGCAGTTCTCCGGTCACACGCATCAGCCTCGGTATGTAAACAAGGAAACGCACAGTTCGAGGATCCTTGGGCCAAGGGAGAACCCCTCAGCTGGTGACGTGAATGTACATCTAGACCTCAGTGCGAGGCAACGAAAAGGGCGGGCTACTCTCCCGGAGACAGCTTTCACACTGTGTCTTTTCCTTGCTTTCCAGTGACAATTATACTAAATTCCTTCCTCCGGACCTCCACGATGGTAGACCAGATCTCCCCCCAAGCATCGCCCGGACCAATCCGTTCCTCCCAGCCTCGCCGCGCCCGAAAGCTCCGGGATAGCTGTACGAGTTGTGCCAGTTCGAAAGTGCGATGTACCAAGGAGAAGCCGGCCTGTGCTCGGTGTATCGAACGTGGTCTTGCCTGTCAATACATGGTCTCCAAGCGGATGGGCCGCAATCCGCGCGCCCCCAGCCCCCTGGAGCCAACTCGGCGACCCTCAGAGAGCCTTCCTTCAGCCGGATCGGAACAGGGACTGTCGGCACCTAATACGTATTCTACTCCTCATGCTCATTCTCATCGTCATCCACAACCGCCTGCACAACGTCAACCTCCGTCGGATCAACCACCACACGCTCTGCCCACCCCCAACGGTAGCAGTAGCGTGTCCGCCATCTTTTCCCATCAGAGTCCCCCCGCCCCCTTGGAAACCCAGGGCCTGGGAGGAGATTTGTCGGGTCAGGAGCAAGGCACCCTGTCTTCTCTCACGGTCGACTCGGACTTTGGGGACTCGATGCAGTCCATCGATCACGGAAACCATGCCGATTTCTTGGTGGAGCCCACGGGGAGTCTTTTCGACGCGTTCTTGGAAGTGGGGACTCCCATGATCGACCCGTTCCTCGAGTCGGCCGCATTCCCGCCGTTTCAGGCACGCTACTGCTGCTTTTCGCTCGCACTACAAACACTGACCCACCTCTTCCCCCACGCCCCACTGGGCTGTCAGCTACGGCTGACGGATGGCGAGGAAAGCTCGTGCAACCTGACGACGATCGACATGGTCATCTCCGGGAACAAGAAGGCCACCGACGTGGTTCGGAAGATCCTCGAGTGTTCGTGCGCGCAGGACGGCTACTTGCTGAGCCTGGTCGTCCTGATCGTTCTCAAGGTGCTGGCGTGGTATGCGGCCGCAGCAGGCACCCAGTACACCTCGACGGTGGTGGGTGGAAATAACAGCAGCGACAGCAGCGGTAGCAGCAGGGGCAGCAGCAGTAGTAGCAACAGTCCCGCCACCGTGTCCGAAGAGCGCGTGCTGCATATCCCTAGCATGGTGGGCGAGCATGGTGTGGATGAGGAAGACCAGCCGCGGGTCGCGGCACAGCTCGTTCTGAGCGAACTGCACCGCGTCCAGTCGCTGGTGAACTTATTGGCCAGGCGTCTGCAAGAAGGTGGCGACGATGCAACAGCAGGGATCCCGGCGCGCCATCCAGCGTCCCCTTTCTCACTACTCGGGTTTAGTGGACTGGAGGCGAATCTCCGCCACCGCTTGCGTGCCGTGTCCTCAGACATTATTAATTTCCTACATCGAGAATGAAGAAACGCCCCACCACCAGGAGCACATGACAAGTCCCTGTCCGTCTCCATTGACCTTGGAATGATATCGACATGATATCAGCTCAGCTGCAGACCCCTCACCCCCTTGCATTTGGTGCTTCTGCGCTTTTTAGAGGGGCAGGGAGGGGACAGCAAAATTGTGGCAACCGCCATCTCGCCCGGATCAGTTTTGGTCATGGTTACATTGCATACACGATTTCTCTCCGATGACCGGGCGTGAACGGGCGAGAATGGCCGATCGCTCAACACCGTGACGATCACAGATCATGCCATCAGTTTGGTCTGTGGATTGAGCCATCATATTGGCTCTCCACGAGAGAACCCGGTGGGGAGTCGTTGATGTTGTTGGAGTTGCTGGAGTTTGTTTGGGTCGTCCGTTGAAAGCTTAACAAACCCTAAGCCCTGAGAAAGGCTCGGGTCGGGTGGGGGGTCAGACCAGGATCGACCCGTCGGCATCCTCAAGAGTTCCCTGACTACTATGCTTATCTCGCCTGATTGCTTTGAGGGAAATTTCTATATAGACTAGTCACAATACGAATCTGGAACCGTCTGTCGAATTCAGATGGGATATTGATTAATTGTTCTTGGTAGTTGAAACTATTCGAATCGTAAGTTGCACTGTGCTCCAGAAAGATATATTTGGTCGTGTTCGGTATGTACTACGGATAAGATGGGAGACTGCAACACCCTGCCACCCAATAAGACCAGTGATGTCATGGATAGATAGATATATATATATATATTACATGAGATAATTGCTTAACATGATCCACTCGATTCTCTGAGGAGCAATTGAGGAGTATGATGACAGGAGGAGAGGCACGAGGGTGGTCTCGGACTCCGGTGGCAGGCCCAACCAGAGGCAGACCAGGAGGTCGGAAAGCGAAGACCAGAACGTTGAAAGTACGACCTGACTTCGGCTACGTCCGAGATTTGACAGGAGCAGTTGGCATGCAGGGGGAACAGACTTGGCGAGGATCCACCTTCCCAAGATAGCGGCCATCGATTTGTGGAGTGTTGGTATGCTTATCTGGCGTCATGATTTCCAAGCTGCAGCTGACAGTTGTACGTGTACTTTGTACCTACTACTACTGCTTACTACTACTACTGCTGCTGCTGTGCAGTAGTAGCATGCAGTAGTGGTCAGCTACCGACTAGTAGTTAGTAGTACTATAGTAGTATGTCTGGACGAATCCTCATCGACGTCGGCCAAGCGATCGTCCAATAGGATCGGGTCATCCGGGCCGACGAGGCCAGAGTCTTAGTAAGCAGCCCCCCGGGCCGCGCTCAGCGGATATGATATGTGGATTCCATAGTTCTACGAAAAATGATGAACGAAGCAGCATGATAACTCACATGAACGCAGTGGTTTCAAAATGGGAACAAGTTGGTGGGGGGCAATTATAGAAACAGGCGGCAACCTACTAGTAAGGAGAAGCAAAAGCAACATGGGAGCCAGAATCACGACTAATACCAATGTAAACCCACACGGGCAAATCGTCACGCCATCTGTTGAAGCAGGGAATGAAGCCGGGCACTACCAGTAATACCGTGCACCAGCTGAACGTAAGACTTGTCGAGGGAGAAAGGCTGGCCAACGACGTTGGGGATCCAGCGTCCCACCAACTCGCACGGCTTCACATCCCCCACCTGGATGCGTTCAGACAGATATTCACGATAAGGATCAATCTCCCCTCGTAACAGGGTCGAATGGTAGGGGATATCGATCCCCGGCAGTGGAATGGCCGCTCGGCCTCGCTCCATGCGATCCTCGCGGGACACCTGCTCCACCGTCGGGACGTGCTTCCAAACCATGGCCCGTAGCTCTGAGCCCTCAACAACCTCCGGTCGAGGGTGGTAGGAAAGCTCATCGCATAACTTACCCAGCATCCAAAGGGCTCGGAACTGCGGTCGGACGAGGGGAACACGGTCAGTAAGAAGGAAGGTCAAGGATGAGGGGAGAGAGGATAGGAAATCACCCACATGGCCTGCACAGACGTATTGCTGCGAGTGGATGTTGTAGTTGACGACTTCCACGAACCAGCCGGTCTCCTGCTGAATGAGATGGACAAGGCATTTCAGACTCGCCTCCTCGAAACCTGAGCCACGTTAGACCGAGCAGCAGAGAGAGGAAGAGAGATGTCACCTTTTCCGATCCGCGATGGATCGACAGCCAACATTCCATAATCGGTGTGGCCGTTGGCATCGCGTGGTAGCGCATTCTGCATCTTCAAGCCCCGGTAAAAGATGAGAGAGATGAGGTCTTCAAATGAGAGGAAGGAAGCACAAGCTCCAAGGGCGGCATATTCTCCCAACGAATGTCCCGCGAACCGCGCACCCTTCTGAACGACTCCCTGGGCTTTGAGCCATTCGAACTGAGCCATTTCCATCAGCGCCAAGGCGGGCTGAGCGAACTGAGTGGACATCAACAGCCCCTGGGAGTAGGAGAAGGTGTATGAGGTCGAATTCGCCGTCAATCCCTTCAGGGTCGGCGGATGGCTACCATCCGTGGGTGGCTGTCCCATCATGCGCAGGTAGTTGGCACGGACACGACGCCCTCGCGGGCCGCCAAAGTGAACGGTGAGGGTCAAAGGATTGTTCTGCACCATGTGCAGGATGGAGAACCCTGATGCAAGAGGTTAGTATGAGCTACAGACGTCGAGACCGGAAATGCCATACCATATTTTTCCCACAAATGCTTGTCAGCGCGAGCCCACAACGCTTTAGCCTCCGGACAGTTGCCGTATAAATCCATTCCCATCCCCTGTCGTTGACTGCCCTGGCCACAGAAGACGTATGCCGTCGTTTCCTGCTCGACATGGGCATCTGCCTCCGCCACGCGTTCTTCCGTCCTTTCGTTGAATGCTTGTACTTTCAAAACCATTTTCCCATCCTCCATGGCCCTATGCTGCAGCTCCACCCGCAG